GGCCGGGGACGAGCTTCTATCGGTGAATACAACAGCTGTTCTCCCGTCCTTCCGCCCTCGACTCTTGTCAAAAGGGCTTTTCCAATGACGGCACATAACCGGTGGCAGAACGTCAAATCGTACACATGCATCTCCCCGCTAGTTCAACATCGGTTCTACTTTTTGGGATACGCTCTTGTAGAAGAGGACGTGCGTCTGATGTTTGGCTACCTCACTGCTACTGTTTACTTTTGACGAAAGTATTCGGTCTTTAATTTATATTAACATAAGTTCTCACTGTCAATATTTGTACCAAAAATAGTTTAATACTTTTTTTTATTGTGTTGGAACTTCCGTAATATGCCGTCAAATGAATGTTGCTTTTGACGACGAGGACATAACGTAACAACACCTTTTAGTGCGAATCACAACATAAGCAAATATCCGACATATATGTAGACATATGATTAAGAGACTCTTGCAGATACCTCAACATAAGCTATCCCACTACAACCACAGCAACACATACATACACGTACCGGATTCAATAACACGTTTTCGATGCTGAAGACTTAATTTAGTGCTATAGAGCAATCTTTAGCGTCCAGTTTGATCCAGTCTTTAGTTCCCACACAATGTAGTTTGATCCAGTCTTTAGTTCCCACACAATGTAGTTTGATCCAGTCTTTAGTTCCCACACAATGTAGTTTGATCCAGTCTTTAGTTCATGTAGTTTGGTCCAGTCTTTAGTTCCCACACAATGTAGTTTGATCCAGTCTTTAGTTCCCACACAATGTAGTTTGATCCAGTCTTTAGTTCCCACACAATGTAGTTTGATCCAGTCTTTAGTTCCCCCACAATGTAGTTTGATCCAGTCTTTAGTTCCCACACAATGTAGTTTGATCCAGTCTTTAGTTCCCACACAATGTAGTTTGATCCAGTCTTTAGTTTATGTAGTTTGATCCAGTCTTTAGTTCCCACACAATGTAGTTTGATCCAGTCTTTAGTTCCCACACAATGTAGTTTGATCCAGTCTTTAGTTCCCACACAATGTAGTTTGATCCAGTCTTTAGTTCCCACACAATGTAGTTTGATCCAGTCTTTAGTTTATGTAGTTTGATCCAGTCTTTAGTTCCCACACAATGTAGTTTGATCCAGTCTTTAGTTCCCCCACAATGTAGTTTGATCCAGTCTTTAGTACCCACACAATGTAGTTTGATCCAGTCTTTAGTTCCCACACAATGTAGTTTGATCCAGTCTTTAGTTCCCACACACTGTAGTTTGATCCAGTCTTTAGTTCCCACACAATGTAGTTTGATCCAGTCTTTAGTTCCCCCACACTGTAGTTTGATCCAGTCTTTAGTTCCCCCACACTGTAGTTTGATCCAGTCTTTAGTTCCCACACAATGTAGTTGATCCAGTCTTTAGTTCCCACACAATGTAGTTTGATCCAGTCTTTAGTTCCCACACACTGTAGTTTGATCCAGTCTTTAGTTCCCACACAATGTAGTTTGATCCAGTCTTTAGTTCCCCCACACTGTAGTTTGATCCAGTCTTTAGTTCCCCCACACTGTAGTTTGATCCAGTCTTTAGTTCCCACACAATGTAGTTGATCCAGTCTTTAGTTCCCACACAATGTAGTTGATCCAATCTTTAGTTCCCACACAATGTAGTTTGATCCAGTCTTTAGTTCCCACACAATGTAGTTGATCCAGTCTTTAGTTCCCACACAATGTAGTTTGATCCAGTCTTTAGTTCCCCCACAATGTAGTTGATCCAGTCTTTAGTTCCCACACAATGTAGTTGATCCAATCTTTAGTTCCCCCACACTGTAGTTTGATCCAGTCTTTAGTTCCCACACAATGTAGTTTGATCCAGTCTTTAGTTCCCACACAATGTAGTTTGATCCAGTCTTTAGTTCCCCCACAATGTAGTTTGATCCAGTCTTTAGTTCCCACACAATGTAGTTTGATCCAGTCTTTAGTTCATGTAGTTTGGTCCATTCTTTAGTTCCCACACAATGTAGTTTGATCCAGTCTTTAGCTCCCCCACACTGGTGTACCGAATGTGCATTGATCCTAGGGTCATCAGCACCAGGCCTGACCTGTGTAAGTAGTCCCTAGTGACCAGCTGTAATTGATTCGTGGTCTGCACCGTCTCCGCTCTGACATTTGGTTGTTTCCCCTTGTTAGATCACCGAGGCTCGGACAGATGTGTGTATCACATCATGACCAGGCGTATGCCTTATTTTAGTGCTACTTGACATTTGATACACAGTGTTCAATCTATTTGCAACTCAAAAGCAAAAACATGTGTTTATCAATTCTGAATACTTTTTTGTTAAAATAAATTGAAATCAGGTTTCATATACAATTATGTATAACCATCTAATAGGGCTTAATAGGCGTTTAAAAGTTGTTTTTTTTTCTCTTCTAATTTAAGTTTTTAGTTAGCTATTCCCCATCATATTTCTACTATTGTGCATTTATTCCCAAGCATATTTCAACTGTTGTCTACAACATATCTCAACTGTTGTCCATCTACTCCCCAGCATATCTCAACTATTGTCCATCTACTCCCCAGCATATCTCAACTGTTGTCCATCTAATCCCCAACATATCTCAACTGTTGTCCATCTACTCCCCAGCATATCTCAACTATTGTCCATCTATTCCCCAACATATCTCAACTGTTGTCCATCTACTCCCCATCATATTCAACTGTTGTCCATCTATTCCCCAGAATATTTCAACTATTGTCCATCTACTCCCCAGAATATCTCAACTGTTGTCCATCTACTCCCCAGCATATTCAACTGTTGTCCATCTATTCCCCAGAATATCTCAACTGTTGTCCATCTACTCCCCAGCATATCTCAACTGTTGTCCATCTACTCCCCATCATATCTCAACTGTTGTCCATCTACTCCCCATCATATTCAACTGTTGTTCATCTATTCCCCAGCACATTTCAATTGTTGTCCATCTACTCCCCAGCATATTATCTCAACTGTTGTCCATCTACTCCCCAGCATATTTCAACTATTAACCATCTACTCCCCAAACATATTTCAACTATTGTCCATCTACTCCCCAGAATATCTCAACTATTGTCCATCTACTCCCCAGCATATCTCAACTTTTGTCCATCTACTCCCCATCATATTCAACTGTTGTCCATCTATTCCCCAGAATATTTCAACTATTGTCCATCTACTCCCCAGAATATCTCAACTGTTGTCCATCTACTCCCCATCATATTCAACTGTTGTTCATCTATTCCCCAGCACATTTCAATTGTTGTCCATCTACTCCCCAGCATATTATCTCAACTGTTGTCCATCTACTCCCCAGCATATTTCAACTATTAACCATCTACTCCCCAAACATATTTCAACTATTGTCCATCTACTCCCCAGAATATCTCAACTATTGTCCATCTACTCCCCAGCATATCTCAACTTTTGTCCATCTACTCCCCATCATATTCAACTGTTGTCCATCTATTCCCCAGAATATTTCAACTATTGTCCATCTACTCCCCAGAATATCTCAACTGTTGTCCATCTACTCCCCATCATATTCAACTGTTGTTCATCTATTCCCCAGCACATTTCAATTGTTGTCCATCTACTCCCCAGCATATTATCTCAACTGTTGTCCATCTACTCCCCATCATATTCAACTGTTGTTCATCTATTCCCCAGCACATTTCAATTGTTGTCCATCTACTCCCCAGCATATTATCTCAACTTTTGTCCATCTACTCCCCATCATATTCAACTGTTGTCCATCTACTCCCCAGAATATCTCAACTGTTGTCCATCTACTCCCCAGCATATTCAACTGTTGTCCATCTATTCCCCAGAATATCTCAACTGTTGTCCATCTACTCCCCAGCATCATATCTCAACTGTTGTCCATCTACTCCCCATCATATCTCAACTGTTGTCCATCTACTCCCCATCATATTCAACTGTTGTTCATCTATTCCCCAGCACATTTCAACTGTTGTCCATCTACTCCCCAGCATATTATCTCAACTGTTGTCCATCTACTCCCCAGCATATTTCAACTATTGTCCATCTACTCCCCAGAATATCTCAACTATTGTCCATCTACTCCCCAGCATATCTCAACTTTTGTCCATCTACTCCCCATCATATTCAACTGTTGTCCATATATTCCCCAGCATATTTCAACTGTTGTCCATCTACTCCCCAGCATATCTCAACTGTTGTCCATCTACTCCCCAGCATATCTCAACTGTTGTCCATCTACTCCCCATCATATTCAACTGTTGTCCATCTACTCCCCAGCATATCTCAACTATTGTCCATCTATTCCCCAACATATCTCAACTGTTGTCCATCTACTCCCCAAACATATTTCAACTATTGTCCATCTACTCCCCAGAATATCTCAACTATTGTCCATCTACTCCCCAGCATATCTCAAATTTTGTCCATCTACTCCCCATCATATTCAACTGTTGTCCTTCTATTCCCCAGCATATTTCAACTGTTGTCCATCTACTCCCCAGCATATCTCAACTGTTGTCCATCTACTCCCCAGCATATTTCAACTGTTGTCCATCTACTCCCCATCATATCTCAACTATTGTCCATCTACTCCCCAGCATATCTCAACTGTTGTCCATCTACTCCCCAGCATATCTCAACTGTTGTCCATCTATTCCCCAACATATCTCAACTGTTGTCCATCTACTCCCTATCATATTCAACTGTTGTCCATCTACTCCCCAGCATATCTCAACTGTTGTCCATCTACTCCCCATCATATTTCAACTGTTGTCCATCTACTCCCCAGCATATTTCAACTGTTGTCCATCTACTCCCCAGCATATCTCAACTGTTGTCCATCTACTCCCCAGCATATTTCAACTGTTGTCCATCTACTCCCCAGCATAGTTCAACTGTTGTCTATCTACTCCCCATCATATCTCAACTGTTGTCCATCTACTCCCCATCATATCTCAACTGTTGTCCATCTATTCCCCAGCATCCTATTCGCCGACATCTGCGGCTTCACGGCTCTGTCGTCTACCTGTACGGCCCAAGAGCTGGTCCAGCTCCTGAACGAGCTGTACGCCCGCTTCGACACACTGGCCACCCAGAACCACTGCCTGCGCATCAAACTGCTGGGCGACTGCTACTACTGCGTCAGTGGCATGCCGGAACCACGACGTGACCATGCGCACTGCGCCGTAGAGATGGGACTGGACATGGTGGAAGCTATTGCGTAAGTTCCTTTTTCTTCACGCAGACATTTTTTTTGGTTCAATGTGAGGGGCGGGGGGGCGGGGGGGGGGGGGGGGGAAGCTCTATAACTGACGTCATACTACTAATGGGGTCGGACTTAAGTAATGATGTGTGTTGAGAGGTCGGCATTTTACATTTTCGACGTAATTTTCAAAAGTAAAGTTAATCACTTTATTAAACAGCAAAACGAAAATTAACAGTGTACTTAATAGAGAATCAGATTCAGCCAAAATTGTCGGTATTAATTTAGTGGCTTGCGATGTTTTCGTTATAATACACCTAGCTTTACACTTATTTTTTTGTCATACACCTTTATATTAGTAGGAAATTACTGTGACTTCACCAGATCAAACCGTAACTTTACAAGGCCAAACCGTGACTTGAGTGGCCCATTGACAGACTGTCATTTGATGTTCTGAACGCTTGAGGACACCACCGACACAATCGATATTCGAACAACGAGCGTTTTATGACACTCTTTGAGATCACGTGGTTCCCGTATTTAATTTCTCGAACAGATCAAGGCCAATTTAAAATGTTCCATTAAAAATAAATTAACACAGTACACAACATGTTTGCCCTCGTTTAAGTTCCGTTCTGTTTGGAAAGTTTTAGGTAGGACAAAAACTGCTTGAATTGGCAGGATCAATGCACAAAAAAGGTGATAATATTGGGAGTTACTCAAGTTTTCATTTGAAACTAAACTAAGTTGATTGAACGAAACATGTGTACGTTTATGTTCCACATTACGTCAGATGAGCATTTTGCCATGACAAGTAAAAGTGTGAGAACTTGTCCAGTAATTGTACCAAGGTTATGATGGACCACGTCTCATGATGGACCTAGTCTCAACTCGAGTCCAGCTCTCAAGGTTCGCCTATTGATTGCCTCACCAATGGAGGCGACCCGCATTCCAATCCCCTTAAAACAACATCGGTGACCAGATTTTTTTCTCTTCTCGTCTAAAATACAATTTTGAAACCATTCAGCGTTTCCTGTACCCCAGTACCACTTGTTGGAGCCTGAACTATTTTTTGGCTGTTAGTTCAAGACGTGTTGGCCAGTGGGAACTGGAGGATTGAAAATTCTTTTTGATCAATAAGACAGTGGCCGGCATTAGCACGCTCCACTGGTTTCATCCACCCATCCAGTCCCGTTTCTGATTTATTTATTTCTCTCTCCCTCGTGTTTCTCTGTAAGGTCAGGGGTAACATGGACACAATGGTAATTGGGTTTTCTTTTTAGGGTAAAACTTAGTGGTAACATGGACACAATGGTAATTGGGTTTTCTTTTTTAGGGTAAAACTTAGTGGTAACATGGACACAATGGTAATTGGGTTTTCTTTTTAGGGTAGATGGTAACATGGACACAGTGGTAATTGGGTTTTCTCTTTAGGGTAGATGGTAACATGGACACAATGGTGATTGGGTTTTCTCTTTAGGGTAGATGGTAACATGGACACAATGGTGATTGGGTTTTCTCTTTAGGGTAGATGGTAACATGGACACAATGGTGATTGGGTTTTCTTTTTAGGGTAAAACTTAGTGGTAACATGGACACAATGGTAATTGGGTTTTCTCTTTAGGGTAAAACTTAGTGGTAACATGGACACAATGGTGATTGGGTTTTCTCTTTAGGGTAAAACTTAGTGGTACCATGGACACAATGGTAATTGGGTTTTCTCTTTAGGGTAAAACTTAGTGGTAACATGGACATAGTGGTAATTGGGTTTTCTCTTTAGGGTAAGTGGTAACATGGCCACAATGGTAATTGGGTTTTCTCTTTAGGGTAAAACTTAGTGGTAACATGGACGCAATGGTAATTGGGTTTTCTCTTTAGGGTAAATCTTAGTGGTAACATGGACACAATGGTAATTGGGTTTTCTCTTTAGGGTAAGTGGTAACATGGCCACAATGGTAATTGGGTTTTCTCTTTAGGGTAAAACTTAGTGGTAACATGGACGCAATGGTAATTGGGTTTTCTCTTTAGGGTAAATCTTAGTGGTAACATGGACACAATGGTAATTGGGTTTTCTCTTTAGGGTAAATCTTAGTGGTAACATGGACACAACGGTAATTGGGTTTTCTCTTTAGGGTAAATCTTAGTGGTAACATGGACATAGTGGTGATTGGGTTTTTTTTTTAAGATGATTGGTAACACAGGCAGCGTGGTAATTAGGCTTTTTACTTAGGTCATCGATAGCATTGACGCTAGTTGAGCTTTTTATACTCCTCTCCGTGAGGATAAAAGCTGACATTTATTACATTATTTGCTCCTTGTATAGTGTTCGTCTTGTCTACCTTTAAACTTTGAACTCAAGTTTATAAGATCTGGTATCAGTGTAATTATGGCACTGTCTGCCCCCCTCCCCCCCCCCCCCTCCACCTCCTGGCCAACCAGTGGCTACTTTGTCAAACATTGCTTGCACTTCACCGGTCATGGCCTCCATCTGTGTAGCCTAAACGGGAGAATGATTTCACTCCTCACATATTTCTCTTGACGTGTAAAATACATGACACGGTAAAATAGATATTTCTGTACGCAAGTGGTAAAGGACATGCAGATGGTTCCACGGTGTGCATGTCGCTCGGCACGCTCCCTACTTGTCCAACTACATGCAGATGGTTCCACGGTGTGCATGTCGCTTGGCACGCTCCCTACTTGCCCAACTACATGCAGATGGTTCCACTGTGTGCATGTCACTTGGCACGCTCCCTACTTGTCCAACTACATGCAGATGGTTCCACTGTGTGCATGTCACTTGGCACGCTCCCTACTTGCCCAACTACATGCAGATGGTTCCACGGTGTGCATGTCACTTGGCACGCTCCCTACTTGTCCAACTACATGCAGATGGTTCCACGGTGTGCATGTCACTTGGCACGCTCCCTACTTGTCCAACTACATGCAGATGGTTCCACGGTGTGCATGTCACTTGGCACGCTCCTTACTTGCCCAACTACATGCAGATGGTTCCACTGTGTGCATGTCACTTGGCACGCTCCCTACTTGCCCAACTACATGCAGATGGTTCCACGGTGTGCATGTCACTTGGCACGCTCCCTACTTGCCCAACTACATGCAGATGGTTCCGCGGTGTGCATGTCACTTGGCACGCTCCCTACTTGCCCAACTACATGCAGATGGTTCCGCGGTGTGCATGTCACTTGGCACGCTCCCTACTTGTCCAACTACATGACTGTCTCGTGGATCTCCCCCAACAGGTGAAGCGCCTTCCGTGTAGCGTAAAGAAACCTGATCTCCTTCTATTCCTGGCCCTCGCTTTGTCTCAATCAACTCATTAATTAGAGCCCCCGTGCCGGAGCATCCAACACCAAGGATCATCTTGCCGGATAATTTCCGTGGCCACCACGACAGCCGGCCTGATGATCCATCATATGGCCGCATTAGTTCACAGTCCGGCACTCCCAGCCTTGACACGCCTTCTCAACAAAAAATGGTGGACCAGACTCGCAAGGGAGAGAACTCCAAGTTATCTCTCTCGTGTTGACCTGCTGGGTGCAGCTCCTCCAGCTGACAAGAATTCCTTCCCCTGATCAATGACACACAAGCCGTGGAAAAATACAAGCATCCTACGCTATCAACGGCCGGGCCTATAATTAAAACATATAGCCACCATGATTAACGTTACCCCCCCCCCCCCCCCCTCCGTTGTCGCTATTGTGGAATGAGCTGCTGTCAGTTTTCTTCCCATCTTATTAGAGTACCCAAAATATTTCCATTTGTCTTTGGTAACAAACTGCGGGGTGAACACTTTGGTTTTTTTTTTTTTGTCCTGCAGCTGTTTCTCTCCTATTTGTACAACTATCTCTTGGGGTTTGTTTACGAGAGTTGCTGTCAGAATGATTCAATAGTAGCTACCGGTGTTTAAATTGTATCCATTGGCTACATGTATTACGTAACAAACTTGTGAGCACCAACTTGTTTTTAATTGAACTTGAAATGACCATTGTTTGGATTTTGTTACAATTTTTTTATGAAGGTCGGAAGTCTTTGGTACATTTTTTATGTGACCTCGTTAGTGGATAAAGGCTTTCAAATCTCTAGTAGAAACTTGTTGTTTTTTTTTTCTGTCCCTCTCGGAGAAAACGCTGACTCGGGTGTTATTTGTTCGATTTGTCTTTTGACGATAATTTGTCACGTGATCTGATCGTAGTCATGAGTTATTAACTTTTTACCGTGATATAACACCGCGGGTGTATTGATCGCTTCAACTCAGTCTCAGATATCTTGAAATAACGAATGGAACTACAGCAGCTTATAAGATTGTGGTCAATGGTCTCAGATATCCTGAAATAACGAATGGAACTACAGCAGCTTATAAGATTGTGGTCAATGGTCTCAGATATCCTGAAATAACGAATGGAACTACAGCAGCTTATAAGATTGTGGTCAATGGTCTCAGATATCCTGAAATAACGAATGGAACTACAGCAGCTTATAAGATTGTGGTCAGTAGTCTCAGATATCTTGAAATAACGAATGGAACTACAGCAGCTTATAAGATTGTGGTCAGTAGTCTCAGATATCTTGAAATAACGAATGGAACTACAGCAGCTTATAAGATTGTGGTCAATAGTCTCAGATATCTAGAAATAACGAATGGAACTACAGCAGCTTATAAGATTGTGGTCAGTAGTCTCAGATATCTAGAAATAACGAATGGAACTACAGCAGCTTATAAGATTGTGGTCAATGGTCTCAGATATCCTGAAATAACGAATGGAACTACAGCAGCTTATAAGATTGTGGTATATAGTCTCAGATATCTAGAAATAACGAATGGAACTACAGCAGCTTATAAGATTGTGGTCAGTAGTCTCAGATATCTTGAAATAACGAATGGAACTACAGCAGCTTATAAGATTGTGGTCAATAGTCTCAGATATCTAGAAATAACAAATGGAACTACAGCAGCTTATAAGATTGTGGTCAATAGTCTAAGATATCTAGAAATAACGAATGGAACTACAGCAGCTTATAAGATTGTGCTCAATAGTCTCAGATATCTAGAAATAACGAATGGAACTACAGCAGCTTATAAGATTGTGGTCAATGGTCTCAGATATCCTGAAATAACGAATGGAACTACAGCAGCTTATAAGATTGTGGTATATAGTCTCAGATATCTAGAAATAACGAATGGAACTACAGCAGCTTATAAGATTGTGGTATATAGTCTCAGATATCTAGAAATAACAAATGGAACTACAGCAGCTTATAAGATTGTGGTCAATGGTCTCAGATATCTAGAAATAACGATAAGAACTACAGCAGCTTATAAGATTGTGGTCAATAGTCTCAGATATCTAGAAATAACGAATGGAACTACAGCAGCTTATAAGATTGTGCTCAATAGTCTCAGATATCTTGAAATAACGAATGGAACTACAGCAGCTTATAAGATTGTGGTCAATAGTCTAAGATATCTTGAAATAACGAATGGAACTACAGCAGTTTATAAGATTGTGATATATAGTCTCAGATATCTAGAAATAACGAATGGAACTACAGCAGCTTATAAGATTGTGGTATATAGTCTCAGATTTCTTGAAATAACAAATGGAACTACAGCAGCTTATAAGATTGTGGTCAATAGTCTCAGATATCTTGAAATAACGAATGGAACTACAGCAGCTTATAAGATTGTGATATATAGTCTCAGATATCTAGAAATAACGAATGGAACTACAGCAGCTTATAAGATTGTGGTCAGTAGTCTCAGATATCTTGAAATAACGAATGGAACTACAGCAGCTTATAAGATTGTGGTCAATAGTCTCAGATATCTAGAAATAACGAATGGAACTACAGCAGCTTATAAGATTGTGCTCAATAGTCTCAGATATCTTGAAATAACGAATGGAACTACAGCAGCTTATAAGATTGTGGTCAATAGTCTAAGATATCTTGAAATAACGAATGGAACTACAGCAGTTTATAAGATTGTGATATATAGTCTCAGATATCTAGAAATAACGAATGGAACTACAGCAGCTTATAAGATTGTGGTATATAGTCTCAGATTTCTTGAAATAACAAATGGAACTACAGCAGCTTATAAGATTGTGGTCAATAGTCTCAGATATCTTGAAATAACGAATGGAACTACAGCAGCTTATAAGATTGTGATATATAGTCTCAGATATCTAGAAATAACGAATGGAACTACAGCAGCTTATAAGATTGTGGTCAGTAGTCTCAGATATCTTGAAATAACGAATGGAACTACAGCAGCTTATAAGATTGTGGTCAATAGTCTAAGATATCTAGAAATAACGAATGGAACTACAGCAGCTTATAAGATTGTGCTCAATAGTCTCAGATATCTAGAAATAACGAATGGAACTACAGCAGCTTATAAGATTGTGGTCAATAGTCTAAGATATCTTGAAATAACGAATGGAACTACAGCAGTTTATAAGATTGTGATATATAGTCTCAGATATCTAGAAATAACGAATGGAACTACAGCAGCTTATAAGATTGTGGTATATAGTCTCAGATTTCTTGAAATAACAAATGGAACTACAGCAGCTTATAAGATTGTGGTCAATAGTCTCAGATATCTTGAAATAACGAATGGAACTACAGCAGCTTATAAGATTGTGATATATAGTCTCAGATATCTAGAAATAACGAATGGAACTACAGCAGCTTATAAGATTGTGGTCAGTAGTCTCAGATATCTAGAAATAACGAATGGAACTACAGCAGCTTATAAGATTGTGGTCAGTAGTCTCAGATTTCTTGAAATAACGAATGGAACTACAGCAGCTTATAAGATTGTGGTATATAGTCTCAGATAGCTTGAAATAACGAATGGAACTACAGCAGCTTATAAGATGGTGGTATATAGTCTCAGATATCTAGAAAAACGAATGGAACTACAGCAGCTTATAAGATAGTGGTCAATAGTCTAAGATATCTTGAAATAACGAATGGAACTACAGCAGCTTATAAGATTGTGGTATATAGTCTTAGATATCTTGAAATAACGAATGGAACTACAGCAGCTTATAAGATTGTGGTCAATAGTCTCAGATATCTAGAAATAACGAATGGAACTCAGCAGCTTATAAGATTGTGGTCAATACAACTTGTTCTCAGATATCTTGAAATAACGAATGGAACTATTATAAGATTGTCGTCAATACAACTTGAGTTATCTTGGCAGTTTATGGAAGTTCAATGCAACACTATTCTTATACTTAGCTAGAAAATAAAGTGTATTCAACAACAGTGTAAGGAAAATCAACTGAATACACAGCAAATTTAATTAAACATTGTTTAAATGTAACAGAAATGATATGTAATACCAGTAGCTTATCCAGGGGGAGCTAAACTAGTTTTAATGAAGTTATTTCCCATTGCTCCAAACGTTTTTTTTTTCTATTTTTTTTTGTAAAAGTTACTTTTAATTAATTTCTGTTACATATAATTTCATTCAGGGGCGTAGCGAGGGGGGGGGCGGGGGTGTGGACCGCACCGGGCGACACCATTTAGGGGAATGACACCAAGGAAAAAATAGCAAAATATATAGAGAAAAACTTGAGGGGGGTGCAAATCGAAAGTTCGAGGGGGAGGTGGTGCAAATCGAAAACTTGAGGGGGGGGGGGTGCAAATCAAAAGTTTGAGGGAGGTGCAAATCGAAAATTTGAAAGTTTGTCCCCGGGAAGGGTCGCTACGCCTCTGGGGGGGGGGGGGGGGTGACACCATTAAGTGCCGCACCGGGTGACACCCGACCTCGCTATGCCACTGATTTCATTAATGAGATCTTGGCTTAATGAGATCTAGTGTTGTGATCCAATTGGGCATTTGGCATTTTAGCTCATTATTTAGTTAGTCTATAAACTTTTTTAAAATAAATGTAAGTAGAATTTGAGAAGTAATTAACTTCTTCCACATTGTAGCCCTTTATACATAGACAATAGAAACCCATCTTTGTAACAGCTCTGTAGTTGATGTAAACTCATACATCCAAGACCTTGTTAAGCAGTGGTAAACAATATTCTCTGATGAAGGTGTAATATTAAATCTTCATAATTATGTATGTGTGTGTTTGTGTGTATATACTAATATAGGTTTGTTGCTATTGATGATTCTTGTGCCCATAGATTGGTGCGTGACTTGACTGGTGTCAATGTAAATATGAGGGTCGGCATCCACTCTGGACGTGTCCACTGTGGTGTCCTGGGCTTGTACAAATGGCAGTATGACGTCTGGTCTAATGACGTCACACTGGCCAATCACATGGAGAGTGGAGGGTTACCTGGGTAAGTCAGCTGATGCCATTTGTTTGTATTAAAGTTAGGTGATGTTGTTGAAGTGTAGGTTTGTTGCTAGGTACTTCACACCATAAGTAGACAAATGTTACAGAATATAGTAATTGTAAAGATAGAACTGAATAACCAGGTGAAATTTACCGTTTCACACAGTGAATTCACCTTGACTGCCATGACTTGTTGCTTCAGATACACTGACACAAGATAAACATATCTGAATCTCCTACACTGACACAAGATAAACATATCTGAATCTCCTACACTGACACAAGATAAACATATCTGAATCTCCTTCACTGACACAAGATAAACATATTTGAATCTCCTTCACTGACACAAGATAAACATATCTGAATCTCCTACATTGACACAAGATAAACACAATTGAATCTCCTACACTGATATGTTTAGAGTTTTGATTTAACATTCATTTTTCCCAGACATGTTCATATAAGTGCAGCCACAAAGGAATACCTGAATGGTGACTACGATGTGGTTCCAGGGAAAGGTGGCACTCGAGATTCTTATATTAAGAACCTCAATATACAGACGTTCCTTATTAAAACAGACACACGTAGATACAAAGTAAGTATCACTTGGTGATAGGTGATCAGATGCAGTAGCATCTAGTTACTTGAAGGTTATAGATCAGATATAGATCACTAATATCTAGTTTTTTGAAGGTACTTGGTCAGATAGTTACACACTAATATCTTGTTTATTTCTAAACAAGTTTGACACTTATGATTGTTATTGTGTTGTTAGAGTTGAGCTATAGTAGCTTAAAATTTTCCCAACTTGCAGGCATTTGATAATGTCCGGGAACATGTAACAAGTGGAGCTATGAAGTTAATGGGAATTGAGGAAAAAGGAAATGTTGTGTAAGTCATCTTAACTCTCTCCTGTCTTGTGGCTCTCTTGTTTTTTTTCATCAATCATATTTCATGACTCACTGAGTCTCATGACCGTCCTGTTGAGTGACATGACTCTCCTGCCCTCATCATGAGTATAACATGAATAATCCACAATCCGCACTATATTTTTTTCTTATTGATTCCTGTATACAAGAAAATGTCAATTTTTCAGCAACGACCATAAAGGTATAGAGGATGAAGTGAATGAGTACCTGAGTAGAGCTATAGATGCCAGGAGTGTTGACAGGTTGAGAGCAGATCATGTCAAAGGCCTTTTCATGACATTCCGCAAAGCGTCAATTGAAGAAAAAGTGAGTCACTTGAGACTTTATTGGCAATTTCATGCAGCTTCATACTTGGGTCACATGAAAATCAATTTTAAACCAGCTACTGGTTGGTTAAATGTATTTCTTTTTAAACAAATGAGTCTGGGTTTTTATTATTTTAATTTAATTAAATTGCCATCTCTCGAAAACAAGAGTTTAATCATTTTTTTGGTCCTGTCCCATTCCCCCACCCCCCCCCCCCCCCCCACCCCCACCCCCACCCACCCAGCCATCCCCAACTTATCAAGGCTTTAATTGACATGCTCTTCCTGTCTGTGAGATGGACAGACATTTTTTGAACAGTGTGAATTTTAGCTCGGCAACTCATCCATCCCCACCCCACCCCTGGGATGTTTAATAAATGGCAGCTGGAGAAATATTTTGGGGTGCAAAGAGTGCATGGTGGCCTCGGACATTTCCTTAACTTCCTTCTCTTAGAACTAGTGCAATTAACAAAGAAGTTCTTGTAGATTTATAAATTCAAGAGTTGAAAACGGAATATGCTTATTTCTTTCAACGAAGACTTTTAGCTAATCTTTCTAAAGATGGATCTCACATAAGCTAACAGTCGTCCCCAACCCCACCCACTCCACCCAACACAATAAGGAAATTCAAAATTAAAGTAATTCAAATAAACATTACTACATAACAAAGACCTTATACAGAGTTGTGAAAGCATAGAAATTATAAGCCTACAACTGGTAAACATGTTGTTTGTGTTGGTTAATATATTGTACTTTTGATTATAAAAACTGCTATTCTATTATTTTTTTATTGATTTTTTTGCTTTTTGTTTGTGACATATCTATAGGCAAAGTAAAACAGACTTGACAACAAAATATTTTTAAACAGCACATAAAACATAAATGTAAAAATGAGTGTAGAAAAATTGTAAATGATTGAAATATCCATGACTGTCTAACTTTTTCTGGTTTTTATCTTTCAGTTTTCTAAAAAACCAGACAAGATGTTCTCCGACCATGTCCTGTGTCAGCTCATTATTGTCCTGCTCATTGTCACCTCACACATTCTCCTATCTGACGTGTAAGTCTAGCCTGAATGGTGCAGCATCACATTGATGAACCAGTCTGCCAAATAAGGCTTCAACTGAATTTGCCAAAATGGTTAAAGATAATTGTTTTTTTAGTTTAATTATTGTCTAAACAATTTTAAATTAACAAACTGTGATCAAACAGATGGTGTATCTGGACACATTGATTTACTAAAAGACATTTTTTTGTTATGGTTTTTTGTTGTTATTTCTAAAATGGGGATTCCTACAAAATAGTCCAAATATTTCATTCATCTTTATTCATTTTTCCTATAACAGAGCACTTAGTTTTAAAGTGATCTCATCAAGTTTTTTTGTTGAGTAAAATAAATTAAGTGTAGCCTATCTACAAATTAGGCACTTGATACATTTTCCTATTATATCTGAATCAATGATTGACAGGTTGCCAAGTTTTTTGGAGCATAGACTCACAAAGAAGTAAATACTGAGAAGATTTTGTGTGTTCAGTCCAGTTTGGCTCTTTGTTTAGTTTTCATTTGTCAAAAGTTAACTATTTCATTATAACATTAAAGTTGTACTCCTTACTAAGTTAAAAATTAATTATGCTTGTAAGCACATAAATATGCTTGTAAGCATACATTTCATCAATTCTTTTATTTTTTAATTTAAATTTTCTGTTTATTGTTATGTGCATAAGCAGATCTAGCCTTTTATTTATTTATCGGGGGGGGGGGGAATAATTCTACATGTCTCTCCCATTTTGAACAGAATAGTTATAGGCCTAAATATAATAGAAAACTACAATGATCCAAAAGTCTTGCCTATTTTTAATCCACTTTTTCAGGAGGGACTTAGTTCCCTCCCCAAGGCACATCCTATACTTTCAGTTATATTTTAGTGCATTCTTTAAGTATAAATTAGGCCATAATTACCCAACAGCTCTTAAATCACCATAGCAAACAAGTTCTTATTATTATTATGTATGTAAATGAGAAAATAACTTATGCCAACTTTTAAAACTTGGCTAAATACAATTGGCAGTCATTAGTTTTTGTGGTCAGTTTTATGTTGTTTTTTTTCTTCCCACAGACAAAAAAATTACTTGAGTGCTGAACTTGTGTTTGTTCTCTTTGATTTTTTATTATTTATTCTTGTCCTTGTGGAAATGATGCCTGTAAGTATTTGTTATTTTCTCTTTAAAAAAAAAGGTTTATAAACACTAAATAATTGGTTGTAAGTAATGAAATTGTTTTTTAAAATATTAGATTTTAATATTTTGTACAGGATCTAATTTGGCCAACTTTTCAATTATGATTTGTTTTTTAACTTTTCAGTGTTTTCCATTGGTTATAAGAAAGTTTTTTCATAATTTTCTTGGAAGGCGTAATGTTAGTCAAAGTCTAGCAGCATTGTCTATATTGTGTAAATTCTTAGCTGGTATATTTCCTATGGTAAGCATTTTCTTTTAATTGTACTGCTTGATTATTAAGTTTTTAAAATGTAAATTAAAGTTGAAAATATTTTTCTGGTTGAGATAGTTTAATTGTTGGAGTTGCTTTAGAGTATTTTTGTATTCCCTCATTGATGTTTGTTATGATTTAACATTGTGCTAACTTCCCTTAACAGCTATTTGTAGAACAGCCTGACCTGAAGTCGTGCCTAAAGGACCACTATGGAAACTTTTCCCTTTACACTGTCCGTCTAGCCAACATCACAAGAGCCTCCAAGACAACTATTTGCAACCCTGATGGTGAGACTACATTTTTTCCTGAGGTAACCAGCCCAGCGCTGACATGTAAATCTTAGCTTTTATTTTTTTATAATCCTTGACCACATAAGTCTAAATTATAGTTATGTTGCTGGTGATTTAAAAAAAAAACATTCTTGAACTAAATTTGATCGATTTTACCAGAGCCAGCAGTGGTGCTGATAAATTACCTACAATTACAAGCTAGGTTGTGTGTTACCTACAATTACAAGCTAGGTTGTGTGTTACCTACAATTACAAGCTAGGTTTTGTTACCTACAAGTACAAGCTTGGTTGTGTTTTACCTGCAATTACAAAACCCAAACATTCTTTAGGATCAGTATATCATTTTCAGGCAATAGACAAAAATTGTGAATAATGTTTTTTCTTTATTACATACTAGGCATTGTGTATAATGTGTAGTCATTCTACAGAATTACATCATTTGTCTAGGCAAAGAGTTAAATGTGTAACTTTGAGTGTAGTTAAACTATATTTTGTCCCAAAATGAAAGAAGAAATATAAAATATGCATGATATAATGTTGCTAAGTTTTGGTAAGAGGAAATCTAAAATAAAGCAAGCTACTAGACATAGAGTTGAACAAAAGTCATAAGAGTCTTTTTATTAGAGGTCCTACACCTAATATTAACTTTGTATGGATAATGGGTGGTTTAACATTCTGTTATATTGTGTTAACATTGTGTGATACTCTTATATTGTAAGCTGCTGTGCTGTTGCTAACCCTTAAAGTCCCAAGTTCAAACCACCTGGCAGCTCAATAGCTGGGGACAATAACCCATCTAGCAGAGAAAACTTTTAAAGAGTGGAGCCCCTTGGGCAATAGAATACCAACTTTGGTTTCTTTTTTACATCTGTAACAGAAGCTGGTACCAAAGCTATTGCTGAGCATTCCTTTGCACTAAACTGGCCAATGTAAAGAGAAGGATCAGGATGCAGCAGCAACTCTGATCTCTTTATCTAATGCCCTGGTGTGTACCCTTGGTATCTCCTGAGGCAACATGGAGCCATGTATTGGGTTAATCAAGGGCATAAACCAATGGGATATAACAATTATTTTATTTTTATTTTTTTACCATCTCCCGTCTTCAATGCTTGGGTGAATAGCTTGTCACAGTTGGCTTACATATTCTTTCTTTTAAACACAAAACATTGCCAAGAAACTGATTTTAATGAAGACATAGAGCAATTTTTTTTCTCTAAAATGATGTGATTTATTTCTGTTGTTGTTTCACCCCAAAGTATCTTGGTTTGTCAGTGTGTTTGGTGTGTGTGTTCCTAGAAATGTGTTTACAAACTAAACTCTGGTGCAATTTACCCTTCTACAAATGTACTGTCACATTCACAACTACCAAAACATTGTGTAGGTCACTGAACCTCTTGTCTAAATTAGGGAGAGAATAGGACTCTACAGTGGCCCTAAAGAATTTAAAGGAAACTTTTACTTGCACTTTGAGATTTTTTTTCAGATGCCTCATATTTTCAACCACATTCTAATTGTTGAAGCAAGCATTACACAACCTATGTACTCCATAATCTTCCAATTCCACCACCACCATCTTTTGCCATGTTGTTGTTGCCATGGTTTCCCTTTATATTGAACTCTGATTGGTGTTCTGTGTGAGCTGACATGGAGCTAGAAGGCCCACTATTTGTTTGTGTATTGTGTTGTGTAAAATACCAGTGTAACACAATACTTATTTGTGCTTGCAGCGCTACCTGTATTCTGTAGTGATAGCCATGCTGAGTACTTCCGTATTTCTGGAAGCTTCCAGTCTAATCAAGTTGGTGCTCTCAGCTCTTATTGGAAGTCTCTACATGGTGCTCATGGAATCCTTTTACCCTCTCCTCTTCACAAACAGAGATTACCTCCTCCTCACAGACCATGAGTTGGTTTTTTCTTTTTTTTATACAAATGTTAGGTTTTTAATTTTTTATAGAAATGTTAGGTTTTTTCTTTTTTATACAAATGTTAGGTTTTTAATTTTTTATACAAATGTTAGGTTTTTAATTTTTTATAGAAAAGTTAGGTTTTTAATTTTTTATACAAATGTTAGGTTTTTAATTTTTTATACAAATGTTAGGTTTTTAATTTTTTATAGAAATGTTAGGTTTTTAATTTTTTTTTTATAGAAATGTTAGGTTTTTAATTTTTTTATAGAAATGTTAGGTTTTTATTTTTTTTATAGAAATGTTAGGTTTTTAATTTTTTATAGCAATGTTAGGTTTTTAATTTTTATAGTTAGGTTTTTAATTTTTCAACTTAGTGCAAGATCAACTAAATGCTCAAACTTCCAGAAATAAATTTTTAAAAGTATTATTTTAACATCTTCTGGGCTTCATTTCATTTTAATTATTTCATATACATCAAATACATCAATACATCACTACTTTTTTTTAGCATGGAACCTTTTGCTGACGGAGGATGGGTTCCACTACGCTGGGAGGCCATAGTGATTATCATCATGATCACATTGATATTGTTCTTACATGCCCAGCAAGTGGAATCGACAACACGCTTAGATTTTATCTGGAAAATTCAGGCTAGTATTTCATTCATTGCCGGTTAAGTGATAAACTGACCACGTGGTGTCCTCAAAAAATGCTAAATGTTTTGTCCTGCTGGATGTAATGTTAAGATAGGCTTATCAACTTAGAAGTATTTACAAAAGATATTGTTTCATATCTTTCTAAGATTGACCAAATTCTGTGTGTAATGCAAAGGTAGGCTACTCAACTGAGAAGTGTAAAGAAACGATATTATTTTACATCTTTGTGAGCAGATTTAAAAACTATTACATGCACCAACATTGTTTCATCTTTGTGCAGGCAACAAAAAACTGCAAGCAGAATTTTCAGTTTGACAGGATGGAGTGATAGTAAAAGTTACACCTTTATTTTTATATTTCCTTTGACTGAGAATGCAATAACAAAATATTAATCTATTTTATCCTCTAGCTGTTAAAATTTGAAAAGAAAGATTTGCCATATTGGAAGCCTATAGGCTTAATTATTAAGTTTTTTTTTTTTTACTGATAAAATTTAAACCAATAAATTGCAAATTTAAAAATGTGAAATAATTCCGTTAAGTAAAACCATTTAAGCTAGTTAATTTGTGTCTGAATAAAAACCAGTTGAAGCCATAACACCCTCCAAATAATTGTGTAGTGTTCTGCAACACCCCCTTAGACTCCCCCCCCCCCCACCCCCACTCACCACCACCATCAAACCCTACCTGAATGCTTACACCAGAGTTATTCTACTAATTTTTATATGCTTTAATTTCTTCATTTATTGCGCTAAACTAGTTTCCCACAAAAGTGCTGCCACAGATGAAGTTTTATAGACAAGCTGTACAAACCAACTAACTTTACCTCAAAATTGCTTGAAATAACTTAAACTAGCTAAATTACGTTTGCTTCTAAATTTTTCTAATACCTAATTCCTAAAATGAGAATAATAAAATTAGTACCTAAATAAATTAGTCTAGATTTTAAGAACACACTGCATGTCATTGCACAAGTTTTACAATAAAAAATCACAATGTAACATTTTTACTAGCTGTTTCTTAGGTCACAATGCCTTTTGGTGTGTGGACCTCTTTGTGGGTAAATCTTGTAACTCAAATTTGACCCATGGGGGGGGGGGGGGGGGGGGGGGGGTGTCAAAATGTACAGATAAGGGTTTCCCTGATAACTAATCAAGAATATCTCAACATCAGACTAATTATATTTTAAATAGGCCATATCAAACAGTTTTACAGATTACTGTATTCAATAAGTAATGGGTAACCACGTGGAAAAAATTGATATTAAACCTTGTTTACAAATCTGAGAGCCAAGAAGAATAGTTTACATAAGCTACTGATCAAGTTTAATGGCTTAAATATTTACTCATGTGGAGTGTCAACTAATTTAGGAATGAACTAACTGAGAGAATAAATATGGAACTAAATGTTTTTACTATTATAATTTTTGTTCTTAGATAATAATAGAAGAAATAAAACATTAAAAAAAACATAATAACAAGCTTTTAAATGCACTAAAAATATGACATTTACCTTACTTTAGACATAACAGTTAAAGCATTGGTATCTCATAAAATCTATATCACATTTTAGCAACCAATGATACTTTAGGACTATATCTAAAGAAAGAATATAACGGTTTTTAAGTATAAAGATTTTTTTTTTTTAATTGCAAAAGCTTGTTAGTATAAAGGATTTTGTGTTTTTTCTCAAAATTTGAATTTATTTTGTAGTTTAAACAACCATATAACATTTACATTTTTAAAGGATAGGACATCAATTAAAATTAAACATCAGTCGCTATGATAATTAGGTAAAAATACTGATATTTTTAGGTTTAATTTAAATATTGAAGATGCTTTTTGTAAATGTATTATTAGTATTAATGATTTGAAGCAGTAAGCTAAGTTTGATGTCAATCTTAATTAATGTGTAACTAATTATTTGCATTTTCAAATGAAAAAAAAATACTCCTCCTAGGTTTTATCAAAAATGTATTTTATTTCAAATGTAAGACTTCCAGAAATCGTGTTAGAAAATTACTTGTAATATTTGGATTCAAATTTTCAGGCTCAAGAAGAAAAAGAAGAGGGAGAGAACCTTAGAGAGTACAATCTGAAACTCTTATCAAATATCCTCCCTTTACATGTGGCCAAACATTTTCTTCAAATGAAAGATGAAACGGTATGGAGGTGTTATAGTGAAAAATAATTGTAGATATGGCTTATGGATAAATAGTATTTATTAAATATAGGCCGATGTATTCTACTTAACTGTATTCATTTGTGGAATAGTATCTGCTAAAATCAGATACTTAAGAGAAAGCTGTATCAACCACTAGTAAAACTGTCCTTTTTCAGAACTTGTACTATGAGGATATAAACAACGTTGGTGTGATGTTTGCCTCAATTGTCAATTTCTCAGAGTTTTACATGGAGCTAGAGTCTAATAATGAAGGTGTAGAGTGTCTCAGACTGCTTAATGAAATTATAGCAGACTTTGATACTGTGAGTATCTCATGCAAACATCTACACTTTGAAACATGTAAACCTTGATTAAATCACCCAAACAATTTAATTGACAGTAAACTTCCTTTTCATATAAACATAGAAACTCATTCATTTTAAAATTTTTACCAATACATTAGATTTTAGGAGTTTAACTTCAATTGTCATTTTTAATAGTGTGAAAACATTCTGATATATTTGAACTCAATGCTTATATGTTTTGGCAAAAGTAAAAGCAATTAAAATAGTACTATTTTTCAAACTAAATTTTATCAATTTTACTATTTTTCACACTAAATTTTATCAATTTTACTATTTTCTCACACTATCAATATTTTACTATTTTTTCAAACTAAATTTTAAAAATTTTACAATTTTTTTCACACTAAATTTTATCAATTTTACTATTTTCTCACACTATCAATATTTTACTATTTTTTCAAACTAAATTTTAAAAATTTTACAATTTTTTTCACACTAGATTTTATCAATTTTACTATTTTTTCAAATGTGATTGACTTGGTTTTGTTTTAATTTATTTTCAGTTGTTAACGCATAAGAGATTTTTTTGTGTAGAAAAAATAAAAACGGTGGGTCAGACGTACATGTGTGCTTCAGGCTTGACGAGCAGAACCAACTTCTCTGACTTGTCTCACGTGACAGCCCTGGCTGACTACACTTTTGCCCTGCAGAACCAGATGCAGTACATTAATGAAAACTCATTCAATAACTTTGTCATGAGAATAGGTTGGTGCTCATTTGAAAATGTCTTTTTGTTTCCTTTTGCACATTCTTTGTTTCTTAGTTAATCAGATTTACATTTTAAAGAGAGTAATCATAAACCTATGCCTAACTAAAACCCAAAGCAAAGGGTATGATTTTACAACCCAAACCTTATTAGCTGTCTTGCTCTTCCAGAGAAATATGTCAGTAATTATTGCCATTTAAAAGTAAACCTTCAAGTATCTTTAACTAATAATAATATTAAAAGTGTATTCATCAGGAAAATACAATAAATTAGAAGAACACATGATGTAAAAATAGAATTCCTTGAAAAATAGTTTTGCTAAATATAAATAATGCTTATTTTAGTCCAATTTTGTTTTCATATTTTGTCTTTGTTTACAATCCATTGTTAATTTTACATTTACATGTATTTTATTTCATTTTATTTTATTTTAGGTATTACTAAAATTAATTTTTCTTTCATTATTAAATGCTTATAAATCTAATAATTACAATATTTATAAATTGGTGAAAAGATGACAAAGTTAACTTGACAACATGGCAGGTAAAAGATAATAAAGTGTAGTAAAACAAAAATCCTTTCATGATTTCATGAGTTATCTTGACTTTATGGCAGGTATAAATATTGGTCCTGTAGTTGCTGGGGTCATTGGTGTTAAAAAACCACATTATGACATTTGGGGAAACACAGTCAATGTGGCCAGTCGAATGGACAGTACAGGTGTTCCAAACAAAATACAGGTCAGTTGATTGGACAAACAGACTTTTATAGATGAGCAAATATTTTCCAGAAGACAAATAATTTGCAAGCTACCAACAATGCATGTAACATTTATAGATGTTATATATTTTTATGAAATTATTAAAGCAATATTAGCTCAGTATTTTTTTTCTTCCAATAAAAAATAACTAGGTTTTATAGAAAATGAAAATGTATTTTAAGAAATACAAAGTGTCTGTCATGTCCCAATTCTTCCCCCGCCCCTTAATGTAGCATATTGTCTCAGAAAATCAGAGCCCCCTTCCACACTAGCGCAGAATGTTACTTATTAATACAAATAATCAGAAACTAACTTATATTTTCTTAAAGTGTTTGATTCTGTTTTAAGCATTGGATAAACAATTTAAATAAGTAAGTAAAATCAATTACCCCTTATGATCTAATAGTTTATGGAGCAGATGAGGATGAGTTATTGGTTCTGTAAGCTCCATGTTTGTGGTGTTGATTTTATTTGGAACCACATTTAGGCCAACAACTGTATAAACACAGTTATGCCCTACAGACCTAAGTCAGGTACCCATTAGTGAATACAAGTATGTCCTACAGACTTGTGTCAGGTACTCATTAGTGAATACAAGTATGTCCTACAGACTTGTGTCAGGTACTCATTAGTGAATACAAGTATGTCCTACAGACTTGTGTCAGGTACTCATTAGTGAATACAAGTATGTCCTACAGACTTGTGTCAGGTACTCATTAGTGAATACAAGTATGTCCTACAGACTTGTGTCAGGTACTCATTAGTGAATACAAGTATGTCCTACAGACTTGTGTCAGGTACTCATTAGTGAATACAAGTATGTCCTACAGACTTGTGTCAGGTACTCATTAAAACCAAAAGTGTATTTAAAATTTTTTTATTTCATCACCAGGTGACAACAGAACTGTTCAGATTATTATTAGCCCAGAACTACAAGCTTTCATATCGTGGGTCGGTCCAAGTGAAAGGCAAAGGCGATATGCAAACTTATTTTCTTGAAAGCATGCCACCGGGTGCGTCATTAGAAGATATGAGAACTTTTGATTAGTTGAGACAATTTATAAAATTATTCACTTATTGTTTACTACAGCTTATGTGATATTAGATTTATAGATTTTAAAATGGAATCATTTTTCCCCGCTCACTTCTATGAATTGCAACAAAAAATTTTATGCAATAAAAAGATGGTTGTAGAGCATCTATGTCCTTATCCTAGGTGGATTAGTCTGCTTTCTGTAGAGCTCATGTGTCTGAGAAGAAATTAAAATATCCATCATACTTTAGTGTTTAGCAACATCTTGCATTAAATTTGATCAGCCATATGTAAGCACAATGTCTGTACATAATTGAATTTAGTGGCTAGCCTCAAACAGTGTCACATTGTACATTTCATTCCACATTGTATAAATCTTCAATTTAAAAAAACATTTTTACTCTCAAGCTCAACATATCCATTGTTAGTTTGTTCTCTAGAGATTTTGGTTGTTGTTTTTAACCAGACTTCAAAATCTTTTTCATCCCTGAATGCTCTAGAAAATAATTGACAACTAATGGCTGTTTTAAGTTCTGCAGCATTATGAGACCCATGTTATCACCCACAATCTCATCAACCCATGTATCTTTTCTGTGATACCTCACTGCTAACTATATTTTTCCTTCCTAAACTAACTTCAGCTCAAATGATGATGACAATTTAAATAATAATTAATATACACAATTTTTCTGTTACCATGATCAATGTATTGCTGATGTCTGCTGTGTTTTTGTAGTTTGTTACTGTAATATCCTACATTTACATGTTTTACTAATTGAACTGTTCCTTTTTGTTCTCTGTCAGATTTTATAACAGAAATCTATTCTATGCTTTTCATACTCCTTACTTTATTATGTAACTTGGATGTTTTATTTATTTTTTACCTACTGAAAGATTCTCTTAATACATTTTTAAGTAACATTTCACTTTGAATTAGAAATACATATTTTTAAACAAGTTAATTATGTAAATAAAATGTGTGCAAGCACTATTAAACTTACCATGCTTTTTAATAACTTTTTAAATAGTTTATTATTTGAGCATTTTTTTTAGTGTTGTAAACCTAGCCTATAGGCCTGTCATGTTCTTACTTTGTAAACCTCAGCCCATAGACATGGTACTACATAGATTTTTTTTCTTTAGCATCTGTTTCTTCATGTTTGTTTACTTTTTACTTTCTTTTCTAAAAACTAACTCTGTGCAACAGTACATGTAGGATTTATTAGAGCACGAGATGTAGGACTGCATGGATGTCTGCACTCTATACCCACATCTTTAGTGTATAACATTCGCTCTTCTCAAAAAGGAGCATTCACTTAATGTATTAATTCATAAAAATAATTTTAAACCCATTTTAAAAACTAGCACTGTAGCAGCATTCACTTGACTCATCTTTAATTTAAAATATTAGACATACTTTTTTAATACGTGCAATTTAGTAATAAATATTATTCATTGAGTTATTTACTAATTAATTTTGTATCATTTTAAAAACTAAAATGAAGGAGTTATTATTTAAGTGTGCCATCTAGTATCACAATAAACAATTACTTTTATTCAAACCACAGATTTCTAATTTAATCTAAATAAAAATGTGTTCCATTTCAGTGTATCAAGTGTTGTTTGAGCTGCATGCATAATTATCTATTATTTATATTCCAGCTTCTGAATCCCCTCCATTGTCATATATGTGTGATGAAGCTAGTGCATCATTCAGAAAAAAATAAATTGATTTGTAAACTGTTATGTAGCAGTTTCTTATATCAATCTGAAAACAAATAAAAAATTGAAGTGGACACAATTATTTAACCAAATATTTTATATACTTCATAAATTTGTACCAATTTTTATGTGCTCTTTAAAAATTCAAATGGTAAAAATTTGTAAATAAAAAGGTAGTGTAACAACCACATTAATGTTTTAAATGTATATTCATCAACCATATATGACAAACTTTCTATGATATTGAAGAATTTCGCCTCAGTGAGTATGGTTCCCATTATGTTTCAAACGGTTGCATCTACTTAAAATATTTTTTGAAGTTGATTTAAATTCTTGGTTGAAATATATATTATAAATAAACTATACATGACCAAAATGATGCAGACAGTTTTACTTATTTTCTTTTTAGATTTTCAACAAATGTTAATTTGTCTATGTTTCAGATTTCTATTCATGTTTGTACCAATTGTTTTTAATTTTAAAAATGTGTGTGATTAATTTTTATGTTTCCATTTAATGTTAATTTTTGTTGTTAATTTATGGCAATTTTTTTTAATTGCTTGAACAAACATACAAAAGAACAGACAAACCAAAAGTAATTATACCTTAAATGATTGTTATTTTTTTAGAGCATTTAAGTTTTGAATTACCTCATTGTATTTTGTATTAATATTATCTTTTTGATTTTTAGTCATTGTTCAATTGAAATTCATCATATTATCTGAATGCAAAATAAATTATGTTGTTTCATAATTTATTTTCATGGTTTTAATTTTGTTTGGTTCAAATTTACTATTCAACAAAACATCTTGGTTTTATTGTAACACATAAACTAAATGTATGGGCTTAGTATATAATCAGTTTCAAAGTTTAATTAGGTGACAATTATATTTTAAAAGTTAGCCTAGACATCTATACATTTATAAAGTAATACAATAGCGCAATTAGCATTTTGTTTTTCAAGTTAGAAAGCATTTGCAGGGCCATAGGCTACATTTAAAATGAAATAAATTTACTAGAAAGTGATTTTATTTCAACCTATTTTATTTTTAATTTTTTTTTGTTTTAAAATAAAGTAGTTTAGTTTTCTTAGCACAGCAATACTAAGAAATAACTGGCTACATTTGAAATTTTAAACGGTGAAATTTTAAAACACCATTACCATTTGATAGTGTGGCGACATGAGTTATGAAATATTTGAAGAAACAGCCAGCTAGGGCCTTATATTTGCTTTTTTCTTATTTATTTGTCATCATTAAGTTTTTTACTTAAGTTATGTAAATACATTATAAATAATTTTCTTTTCAATATAAATATAAATTTAAACATAATTTTTTTAGCAAAAGATTGAAAATATTTTCAAACCAAAATATGTTTGACAAATTTATTGAAAATATGCTTTTGTTTTGCAAATAAAAGAACAAAAGTATGCTAGTTCTCTTAATACACAATCTGTGTTTGCTAACGGTAATTATTTAAAAAAAAGAAATGTAATTGTCTACATTAAGTTTGCATGTGTGTATATGTACATGTGTAAATATGTGTGAGAGAGAAAGAGAGAGAGAGATGTTCAGATATCCCATTGTAGAGTAGCCTACCAAGAGTTATTGTCAGCTGTATCTCACCTTAACTGAGCCCCAACCAAACCACAATTTTAACACTTTAACCTCTTATGTCTATAGATACACCTATAAAATATAGAATAAAAGACATCACAAACTTGAATCAGTGTACATAAACATCTAGTGAATTAAATATCTAAAAGATTAGATAGAATCAATCATAGGATGAGAGAATAAGTTATGATCTTTTGATTGTGATCTCTAATGAATTATGCGTGTTTATATATATATATATATATATATATATATATATATATATATATATATATATATATATATATATATATATATATATATACATATCACTGGCGTAGCTAGGGGACGGTTGGTGGGGTGGCAACCATAGTTGCCAACACAAAGGGGGCGCCAAAAAGAGATAAAAAAGATATTTGAAAGCTCATTTTAAACTGATGTATTAAATTATATACAGTCAAAGTGTGGCACCTAAGTAAAAACTAGTGACTCGTAAAAAGTGCCACCAACCTTTTCAAATTGTGGGTACAAACGATTTTTCAGTAACAAGAATAAATATAATATAAATTGGAGGGGGGCACAAAATTGATAGTTCGCCCCAAGCGGGTTGCTAGGCCTTTGATATATATATATATATATATATATATATATATATATATATATATATATATATATATATATATATATATATATATATTTACATACATACATATATATATATACATAAATATATATATACATTTATATAATTGTATACATACATATGTATAATTGTATATATACATATATATAATTGTATATATACATATATATAATTGTATATATACATATATATAATTGTATATATATATATATATATATATATATATATATATATATATATATATATATATATATATAATTTAGTTGCTACGCCTCTGATATATATATTTATATAAATATATATATACATATATATCATTGTATATATACATATATATACACATATATAAATATATATATACATATATATAATTTTATATATACATATATATATATATATATACATATTATATAATTGTATATACACATATATATATGTGTGTATTTATATATATATAGATACATATATATATATTACGTGTTTTATTTTTATATCAAATTGTACCTGTTGTACATAACAAACAACAGAGTGAAAGCTTAGGTAACTTTTTTACCTTTTAATTTTATGTATTATTGATATTAAGAAAGATTTCCTAATTAAAATTGATAGCTGGCTCTGAAATTATCCAGTAAATCAATTGCTTGCAAATATTAAAATAACACCATTTATTTGATACATACTAGACTACTGTTTATAAAAAAAGTTTATGTTTTTCCTATTAACATTTGTGATCATAAAAACCATTTTGTGATTGGCTTTGTTAATGTGACTAATCAACCAATTTGAAACCTAAGTTTCAAGCGTTGGTAAATTTTATTTTATCCACATTTACATATTTCAGTGGTAATTTTATTATGTACTGAGTTACAATTTTTATTCATACATTTAAAGTGCATTGTAAAAAAAATCCTGTAATGTTTTTAACTCTTATTTTAGGTAGAAGAGTATCTAATAATAATTAGTATTATTTATTTTCAATTTTAATGCATAATATTCTTTTTTTATTTTATGATTAATTTTTCCAAAATAAATGTAGACCCTGAATCTTTACTAAAGATGATTCATTTTTAAAAATGTGTATTACATATTGTTTAACTCATGATTTGTTTATTATGTTCATTCTACAATGGATTTCATGAATTTGTTTCATTATTTACTTTGTTCTATTTGCCTGTCTTGCCATCCATAAGCATTAAATAATTTTTGTTTCCTTATTTATTTGAATCTGTTGAAGTTTGCTTTTGATATTTTATTTTTCTCTCTGTGAAAGTGTCAGTAATCCTCAGCCTAAGATGTCATTTTTTTGTATGTTAGAACATTCCAATTAAACAAGTCAAATGTTATGTTTTGTAAGAAATGTTGCTGTGTTATTCTTTTTAATACATCACAATCATCTTTATTTCACGATACATATCAAGATTTGCACATGTGTATTTTTCGAACCTACTTTATTCAAATATCGAAGTTTTACACCCAGAGTTTCTGCACATTCAACCCATCTCCCCGTACATACGAGGCCTTATGACAATATATAAAAAATATATAGGCCTACACAAAATACATGCTAGAACCAGTGTCCGCCCACTCCTCCCACCCACACACCCCCATCATGCCATCAATCTCCACCTTTCTCTCCCCCCCCCCTTTATCTCCCCCAACCCCCGGGAGAAATATATCTATAAGCAACTTGTTTATAATGATCTAGATCTACTACACTATTTCTGTTTGTCCGTCAGTTAAACTACAAGCAACCCAACACAGGAAGTTGACCCGGGGTAGGATGTAATCGTTTGTCATTACGTCATTCCTGAACTTGGCAACTGCGCTGTGTCCGCGTGGACTATCCAGAACATTCTATCTCGAGTGGATGACGTCGTCCCCATCACGTGTGTTCGTGCGTGAGTGCAAAGGGTCACAGGAACAGCGACTTGTTCTTTTAACTTAGGTCTGTTCTTGACACGTTTAGCTGTCTGGTCTACCTAGACTGGGCTGTCTTGTCTACTTTACCTGTCTGGACTGTCTACGTTACCTGTCTGGGCTGTCTTGTCTACTTTACCTGTCTGGGCTGTCTTGTCTACTTTACCTGTCTGGGCTGTCTTGTCTACTTTACCTGTCTGGACTGTCTACGTTACCTGTCTGGGCTGTCTTGTCTACTTTACCTGTCTGGGCTGTCTTGTCTACCTGTCTGGGCTGTCTTGTCTACTTTACCTGTCTGGGCTGTCTTGTCTACTTTACCTGTCTGGGCTGTCTTGTCTACCTGTCTGGGTTGTCTTGTCTACTTTACCTGTCTGGGCTGTCTTGTCTACTTTACCTGTCTGGGCTGTCTTGTCTACTTTACCTGTCTGGGCTGTCTAGTCTACGTTACCTGTCTGGACTGTCTTGTATACTCTACCTGTCTGGGGTGTCTTGTCTACTTTTGTTTAACCGTCACGAAGCGCCCTGTCTAAAACATATCTTAGGGTCCCTAACTCAAGGGTATGCAAGGACTATAACTTATGTCCGAGATATTTAAATATGGAAGTTGTCCGGTGTATCTAACTATGGTAGGCCTAGGCTAGTTGTTAGCGTAACAGTCCCACAGCCTCCATAGCTGACCACCCGTCGTTGGACTGTGCTAGTAGGCCTGTACGTGTGTCATCAACTGAAACAAAGGGTCAAAAGTTCGCGAGCACCGAGGTAAATGTGTAAGTATGAAAGGGTAGGGGTTGGCGGGGTCGTTCTTCAATTTAAAAATAGCAAACCTACAGGAGTCGGGGATAGTTCAATTGTACTCGACTGGACATCGGGGTAACACTGAGGTAGAATCTATAGTAGAATCTCCATTTACTCCTGGAAATTTCTCTATTTCTTCTGTCCGTTTACCTGAGCATTACACAGTCTAATACAATCTTAATTAAATAATCTAAGTATTTAAAACCCGTGTGCTGTGCCTTTCATTGACGGATAACAAATCGATGCTAATCTTTGGCTAATTATCAAGTCTGGTGTCAGTCTTTGGGCCGCCATGAAAAGATGTGCAGAAGAAACGCCCACCAACCCAGGGCCGTCGAGTAAGAAGATAGTTCCCATACGACGCAAGGAACTCCCGAGCAAGGAACAGCTCAAGAAAGTGCTGGCCACGGCGGGCAGCAGCTCTAGACCTAGTGAGGTGAGGCGGGCAAGGTGGCAGGAGGGGGACCTGCTGTGGGCCAAGATCAGGGGCTACCCCTTCTGGCCCTCCATGGTGTCCAGGGACCCGTTCAGTAATCTCTTCACCAAATCTCTGGGTGAGTACATCTTGCTAATCTCTTCACCAAATCTTTGGGTGAGTACAGCTTGCTAATCTCTTCACCAAATCTTTGGGTGAGTACAGCTTGCTAATCTCTTCACCAAATCTTTGGGTGAGTACAGCTTGCTAATCTCTTCACCAAATCTTTGGGTGAGTACATCTTGCTAATCTCTTCACCAAATCTTTGGGTGAGTACATCTTGCTAATCTCTTCACCAAATCTTTGGGTGAGTACAGCTTGCTAATCTCTTCACCAAGTCTTTGGGTGAGTACATCTTGCTAATCTCTTCACCAAATCTTTGGGTGAGTACAGCTTGTTAATCTCTTCACCAAATCTTTGGGTGAGTACATCTTGCTAATCTCTTCACCAAATCTTTGGGTGAGTACAGCTTGCTAATCTCTTCACCAAATCTTTGGGTGAGTACAGCTTGCTAATCTCTTCACCAAATCTTTGGGTGAGTACAGCTTGCTAATCTCTTCACCAAATCTTTGGGTGAGTACAGCTTGCTAATCTCTTCACCAAATCTTTGGGTGAGTACATCTTGCTAATCTCTTCACCAAATCTTTGGGTGAGTACATCTTGCTAATCTCTTCACCAAATCTTTGGGTGAGTACAGCTTGCTAATCTCTTCACCAAGTCTTTGGGTGAGTACATCTTGCTAATCTCTTCACCAAATCTTTGGGTGAGTACAGCTTGCTAATCTCTTCACCAAATCTTTGGGTGAGTACAGCTTGCTAATCTCTTCACCAAATCTTTGGGTGAGTACAGCTTGCTAATCTCTTCACCAAATCTTTGGGTGAGTACAGCTTGCTAATCTCTTCACCAAATCTTTGGGTGAGTACATCTTGCTAATCTCTTCACCAAATCTTTGGGTGAGTACATCATGCTAATCTCTTCACCAAATCTTTGGGTGAGTACAGCTTGTTAATCTCTTCACCAAATCTTTGGGTGAGTACATCTTGCTAATCTCTTCACCAAATCTTTGGGTGAGTACATCTTGCTAATCTCTTCACCAAATCTTTGGGTGAGTACAGCTTGTTAATCTCTTCACTGTGAGTACAGCTAGCTAATAGAATGTGTTGTTATACTTGGCTCATGGTGGGGTTGTGTAGACCTAGTTGCTGGTTTAGTTATGTATGCACCAAATATGTAGGTGAGTAGGATTACAGTAGATCATTAAAAATATAAGTGGCTGATGGTAGCGTGGAGGGGATGGATAAGGTAGTCCTAGTTGCTATGTACCTGGAGAACAAGTCAACAATCTGTTTACTAAATCCATAGATGAGTAGTGTAGGTCTACATCATAAAGTATAGCTTGCTGTGGAGGGGAGGGGATATGGATACAGAATGATAATGAAAGAGGCAGAGATAATTATGTTGGGCTAGTGCAGGACATGAGGATAACCCCCCCCCCCCCACAAGACAGGCCACTCATCTGCCTCTTTATAAACACACCACTGAAAACTGAAACCCACCCCAACAGAAACAAATCCTGCTATGGTGATAATTCCTCCAACACTCCCACTAATGAGCTTATGAATGTTCTTATCATTCCTCAGAGATAAGTGCAGATTCTTACATTAATGCCCTGCAATACATTCTTAATGTAAAGTAATGAATATATTATTTATAACCTGAAACTGTTGTATTTGTTAAACAAACAGAGAGCAGAAACAGACCTCTATTTAACCAGTAAGATTTCATTGAAAAAATAACTTATTCATCAAATCACACCGCCAGCCATGTGTTACATGCAACATGTATGTAATGACTCTCACAGCAAATTTTAATTAGGTTTTATCTCTCCTCAAATTCACTCATACATACTTAGCACACACACACACGCTGTCTTCCCCTGGGGGTCATTACCACACCCCAGCTGTATTCAGCTATTCAACTAAAAATAAATCTATTTTTCTACAATATTTTTCAAGTTTTTACTTGTGAGATATTCCCACCCCACCCTCTTCCCCTTTAAACGACAAATCTGTAAGGGATTATGATTTGTTCTTTCTAATTTTTAAAAGGGAAAAAATAATACGAATTATCTTGTTATGTTTTGTTTTTCAATTCTGGAAAGGAAAGAATATTAGAAAATATATGTTCAGTTGTGTTTTTATTTTTATTTTAGGAAACTAGAAAACCATAAGAAAATTTCATGTTACATTTTGTTTTTTTATTCCAGGCTAGGAAAAAACCATGAGAAAATATCATGTTACATTTTGTTTTTTTATTTCAGGCAAGGAAAAAACCATAAGAAAATATCATGTTCAGTTCTTTGGTGTTCGTACTGAACGCAGCTGGGTGACTGAAGCTTCTGTCATGGAATTTGAAGGGAGAGAAAAGTTCCTGGAGATTGTCAGGTTTGGTCTGGAATCTCCTACAAAAAACTGCAGGAAAGTCAGTGACTTTAAGGTGAATGAGATGTGGCTCCACTCCTGGACAATAGCAGTCATTCAGGCAGAAAGTGCTGCAAAGCTGGAGATTGAAGAAAGAAAGGAGAGATACTTGTTCCAGTATGTGATGATGACTGGCAATGGCCAGCGTCCAGTCAGTCAGTTACTGGAGACCATCTGGAAAAGGGCATCCAACAACTCTAAAGGTTCAGGAAGTGATGATGAGGATGATATTTACAGTGAACTATACCAAGAGCGAAGACAAACACAGTGGTATGATTCCGATGACCTCATCAGTTCTGATGATAGTGCAGATGAAAAAAAGCCCCCACGTCGTGCACCTGTTAAGATCAAAGTCAGAGAGGGCACATTTGATGTATTTTTAGCCAAGCATGAGCGCTTTATCCGCTTGAAACACCCTGACTGGCCCAGGGAAGACATCATTGAGTATCTCAGTCAGCAGTGGGCTATCATGAAACCACACTATAGAAGGAGGTACACAACCAGGCTTAAGAAGCCCATTTACATTGAAAGCAGGCATCAGAAAAAACAGGTTAGTCTTTTATTTGGGTCTGTTCAGAGGCTCGCTATGGCCAGACTCCCTCTAGTCAGAGACTCCCTCTAGTCAGAGACTCCCTCTAGACAGAGACCCTCTATACAGAGACTCCCTCTAGTCAGAGACTCCCTCTAGTCAGAGACTCCCTCTAGTCAGAGATTCCCTCTAGTCAGAGATTCCCTCTAGTCAGATTCCCTCTAGTCGGAGACTCATTTTCGTCAGATACTCGCTATAGTCATTGATCCTCAGTCAAAACAGTTTCATTTTAGTTAGTGCTGCAAATATATTTTATTTGCTATATCCATTATTTGTATGTTTCAAAACAAAAATTGTGTAGATACTTTTTTGTTGGCATTTGTAATGACAATTATTCACTAGGGTTGTTTAGTTAAGAGACTTTAACAAAATCTGAATTCACATGGTATTTAATAAATATTGGTCATTGTTTGATTGAACAAAGTTAAATTCTAAATGTAACAAAAGTTAAATTCTGAAATTACATATTCAGAAATAACAAAAAAAAAACTATTAAAATAATGAATGTTGCATGGTTGTATTTCTGTTGAAACATCAAGTTTAGTAAAAGTTACAGCCTAGTTACCTTTAGCTACTGGTGCAGTGGTCTAACATTTCAATTTCTACCTTAAGGAAATGGACACCAGAGCCACGTATGATGTGGACGTGACCAGCCTTGACCTTCAGATCCAGAAGATGCCAACAGCTCTGTCCACTGAGACGGGAGGAGGAAGTGTTTGTCTGGTGTGTGGACAAGGAGGGGGGGTGCTGCTGAAGTGTCCAGGGCCCAGGGGGAAGAAAGTGAGGTCTTGTGGCCAGCAGTTTCATGTCCAGTGTTTAAATAAGGACCAGGAGGATGTTGGCAGGTGTCCTAATTGTCAGTCAGGTGGGTTCTGTCTGACAGTTTTCTGCTGTCTGTTATGTAAAGGCTGTCTGTCACATTAGTGCTGTCTGTCAGGTTAGTTGTGTGTGTGATGCTAGTGTTGTCTGTCTGTCTGTCAGGCTGTCTGTCAAGTTAGTCCTATCTATCAAGTTGATGTTGTGTGTGATGCTAGTGTTGTCTGTCAGGCTGTCTGTCAAGTTAGTGCTATCTATCAAGTTGATGTTGCGTGTGATGATCACGCCACATGTTTTGTTATGCTGTCTGTCAGGGAAGCACATGTTATGTTGAGGATGTCTTTCAGTCAAGTGTTGGCTGATGGTAGAACCAACATTTAAATTATAGATTTAAAATAAGGATTTAAAATTAAGATTTAAAATAAGGATTTAAAATAAGGATTCAAAATAAGAATTTATGAAGATTGCCCAATTTTAAATAATTCAATAAGTCACCTTAAACAATCCGTAATGAAATAATGAGAGTAAGATATAACAAGTGTGCTGCCATGTTCCCATTGGCAGATCATGTTTGTTCCTCCTGCCAAAAGCTGGACAAGGCCACCAGGAAGTGTTCCCAGTGCCCCAAGTTCTACCACGAGGGCTGTGTGTCTAACAGGCTGGCTGTGTGGAAGGAGAAGACCTTCACCTGCCCCCTACATGTGTGTTCAACCTGTGTCAGCACAAGGTCAAGGTCATGCTCGGGTTGGTCACACACTTTCTTTACAATTAAAGCAGGAATTAAAGTTTAGAGATCTAATAGTTTTTTTATGTGGTTGTTAAGTCTAAGATGGGATGGAGTGGCCTAGCGGTAGAGAGTTGGACTGCTAACCCGAAAGGGAACTTTACTTTACAAGTCTAAGAGTTGATGTTTTTATCTGGTGTAGACCCACTGTACAGCTGTGTCAGGTGCCCCACTGCCTACCATGGCAGCAACCTCTGTCTGCCTGCTGGCTCCCATATCCTGGACAACAATCTGCTCATCTGCCCCGGCCACTTGAAGGCTGTCAAAACAAACTCCCAGCACGCCAGGGTCAACATGAAGCAGTGTGTGGAGTGTGGGAAAGGTCAGTTGACAGTACAACATCCATCAGTTGACAATACAACATCCATCAGTTGACAGCACAACATCATTATGTTGCTTGTACAACATCCATCCATTAACAGTACAACACCCATCCATTGATGTACAACATCCATAAGTTGACAGTACAACATCCATCCATTGAGAGTACAACATCCATCCATTAATGTACAACATCCATCAATTGACACAACATCCACCCATTGACAGTACAACATCCATCCATTGATGTACAACATCCATCCATTGATGTACAACATCCATCCATTGACACAACATCCACCCATTGACAGTACAACATCCATCCATTGATGTACAACATCCACTCATTGACATTACAACATCCATCCGAGCCGGCGTTAGGGGGTGGCAAACGGGGCGGTCGCCCTAGGCCCCGTGCTTGAAGGGGCCCCGCGCTTCAGCACTGTCATTGTTATCTGAATTACTTCGTAAACTTAAAAAAATTGTATCTGAATTCAATTGGGAAAAACTAAATGGTCGAATGCCGATGTTGTTGATTGTTATAACTTAGGCCACAGTTGATGTTATTGAGTTATCACCCACCTGAACTGGGAAAGGCAGTAATTCGATACAAAAACAGTGTCACACCTCCCCTTTGTGTAGGGTACGGTCGCCTCACATTTGACCTGAGCTGACTGGAGATGGCGGTCTAGAATGAGCCCCCGACCTGACATAGGATGTAAATTTGGGAAACGTAAAGAGATGCCCTATTGTATGCGGACCGATGAAGACGTCCTTTTAGTGAGCAGACGGGATGTCTGTAGTAGACAGTCAGTGACCTGATGAACTCTAGTCCTGACTTTCTTGTTGTAGATGTTGTATATGTAGGCCTACTTGTCTTGGTATAACAAAATTAAAAATCAGTTGCGTGCAGAGGGGTGGGAGGAGGGTTACAAGGGGGGGGGGAGGCCCTTAGGATCTATATCTGGGGTCATTAAACAGAGTGATTTATTATTATTTTTTGGAAGAAAGTTAAAACTGTTGTTATGTTGTGTCATCTTAAGGATTCATCCATTCCAAGACAGAATGATTAATTTACCGAATTCATCCAAATTGTTTTATTCAATCGTCTTCCAGTGGTGCTGACATGATATAGTCAGCGATCAGCGAATTGTCCTCGTCGCACAACTTTGATTGAGGCAATGGAGGGTTGTGATTTAGTAGTCATTGATATTCCCCCAATAAACGCAGACTTTCAATTTATATCTGATACTTTGGTGAACTTAACGGCATTTGTAGAGTGATTAAGCACATTTGTTAATTGTAGGGAAATCCTTTACAATAGTTAAGACAATAATGAGTTTGGTTTTAAAATATTGTATTGATTCTAAACAAATTTTGAAGTCTACACTGTTTTGATACATCAGGCCGAGTTCGCTGTATTGTAAACTTGTCCTGATATCTCACACGTCTAAAGTACTTACATTCACGGCAGCCCGAGCATGCTGTCGCGAAACTCATTAATAAGGTGTAGCAGGCTGTCACTTCCTAATTATAGACACGAACTTTCTCTTGTGAGATCGCTATCATGACCGGTAATGTAATACCCAGTAATATGTGGCCGTTCTATAAACACAAACCTTGTTTTGAATGACTCCAGTCAGAGATCCATTAACGGGGTACTTGAACTTGGTCAGTAGCGTAGCGAGGGGGGACGGGACATATGTCCCCGGGCGCCGACCTTAGGGGGCGCCAAAATGGGTTGGAAAAATAAATTGAAAGGTTGAAGGGGGTGCAAATTGAAAGTTTGAAGGGGGGTGCAAATCGAAATCTTGAGGGGGGAGGTGCAAATCCAAAGTTTGAGGGGGGGGTGCAAATCGAAAAGTTTGTCCCCGGGTGCCGGGAAGGGTCGCTACGCCTCTGAACTTGGTGACCCTTTTTTTAAAGATATGGCATCCCGTAGCCGTAGATTTAAATGCACATTTATCTTTTACCTCCCCCCACCAACTGTACCCACCACAAAGCTCTACCCCACTGAGCGTCCGAGATTAAATTTGAGAATAATTTCATTTGGATATCCATAAACCTAGAACATTGGGTTAAAACATGGGAGAGATAAACATCTGTTATTAAAGTGGAAAGTTTGGCATTAGCTTATAAACTCCAAAACATTTATGTGTAATTATGTGTGCATGCACATTATACAGGCATATATATATATATATATATATATATATATATATATATATATATATATATATATATATATATATATATATATATATATATAATGGAAAAAAGCAGGCCCCGCGCGCGGATGGTTGGCCCTAGGCCCGGCATCTTCCTAACGCCGACTCTGCATCCATCCATTGACAGTACAACACCCATCCATTGACAGTACAACATCCATCCATTGACAGTACAACACCCATCCATTGACAGTACAACATCCATCCATTGACAGTACAACACCCATCCATTGACAGTACAACACCCATCCATTGACAGTACAACATCCATCCATTGACAGTACAACATCCATCCATTGACAGTACAACATCCATCCATTGACAGTACAACATCCATCCATTGACAGTACAACATCCATCCATTGACAGTACAACATCCATCCATTGACAGTACAACATCCATAAGTTGACAGTACAACATCCATCCATTGACATTACAACATCCATTCATTGACTGTACAACATCCATCCATTGACAGTACAACATCCATCCATTGACAGTACAACATCCATCCATTGACAGTACAACATCCATCCATTGACAGTACAACATCCATCCATTGACAGTACAACATCCATCCATCGATTACAACATCCATCCATTGACAGTACAACATCCATAAGTTGACAGTACAACATCCACGAGTTGTTGCTATTTCAGGTGAGAATCTCAAGCTTTGCCACTCATGTCCAGCTGCCTACCACCCCACCTGTGGTGGGGCAGAGTTCAAAGGTCAAGCCATTGATACAGAAAAACTGAGTGAGACTCTAGGCACACAACAGAAAGAGATTTGGCTTTGTCCCCACTGTGTGCAGGGGAGGAAACTTTTGTATGGAGATATTGTCTGGATTAAACTAGGATTTTATAGGTGAGGAACTTGGACATTTAGTTTTTCAAATTGCTAAGAAGAAAATTCTTGAAGAGATAAGATGGTTATGTGGCCAGGGGTTAAATGAACATATAAGTTATGAGATCGATAAAGGGGTATGGACAAAATGTCTCAGATATGTATACAAGACATCTCAGAAATTTGTCTGTGATTTGAGATGGGCTTTTTACAAAAGGATTATAAATAAGTGTCAATTTCATAGACCAAATGACAGTCTAATCACGGTAGGATTTATTTAAAATGAATAAGCTGCTGTAGCAGATATTTTATTTGTTTTACTAATTATTGTATTTAACTTAACCTTGCCTAATTAGTAGCTAGAGTTGAGACTAAAGCAAGTAGCTTCTAAATTTCTAGCTGCTGCGTCTCCTTCTAAATCTTTTTTTAATGTTTGTAGTCCCTGGCAAGGAAGTGCCTCATTAGGCAGTTTCTCACCAAACCTGTTTACAACAAGTTGTACATCTAAATTACTTATCTAGATGCTTCTGTGTGAATCCCAAGGTTTTTAACACAGCAGGCTTAACACCGTACAAAACCAATTGAAACTGAAGTGTAAACAGCTTCTCAGATTAGTTGTGGTTCAAAAAGTGCTGAGAGCATTGAGTTGCTAGAATCCAAAATTTACAAAATTCAATTTCTAAATTTGTGATGGGATTTCTGGGGGAGGGTTTAAAAAGGAAAGTTATAGTTTGGAAAATACAATTAGATTTAAACTCATTAGTAATTTTAGCCTTAAAACTACTTATATCACATGTATAAACATGAGAATAGTATAAAGATGCAGTTTTTGAGAATTTTTGAAAACTTTTTTCTAGATGGTGGCCTGGAGAGATCTGTCATCCTTTAACTGTCCCCAAAAAAGTGGCAAAGAAATCTCACAGGATAGGAGAGTTCCCAGTGAGATTTTTTGGTGAAAATGTCTACTGCTGGAGTCATCAAGGGAGGTAAGTTGTGTTCAAGCTATACCAACAATACATGAGTTAATGCACATTAAATATTGTTTAAAACCTCATTCAAAATGGTAGTTAGCCAAATATTTGCATTTTATTGTCTTCTGTGCCAAACTAATAACCACATAGCACAGCCGGCTCAGTTCTACTAGCACTATTATTCAAACATACAATTTATATATATAGTAACTCAGTTATTTTAAATAAAACCTGCATTGTCTTTGGTTTGATATGTTGGAGGATGTATGATGAAGGTGAAAGAGGGTGATGACTTGATGAATGTGGTGTAAGATTAATAAAATAAAAGATTAGAGGAGTTATGTAATTTGGTTACCTAAATTTATCAGGAAAAATTATTTTTTTAAATGGATTGAATTTTTTTTAAAACCTGGACGTGCTGTGAATAGGTTGAGAAAATGTGAGTGTAGAAGTTGGGATAGGGTGGTTAGTTTGGTGATTCTAAAGGTTACAAGAGAGGTTGCTAATAGCAAATAATTTCAATGTATTCTCAGGGTGTACCCGTTTGAAGGAGCCAGTTATCTCAGGGGCACCAGCACCAATGGCAACCTGGACAAGGATTATAACCTGGGTCTGAGAGAGGCCATAGCAGCTTCTTCTTTTGTTGCTAGGTTAAGACAAGAACAGAATGAAAAGGTTGAGTGAAGTGTTGACAGGTGATCTCCCTTGTGTCTAGGTTAAGACAAGAGCAGGATGAAAAGGTTGAGTTAAGTATTAGGTGATCTCCCGTGTGTGTAGCTGTAGTGTCATTGTATCACCAGGATCATCTGTAGGCTACCATGTGTACATGAGTGGGTTACTCTGTGTACACGAGTGGATTAATGTGTACATCATCAGGCTGGTGTTGTACATTATCATCACTGAAATTATTGTGTGTTGTACATGTGGTATTATTGACTAATGAAGAATTCCAGTATTCAGAAGTAAATTTATGATTTTACGTTTCTTTCAATAATCATTATTGAATTATTGTGTAATTATTTTTAAATCATGATAATTTAAATTTTGTTTTGATAATTTAGTATTTTGATTTTATTTAAAATGTTTTCCTTTTAAGACATTTGTAACGGTCACCCTGACAACTTTATGTTAATTAAACTCTGCTTTGAAATTTATTTGAACATTTGTAATGAGTACTCTAAGCCTACTGTACTGCAACTGTTTTGACAAATAAATCATTTAATTTCAGCTTTCTTTTAAATGTGTTGGTTGTGTGTTGTGCTTCATTTGTGATGGTGTTTTATATTTAGATGGTAGGCCTACTTGTCAATCTACATTCAGTTTTTTTTTCTGCAACTCATCTGATGTATGAACAGGGTGTGACTCATGAGCTGTAGATTCTATTGGCAAGTTGTTTAAGCAACTCATTAATTTGGACAACGTAGTCAGTAGGTGAACAAAACAGACATCTAACTCATAAATGGCAAACAACAAAACAGACATCTAACTCATAACTGGTAAACAACAAAACAGACATCTAACTCATAAATGGCAAACAACAAAACAGACATCTAACTCATAACTGGTAAACAACAAAACATACATCTAACTCATAACTGGTAAACAACAAAACAGACATCTAACTCATAACTGGTAAACAACAAAACAGACATCTAACTCATAAATGGCAAACAACAAAACAGACATCTAACTCATAAATGGCAAACAACAAAACAGACATCTAACTCATAAATGGCAAACAACAAAACAGACATCTAACTCATAAATGGCAAACAACAAAACAGACATCTAACTCATAAATGGCAAACAAAAAAACAGACATCTAACTCATAAATGGCAAACAACAAAACAGACATGTAACTCACAACTGCTAAACAGCAAACACCTCTAAAATGCCACTGTCACAAAACACACCTATCAATATAAGACAAGATGTCACCAGGTCAGGTGACACCACCCACCCACAAACAATGTTGGCTTAACAAACATAGGCTGATTGGTGTTATCCCGTATGGTGTTATCCTTTGTGTAATTATGGTATTTTATAACTAATAAGCAATAAAACTAACTTGAACAACTGGACTTACTCGTTTAAATTTGCTAAATATCATTTTGGTGTCACCTTGTGCGGTACGTACTCCAACCCACCTCCCCCATTTGTTGTTTCCTGCATGCCTGTCAACCCACTCTGTGGGGGGGGGGGGGGGGGGGGGACGGATAACACCCTCACCAAAGCAATAAGGAAACACGTTAAATAAAAGATCTAAGTACAAATATTATATATGCCTCATATATATTACATCTATAGTTTTGATATCACATAAATATACCATGCTTGAATTCCTTCCCCCACCCCCACACCTGAAAAAGGCATGCAGTCGTCAATGACAACACAGAAAGTAATTTATCAACCCAGTCATCATTGGCAAGATTACCCAAACATACACCAACTACCCTGCACATTTTGTGTCGCTGTGCTTGATTTGTTGATATAACTAGCCGGCTTTGGAACGGCATTCATTGCGGTCTTTGTTTACTTGTGAGAGGTACTCTCAAAACAGGCCAACAACTGACAACAACTTCAACCTCCCCACCCCGCACTGTAGATAAACAAACATGCAATATCTTAATACGCAATCTCACCCCCCCCCCCCACCCCCCCCCCCCCCACTACGCCAGAGAAAGTTTAGACAAGCACTATGGGTCTTGTGGAATGTTGGAGTTCATAACGCGGGCCAACTTTCTAAGCCCAGCACTTTCAGTATTGATTTTACTGCTAGTCAGAGCTCTATATTCATTTGACGCTCTACTTGAGCCAGTAAATAGCAGATTTTTTTTAGCAAGTCACAAGGAATCAGCGGAGATAACAGCCACTCTCTACACATCACTCTTGTTGGCTTTGTTGTTGCAGAGGATTTGTTTTCTTTTCTTCTTTCTTAAGGTAACAAATAAAGGTAATTGATATTAATGGCTATTGTAACTAGTTATAGACATTTTAATTAGGCTGGTTTACAGTGTAGACACACACACACACATGTATATATAAATATATATATATATATATATATATATATATATATATATAAATATATATATATATATATATATATATATATATATATATATATATATATATATATATATATATATACGGATACAATTTTTTTTAAAGTGTATACAATAAATAAAATGTTCGGACTGTTTAAAAATAAAATGTGAAATTATTTTATCAATTTATTTAACAGGAAACGGGTACACCACAAACTAGTAATTAAAATGTGAATTGATTGTCAAGTTGTCAAGTCAAATTATTATAAGGACAGCGACTAAAAATGAAAGAAAAACAAGTTATAGACTTGAATTTTCGTATCTCAGGTAAAGTCCAAAATCGTATTGTATTTTAGCTCCTGTATTTAACATTATCTTATTTAACATGATCTCGCTCAGAGGCGTAGCGACCCCCCCCCCCCCCCCCCTTAAAACTTTCGATTTGCACCCCTTCCCTCACACTTTCGATTTGCACCCCCCTCAACCTTTTAATTTATTTTTCCGACCCATTTTGGCGCCCCTAAGGTCGGCGCCCGTGGACGTATGTCCCCCCCCCCCCGCCCCTCCCCCGCCCCCGCCCCCCTCGCTGAATCTCGCTGTTGTTTTTTTTTTTTTGTTTTTTTTTTTTGTTTTTTTCAATTCGACCTTACATGAAAATGGAACCGTTGGCTGTATAGGTTACATGCGAGCAAAGTGCCGCAATTGTTTTAGAACAACAATGATTAAAATTTTATTTCGAAGATTAAAAATAAGGAAGAGTAGTTGATATAATAGTGTTTTTTAAAAGCATAACGTTATCGCATGACCCTGTGATGTATAAAAGCTGCAGGGTTGTAGGTCTACATAACAGAACTGACTTACAAATGGTAGTCCATAAAAGGGCGTCACGCGTCTCGGGAAGAAGTAGGGGGAGGTCTGAATGTTGTGAAGATAAGCTACAATGGCGAGTGAAGGAAAATTGTAAAAATGAAAAATGTTTAACTTATGTGCAACCCTTGAAAATAAAAAATAAAAAGTTATAATAAAGTAATGAAGAATGTAACTTTTATATAACTTACAATTGATAAATATTGTTATCGACATCATTCGTTTTAGTACGCCCCCCAACCCCCACCTCTCTACCTCTCTAATCATCTCTTGAAGTTGGAACCCTATACTCCACCTTTGTCTAGATAGGTCAGCTAATGTTTACATTGTTTACCCCTTATATTCCGCCCTTTCCATATTTCCTTATATTTAACAACCATTGCTTGTTTTAAAATGTAGTCAGACACATTGCGTTATTCGATTGATTTTGGTATCAATCTTTTATGTTCTTCTTGGTCGAAACGCCGTTTGTGATAATTGAACTTGTATTGATTGGACCCGTGAAGATTTTAATTAACGTCTGCAGCCTTTTTGTTTTAAGCCTGATACTGTTGCCAGATAAATTCCCGACCGGGAACATCGAGATCAGTTGATCACATTCTCCCTCTTAAAGTTTAATAGGCGTCTGCCGGCCGTGGCAAAAGGTCTGTATTGTCTGTAGTCCGACAATAGGATTCTGATTCGTATTTATGTTGTTGTTGTTGTTTGGGTGTGTGGGGTTTTTTTCTTTTTTGCACAGATCATATAATATATATTATATAGAAATCGAAGATAAATGTGCGTTTTCGAATTCTCAGACACATTTTGAATAGGCACACATTTTTTATTACTACACACGTTTTTAATTGCTCCACATATTTTTAATTGCCACACTCATTTTAATTGCTTCATACTATCCAAACAAACGTAATTAGAGATCGCTAAAAATCAATTAAGGTGAGATAATCGGGTACAAACAAAGCCTCCGAAAAAATGTCCCCCTATTGAAATATAAACACCACGAAATATATCCTAACACGAAGACCCTCGACAAAAGGCCGTCAACAAAATGGCCCGCAATGATTGAGGCACATTATTCAGGGCGACACTGTCGGAGCCCCTGTTGTTACAGACTTCTTTGTCTAAGTCAAATTACCGGAACTGTACACTTAGCTCCTACCCTCCCTCTCTGGTTAGGTAGGTGGGCGTGTCTCCATTTACTTCATCGTTAGGCTGAATGTTAGATGGGACATTAAAATACCGCGTAAACATAACAGTCGGGGGAGGGGGGGGGGGGTGGACACTAGTAGAAGTATATATTTTCTACCTAAATTATGTTTTTGGACGAGCTTCGAGGGTGGTGGTGGAGGGTGGGGGGGGAGCGCTGCCCTCCTCCAAACGAAGAGATGCATGAAAGAAACTGTACGCCACGTGCCTACCTACGATATTGTATAGACGTCACTGTGTAGTGTGTGTTCGAAACATTGTTACTTTTATGTGGCTGTGTAGTGTGTGTTCGTCATATTGTTACTTTATGTGGCTGTCTACGTCACTGGGTAGTGTGTGTTCGTATAGTGTGTGTTCGCAACTTTGTTACCTAATGTGTCTGCCTACATATTGCAGTCGTATGCCCCGTGTCTTTGAACTGTTCATATCCAATGGTAACCCCGGCATTGTAAACAAATGAAACAATGCAGACGACGGAAGTTACTGTCAAGCGGGCTGACGTCGCTGACTGTGTATACGCGGACATAAAGACAAGAACCTCGACTGGCAGCAGACAGTAGATCGATAATCGATCAACACGGCTTCGTCTTGGTAAAACAAAATACGCCAAGATTTAATAGACGTTGTTCAATGTGTTTGCCTAAGGCCTTATGTTACTAAACTAACAACAAAACAGGCAGCTAGTATAGTGAAGGAGGGGGGAGGGGCAGAGTACTCTTAGATTGTTAACAAAAATAGATTGCCGTCTTAAAGTAAGCGGTAGTTACGTCTTGAGAGAAAGATGACTTTTCAACATTAATCGAGTGCAAGCTAAATTAATAACTAAACATGTTGTGACGTGTGATTTCACACTATTTAAATACCTCCCAGTCATACACCTTTTTTTTCAGACTTGTTTTGTACTCTATGCTGGAATAAAATAGTGATTAGCGCCCCACCCCACCGCACATACACTACCAAACATTATTTACAAAAACATATATATATATATATATATATATATATATATATATATATATATATATATATATATATATATATATATATGTATATATATATGTATATATATATATATATATATATATATATATATATATATATATATATATATATATATATATACACATATCATAACTTACGTTCTTGCAGACCATGTGTTAACACCGCCATTCTTACCTACGCCACCATTACCTACGCCTAAAAATAGGCTGTTGCTCGTATTTTTTAAACTCCACTAATTTCAAGTAAAATTATACCACAATAAAAGATGATTTTTTTCCCTACACATTGATACCAATTTTGTGTCTCTAGCTTAATTAGGAGCTAAGATATGGCCTTTTAAAAATTTGTGGGCGTGGCTAAAACAGCTTAGACCTTCGTCATTCAAGTCAATGTTACATAAACAAAAAAGTTGGCACCGATGGTTTTTTCATTGCATCATCACGGATTCGCATTTTTCGAAAAATTAAAAAATTATAATTTTATTGCATCATCCGGGATTCGCATTTTTTTTAAAACTAAAAAATTATAATCAAGCTTAAAGTCTAAGTTATACTGGACTGGATGTGATTTGAATGAGTAATTTAATGCCATTCATATTTTATTATTGACTTATTACTCCGTGTAAAAAAAAATAATGTAGATCTAGGTTTAAAATAAACTAGATCTAGTTATTGTAAATCGATTTATTAATACTTAATACTGTTACTACTATTATTATATAATAGAAATGCATAAGCACATATTACTGCACAAGTTCTTTATATCTAATTGTAATGAACGATATTACTTGGGTAGATGAAGTAGAGTAGACCTACATACACACACACACTACATGATAAATGGAAGCAGCAACTGGTTGCCTTTACGTTACTTTCTCAGCCCCCCCCCCCCCCCACTTACTTGATATTCAGTGTCTATATCAGGAGGCCATAATAAAATTATAGAACAAAATAAAAGAAAACAGCTGTCAAAGTGTGTACCAGTGTTTATTACTACTAAACTATGCAATGTAAATTATTAGAATGTGAGAAACACAGTATTAAAATACAGTAATCAGATTACCACATGAATTTTAATTTTGTCTAATAAAATAGAAACATTTAGGAGAATGGCAAAGTAAAAAAAAAGATTTTTTTGCAATAATTTAAAAATATGTTTATCAGAGCAAAGAAATAAACTACGTAGTGACAACCTAAATTTAGCCCTTGTATAATCTACGATCAACACAGTACCATAAAACAGTTACATAATCATAATTAGTGTGAAGAAACAAATCTACAGTACAAGAAATGAGCCTCGTCACATTACGATCCCTCTTAAGAAGAAAAGTAGTATAGTATTAATTATCCAGGAATAAACATTAAAATATTGGTTTAAAGTATAATTACTAGTAAATCTAACCATTCATTGAATGTATGCTGGAAAAAAAAATAGGTGTCGAAAAATTTCTTAGACCACTTTAGTCTCTTTTTTAGTGTTAAAACAATTTTCTAAAGTATCAATTATAATTAATCTTTAGATACAATTAGCACATCTGAGGAAAAAATATATATTTTAAAAAGCGTTAGTACTTGTGTGATAAATTAGTTTGGACCAACATTTTTGAAGCACATTAACTACTGATTCTAGGATTATCTAGCTGATGTCAATTACCCTGAAAAATTAGTTAAGTAATTAATTAAAATGTAATTTTTTTTACACTATGAAAACTAAACTTAATTATAAACATTGTTAGTATTAGTTTTCAAAATAAGTTTACAATTCAGAGCAATCATTTTTTCAGTAACAATTTACAAAAACACTAATGTTTAAAAAATAAAGCTCATTTGTATACTAAAAATGAAAGAAGTACTCTGAAATTCTGATAAGCTATTATTCAGAAAGAAAAACAAGATTCCTACAAAGTCAACAACCAGTGATTCTGCCAGATAACTGAAATCCTCAGAATTATCCTCATCCTCTGCCCAGTAGCTTATGGTGTAAAGAGCTGACTTTTGTTTTGTTTCTGGCACCCTTTTGATAGTCCTTCCACTGTATTGCGACACACCCTGATCACCTTGCTTCCACTTATGAGTCAGCTGGACACCAATCAGATTTCCCGTCAGATACCTCTCCAGCTGTCGCACCAAGAAAGGCTCAGTAGAAGTCAACTGTCAACAACGCTTCCATGACTTTAAGAAACAGAGTAGATCTACATTTGATTGCCACATTGCATTCTTGTAAATGATCTTTATCAAAGGGCCAGAAATTAACTTCTTAATCAGCCTGAGTGCTTGCGGTGCTGCACGAGAACCCCAGGCTTCTTGAGATCTGCAAGCAGTTGAATGTAGACTTAAGTCATGTCCCAGCAGCCACATCATTCTCTTTAAGATGAGCCTTGAATAAAGCTGGATCTCCATGGAAACTGTACCTGAAAAGAGAAGGGCAAATGGAATTAGAATTTAGGAGACCATTTCACAAAATATATACCTAGCACAACGTATTGCAAAGTACATAAAATAAATATAAAAATTTGAAATAAATTCAGTCTCCATACTTACTGAATGTACTTCCACCTGAGACATTTGTTGAACATAGAAAGGGCTGTACACAAGTTCCACCAACCTATTCCACTCACAAGCCTCTGTTCTCCTCAGCCGCTTTATCTCAGCCACCAAGTTTATGATTGCATTAGTGATCCCCTTTACACCAAGTTGTAGGCACACAAGTCTAGAATTTAAATTAATATTAATAAAATTATCAAGTACTAAAATTGTCCTTAATAAAGAGGTCTAAGGGCATAGGGCTTTATAAAATTATATTATTGTATAGGACTAGTTATAGATATATACAATACATAGGCCTATATTAATTTAAATATATTTATAGGCCTACTTGATGGAGAATTATACCTGAACTAGACTAAATCTATTCTTAACCATTTAACAATGTTTCACTATGTGACTAATTTTACAAGATCTGGATCTAGACTAGTACTTGTATGAAATAGAATAGTTTCGGCAAAAATAAAAAATAATAAAAACATTACTGTAACTGAAAACGTGTAAAAATATAACTAAAAAATTAATGTAGAGTCCTAATCAAACATAATGATTAAATGATTGTGTTCATCTAAATGTACTGAATTAAAATAAATAGGCTAATTACTGAAATGGTATAGGCCTAGGACAGGACTAGTTAATACTTAATGCCTTAATGCAGAATTAGATGAACACTTAGGCCTATACCTAATTAATTTAACTTATCTAGATTCTAGATCTAGAATCTATATCTAAATGAACTAGCACCTATTTCTTACTAGAATCTAGATCAGTGTTGGCTCTATTAGATTCAATTAGATCTAGATTCTAGATCTAGAATTAAACTAGAGTCCAGAACTAGCTAGGCCTAAAGCTAGATTCAGTAGATTATTTTTTACTAGATCTATCTAGTAGTAGATCTATATAGTCTGATCTAGATCTAGTTACTATAGATCAATAGAGCTAGATCTAGTAATCTGGATTTGTTTTTCTAAATCCAAAATCTATTAGGCTATCTTAATAATATCATCTAGATCTAGATCTAGAAATCTAGATCAAAATTTAAGTCTACTTGTGTAAAAATCTAAAAATTAAATTAATGTCTAGACCTAATTGTCCTAAGTCTAAGTAATCAACCGTAATAACTTAGTAAATGTAGGCTTCTTAATCTAAATTATTAATATTTGGCCTAGTAATAGTAATATATCATAGATATCGGAGAGCCGTTATCAAGTAATGCGATATTTTAATAATGTAAGAATCACAGGAAATTTGGCGCGAAATTAAGGCTCTCTCGCGGACAGCCTTCCTAGGCTTGCGGACCATTGAAATCGTAATTTTAAAATATAGGTTAATTTTACAAGACCCAATTATTATTCTCATCAACATTTAGGCATCTCTTTCTAAATATTAAGTACTTTATTATTCATAGACTCTTACCTTATATTTCAGCACATTGCTCCTCTGTAAGATAATAAACGAGATCCAAAAATTAAAATAGGTTTTGAATCTAAATCCTCTTGAGGTTAAAACAAAGATGCGCACGGCGACATGCGTAGATCAGGTGTGCTGTGGTTGGGCCTTAAGCGACACGGCCTTAATTAGCAATGGTCAACCGGAAACAAGGAATTTAGGTTCAAGGTACAGCCATGATTACCATGGCAACAAAGGTCACGGCGCAAGCTGCGCAACTCGCTACTAAAAACTCCACGTATTTTCTGTAAAACACTTTTCAATAATAGGTTGAAGTTATTTATTACATACAGGTCACTACCAGTGCCAAAAAGCAACACCACCTTTTAGAAAAACTTTCAAAAAGATCTTTTATTACAGCACTTTTTAAAAATTTTACTTGTGTAATATTTAATTTCGTTTTTTAAAGCAACCACTGACGGCATTCCCCAGGCGATGAAGAAATCGCCCGTCTTTGAAATTGTTCAGTGTCGGCTATTCACGCGATCTATCGATTCGATCGCCGTGATCTGAATAGCTTTTACATATCAACATAATTAGGGGGTTAATCTTTTCGTTCGCACCTTTGTCTCCCCGAATCAAAGACAAGATCCGTTTCAATACAGTTTGGGGTGTCGTAGAGTGTCTTTCACGCCGGTGTCATTTGTTGTTGGTTTGTTGTACTGATAGCCACACTCGCCCTGTGATTCTAGTTGTTATTTCATAACTTTGGTGTGTTGATAGTATGTGTTCTGTTGAATAAATTCGATAATATTATGTTTAATTCATAACTTTGTTGATAGTAGGGCCTATGTGTTCTGTTGAATTAATTCGATAATATTATGTTTTATTCATAACTTTGGTGTGTTGATAGTATGTGTTCTGTTGAATAAATTCGATAATATTATGTTTAATTCATAACTTTGTTGATAGTATGTGTTCTGTTAAATAAATTCGATAATATTATGTTTTATTCATAACTTTGGTGTGTTGATAGTATGTGTTCTGTTGAATTAATTCGATAATATTATGTTTTATTCATAACTTTGGTGTGTTGATAGTATGTGTTCTGTTGAATAAATTCGATAATATTATGATTAATTCATAACTTTGGTGTGTTGATAGTATGTGTTCTGTTGAATAAATTCGATAATATTATGTTTAATTCATAACCTTGGTGTGTTGATAGTATGTGTTCTGTTGAATAAATTCGATAATATTATGTTTTATTCATAACTTTGGTGTGTTGATAGTATGTGTTCTGTTGAATTAATTCGATAATATTATGTTTAATTCATAACTTTGGTGTGTTGATAGTATGTGTTCTGTTGAATAAATTCGATAATATTATGTTTAATTCATAACTCTGTTGATAGTATGTGTTCTGTTCAATAAGTTATATAATATGTTTAATTACGTGTAAACAGTAAGCTGTAAGGTAGTTGCTTAGATTGTGGTAGGCATGGATTGTCTTACTGAGCCTAAAACCTATTGTTTATCTATGTTCCTATGGCTGTAGTTGTGTGTATACAGACCCTGTTGTTACCTACTGTGGATTTAGCGCATTGAAAATGTGTTGTAGTGCATGTCTGTGTTATTAGGCTAGGACACGCATAACCGATTGAGCGACGCTTGGCTTACCGTTAAAGCTTTGACGGCTCGAATGTTCGTCAACTGTCTCATGTTTTACACTTAAATATTTGTAACCCTGTTTTCTGATCACTACCTAGGAGCGGACGGTGTTTATTACGGGAGCACGTTGACCAGCGTGTTAGGAGACTCCACGCCAGATAGGAAATCGCTGCGAACTCTGGAGTGTGTCCGGGTGTCGAGCAAGCCAAAGTTGAAATCTGGACGATCCGTTACTTCTGTGTCTCGTCTGACCGTGTCCAGCTCGCCGGCAGATGACCACTTCAGCAAGGACGTGAGGCTGAGGACAATCTCTTGGACCAGCCGCTCGAGTTTCAGCCGGGGGTGTTCGGCGTCTTCCAGCCTCAGCATGAGTGGAACGAATCCCGCCACGGCCACAGCAAGTTCTGTTTTCTCCCCACGCAGCTGTTGGCAGGGGGGTCGTTCCTGCTCGACAGTTAGTCGTAGTACCCGGGGGTTCAGGCGCTACAACATGGCCAGCAGCGCCACTGGAGCCTACAGTCTCGGCGCTGACAACATTGGAGAAAGTTCTAGAGATGAAGAGAAAATGAGAACGTCACAAAGTTTTGCTTCAACTTTACCCGATCTCAAAGTCTGGATCTTAGAGGTTAGTTAATTTGGAATGTATCTACATTTCACCACCTCTTAACGAAAGAAGGTACTCATATTTTACTGCGTATTGTGATTATGTTTAGTTTATAATGCAAGTCTACATGGTAATTTTGATGTGTTTTCATTATCAGTACAAAAAGTCATGGAGTATAATTATTAAAGTGGTTTTTTTTTTCGTTATTGTATCTGTTGCGTCTTGAAATAACACTAAAAAAACCAGGCCTATTTGAATGTCCTATAAAAGTTCTAGCTTTTTTACTATTTCGTACTTAAACCCCGCAGTGCTGGGAGGAAATATATAGAACCCAATCAAGCTACCCATAGTACTTTGAAGTAGAAAAAACTGAAGTAGGCCTATTGAGCTCAACAACTCTTTGATCGGCGTGTCTGATCATAAAACGCACAGATTAGGTTTATGCTTCCCCCACCCCCGCTACCCCGTCATTAGTTTATCAGCGGAATGAAAAATTTGAAACCCTTAAAATACAACGCTGGAGGGCAAAGTTGATTCAAGTACAATGTAATGTAAACAATAACAAACACAAAACTATATCAGGCAAGTAATAGTTAGGGTCTGCTAGGGTCGGCAACCTTTCCGGATCATTTTTATTCCTGTCAAAATATCTGTAGAAAAATACTTTTACAAACAGAGTTTCTTCCAGGCATCTCTTCCAGAAAGTCTACCGCCCCCCCCCCGAACGAAATGAAATTTATATAGAAAATATATACTTTTAACAGTGTCCCCCCCCCCCCCCGAAGAAAGTCTACCTCCCCCCCCCCCCCCGGAGAAAAAAGTCTGGAAGAAACAGTTTACAAAACGCGAAATAAGGGTTAAATTCAGAGGCGTATCCAGGTTTTCGTTGTAGGGGGAGCGAAAAGAGCAAAAAAAGGCGCCGAATTTGTAACAAGTTCTATATACGTGTATTATATATATATATATATATATATATATATATATATATATATATATATATATATATATATATATATATATATATATATATTAGCTGTATGTCATTACTTCACTATGATGTAAAATAAATTGAAAGTAGCACTCTGAATAAATAAGAAAAAACACACAATGTAGGCCGACGAAACAAAAATTGTATCAATCTAAACAAATATATTTATATATATATATATATATATATATATATATATATATATATATATATATATATATATATATATATATATATATATATATATATATATATACACACTACAGCCAAAACCAAAGAACGTAGCACAATATGTTTTGTAATTCTTGTAAAAAAAATTTCTTACATAATAGTTCCTGGGAAATTATTTAAGACAAGTGAAATATGGGAAATAATCACTCTCTTAATATAAATATGTATATATCTACACATTTAATTATAAATGTCAAAACAAATAAATAACTACTTTAGAATATAATGAAATTGTTTAACACTATTCGTGTTTACAAAATGTTTTTGTCTATAATCAGAATTTAATATATCGTCATCATAAATGCTAAAGTATTACAGCATAACAAAAGTTTTTAAAATCAGAGTTGGTATAAAACCACGCTTTTCGATATAAAGAACACATTCGGAATCACAGCTTACATATCTTAAAATCGGTCTTTTAGTTCAGATCCTACAATTTAATTAACTACTGCTTCATAGTGTTCTTTAATGATCATTATTAACATAGTGATAGGTATGGCTTAGATCACTGTATTGATCAAACACCTTTTTACTGGTAATTGCAAAAACAATATTCACAGTTTTACGTTTAAAAAGCTAATTTTCTGGCGGCATGGTACTTTGGTACATCATTACGCGTTTTTCTACATGTACTTAACAGATCAATTCCGGGTGAGTTGGGGGGGGGGGGGGGGTTCAACTTCATTCACCACTGTCCGTTCACTGTCGGACAATTATCCAACCCAGTGTATACCTAGGTGTGACATTATGTCGCTCTACACAATTGTCGTGGTGAGGTGTGTGTGGAAGGGGGGGGGGGGGAAGAAGATAACCAACTCAGAGTGAACATAGCGTCAGTTTTTAGACGACTGTTCTTAACATACATATTTATTATATATTACACAAATATATATTACACAAATATATATTACAGAAATAGATTTAAATAAGTAGCAGTGGTATTATGACAATATTTTTTTTACAGAGGGGTCCGTGGGGGAGGGGGGTTGTAAATGTTTCATATAATTTGTAATCGTAACCACTATCGCCCAAATTGTAAGAATACTACTACTTCATCGTAATGACGTTGTTAACCTTGTCAAAATTTCCCCACCACTACGCAGTTTGCTCATAAGTAAATTTAAATAGAGGTGCCACATCAGTTGTATCTGTTTCTGTATTGCAATTTTTTTTAATTAATCACACGTTTCAAACTGTATATATAAAGTAATTATGTGTGAAGTTTTATGTATAACATTTTCTAATTCAATTATTCGTAAGCAAATACATTATACAGTTGCCTTAAACTTAACACCTCTCTTGCCATGTGGTACTACCGTAGAGGTTTTTTAAACATTGCAATGCATCGTAATGGTTATTTTTAGAATGGCAAGCTGATGCAGCTGTTAATACGTGTTGTAAACGTAGACACTACTAGACTAGTACAATAATGCTTAATTGCTGCATGGAAAGAAATCTTGTGATTTACATAGATGTGCCGACCAAAAATATTTTTTTAACAAATATCATTGTTTAAAAATTAGAGTTTAAAAAGTTTCCAAAAAGGCGCCGCTTTGCGCCCCCTTCCCCCCCCCCCCCCCCCCCCCCTGCGTACGCTACTGGTTAAATTATTATTCTAACATTACTTTTTAAAACGTAAAAATGCGTCGTCAAACTTTCTGAAACTCTTGTTTCATCACGCATCGTCAAACAAGTCCGACCCCATCCCGTCTTCCCCACATTGAATTGTATTGTCATTAATGAAGAACACATGAAGTATAATTACTTATAGATCTAGATTCTAGATCTATGTCTCGGGTTAGATTATTTGGAGTAGGTCTATAAAGGCCTATTCTTAATGATGAGCAATCATCTTACATCTTAATCTAAATTAAGAATTGGTCACGTTACAAATATGTCCTAAACTGTTTAACTTAGCCAAATTTAAACATATTCCAACCCCTCCCCTCGTTTCTATGCCAGTCTATCTTCATTTACATTAACTATACTACAGAAACAGACGATCATTTTATTTAATCTGTGAAAGCAGAATAAATAAACTAAGGGAAACTACTCGGGTGTTTTATAAAATGTTTACGAACAACCCCGATAATAGATGTTTTAAAATCGTATTCTCAAGTAATCCAGGCTGGAATATTCTTTAGAATATGTATTTTTAGAAAAAAAATCAACAAAATAATTATTAATGGTAGATAATTGTCAAATAATTATTTTACTATGACATTAATAAATCACAAAATGTGATCTTGTAGGTCCGATAACTCTACAAAATTAATTATTCTAGCACCAGCCAAAGCCAGATGAAGATCTAAAATAGTTTAAATAGATATAGATCTATATAGATCTAAATACTACTAAATAGATATTGATTGGGTTGTGGGTGTTCATTTTTATTTTTTACGATTCAATCATATTTTTTGTAATTTATGAGATTAAAAGGGTAATCTATCGTTTTGGGTACGTAAAATCGCCCGCGGCTATTTATGTACGAAAACGTTACCTCATTGTCAAGGCTTTAATAGAATTATATTGTCATATGTTTGTGTCAAATATTATAGATAAATGAATAATAAACCTAAATCAATGGCTAAATATATCGATATAGGCCAGAAATTAACTTTAAACAGCAGTGTCTGAGAGCAAGATTTGCTATATAAACAGCAGCCATTTGTAAAATAGAGTGGCTTCCCCCTGAATCTGGCGCTAAAAGCTTATGAAAATAAAACTTAGACAAGATGGCTGCTGTAGTAAATGAGCATGGTTGCATCTGTTGGAAACATCGCTAGTCTTCATTAATTACGGAAAAGTTTTAATTCAATTGTTTAAAAACAGGTACATAAATGAATCAAGGAAACATTTTTGAATTTTTTAAAACATAAATCCTCCTCAAAATGTGAAATAATTATTAAAATTTAAGGAGTCACCTGTTTTTCACATTACAAATCGCGGGCGATTTTACGTACCCAAAACGATAGATTACCATTAAAAGCGTGTTTATGATTATAATCCGGTGTAAGAGCAATTATTTATATATTGATTCCAACTCCCTAACAAATTAATAGGCCTATATTAAATTTAATGCGTGCATAAATTGTAAAATTACATTTGAATTTATTTTTTTCTACCCACACAGTTTCTTTAACAAAAACACACACCAGTCATTAGAATCTAGATTCTAATAATGGTCTGTAGAGTGTAACAAGGTCACACATCAATTATTCGAAGATTTAGGGCCTGTACTCTAGTAATTTATTAATGGTTATAGTATTGTTTAAACTTAATTGTAATCTTTTATTACATCAATATCTAGATCAATATTTTATAATTGTTAGGGCTATGATAGATAGTAGTATTAGTATGCCTATTTTTTAGATAATATATTTAATTAGGCTAACAGCCTACTTATAGGTCTAATCCATTAAGCATTCTTTACTTTTTTAGTATCTAGAATTTATATATTTTGTAATTTTAAATGTTGATCTACAGTTTCTAAGGTCATTTTTACATGCGCGCTCAACATTCGTTCGGCCATAGAAGTTCATACCATAGGACATAATTACGTTATAGACCTAACGATACCCGCTCATCAAAACATTTGTCAGTAATGATATCGGGTATTTAAAGCAAGATCGCAATACATCATTTACAATTACAAGGAAAAAAATCACAACAGAAAAGATACATTCTGCATCTTAAAAGAATCTTTGTATAACTAAATCTAAACAATTCTATTGGCTGGTCCCAATAGCGGCCGAGGCTATTAGGACCCGGGTCCCAATAGCGGCCGAGGCTATTGGGACCCGGGTCCGAATAGATGCATCCCTTACCTATTACTTACATGAGTTGCATGTCACATATTTTTTCTAAAACTCGCTGCCAACTATGTATTAAACTGTCAACTAACATGAAAAGTTATTTTTTTTTATTCAGGATTTTAATCTTCAACTCCTGACATCAAAAGATATGGGTTTTTTCCACCAAGCAAATATTTATATCATATCAAAGGTAATTGTAATTATACTGCAAATTATAATGCCTACTTTAAATTTATTTATTTTAATTTAAAATGTAAAAGATATTTGTAAGAAATTTTGATGCAAATAAGCCTAGTGAAATAGTTTTTATTATACATTGTTGTTTCTAGAGAGACACAGATGGAGCTACATTCTTACATATTTGGCATGGCAGTCTATCTTCAAAGGTATCAGAAATAAATAGCAAATTTATACCATGAATATATATTAATCTATTAAAATGTAATGTTAAGTTAAACAACTAGGCCTCAATATTTTAAACTGCTTTTAGAACTTAAATTGCTGTTTTATTTGGTGTTTTCGTAACCATCCCCAGAAAGAATCTACCATAGCAAGAGAAAAAGCAGGAATCCTTGACCTTTCTATGGATGGTGCAACATTTGTGTCTTTGGAGGTTTGGGACATTTCTTTTGATTGGTTACTTAAGTTGAGAAAAAAGAATTACATTTAAAAAAAGCTAATGCTTCATCTTTTTAATCATACCCTGAGTTTTCAAAAACTAAAATTAAAACTAAAAATTGACATTCACCAACGGTCAACTAGTGGACCTATACACTTTTTTATTTCTTGTTGGTGATCAAATGTTAACTCCAGGTATAGCAGGTAGGATAAAGTCAGGCAATTTTTAAATGAGCCTTCACTTAAGTTGTAAGCTATTTAAGGGCTCAGCATTGCTTTGGCATAGCAAACTAACTAGCTCTATTATATCATCATCAAAAAATTAGTATGACATTAGTTAATTAAACTGGAGATTTTATTTTACCTCTAGCTTTTGATCTACTGCAGGATGTTTGACATTTCAGGCCATGATTTTTTTTCTTACAGCATGAAGGCAATGAGACAGCAACATTTTTATCTCATTTTCCTGATGGCATTGTGTAAGTTTTATATAGTTTTAAGTAACTACCTTAATAGCTAAAGTTCTTTTTTGTGACGATATAATTTTTCTTTTTAATTTCCAGAATTGTTGAAGGAAAATCAAAGCAGTCTTTGGAAAGATCAACCAAGTATGCTAAAAAACTGTACCTTGTTACAGGCAGAAGTCAACCATTGGCTACTTGTGTGAGGAGAGATTTTTTAATTTTATAGACTGTTTTTTTTTTTAATTAAAATTTTTTATTTTTTTTACTTTTTATTCAAGTTATTACTGAATTATGGACTTAGTTAAGGTTTTATGTAGGCATTTTTTTGGTGTCTTTTTTTTTTCCCAATAAGGAAAAAGTTTTTAAAAGACTTACAGCACTTAAAACAATGAGATAAACAACCAACATGCCAGTCTAATTCACCCTATACTATAGATCAGTGTTAACATTAATAAGTATACAGATATAACTGTCATTCAAGTGAAACACTTTGTTATATAAGTTAATTAACCTTGTACTTGCCCCACAGGTAGACTGCTCCGTGTCTTTAGCCACACCAAATCATGTCCTCATACTTGACAGTCATCCCAGAATATACGTGTGGGTTGGTGAACATGTTGATTATGTATTGAAAGTTAAGGTACTTACTTTTATTTGTTGTTTATCTGATGTATGAAATATCTTTGTATTTGGGGGAAATATCTTAATTAATTAATTTAGGGTTTGATTTAGCATTTGTTTTACATTATAAGTTCATACATGCGTGACTCTAATATCTTTATTACAGGCAATAAAGCTTGCTAAGAAAATCAGAGATTTTCAAAGAAATGGGAAATGTCATATTATAATTATAGGTAAAACTTATGTAATGCTTAGGTAGAATTATTATTAATAGCATGATTAAATGTAGTCTAATAAAACAAACTAGTATTACTATTATATTAGAATGGATTTGGCCTAATTTAATTGTATCATCTAGACCTACTTGGCTTTGAGTAAGTTATTGTTTACAGTAATGTTCAGTGATAAATATTTAATTACTTTCAGACAAAAGTGTCTCAGAGCTGGCAAATTTATTTATTAAAAAACTGGAAACATTCCAACAAAGTGAACCAAGTTTGAGAACAAAAATTTCAGAAAACTTTCCTGAGTCAACACCTCAATTGTACAGGTAGATTCCAATATTTCACTTCCCTGTTTATTATTATCTGGGACCTTCAGACTATGATCATTTGCAGTTGAAGATAAGATAGCTTTATATTTAGTTAGTTGTTGACCTTAAGACACAAACTTATTTATATTTTATGCCTTTAAATCAATAGAGTGAATGGTGACCGGGTGTTGTATGACATGCCTTTAGTTGTCACTCGACCACTTCAGCAAAAGTATCTAACATCAAAGGTAGCTGTTTATTTTGATATCTTAAAAGTTTTAGTCACTAATGTTACTTTGTATGTCCAAAGTATGTGATCAATGTTACCTTTACTTCAAAATTGATGATAAATTTGTGATATTTTTGTATTATCAGGATTCCTTTATCTTGGAAACTAAACCTACTGAGCCCCTGTTTATTTGGGTAGGGTCTAAGTCCGACCCTGATGCCACTAGTGAAGCATTGAAATGTGCAGAGGTGAGAATAGTTGAACATTTTAGTGACAGGGGGCGCTGAGGTGTAGCAGTAAAACACAGGCTTGATGGCCAGAAATCCATCTCGTTTTAAAGCCAGGGGATGCTGAGGTCTAATAGTATATCACATGTGTGTTATCTTGTAAGTCATGAGCTTGCTAACTATACTCAACAGTTTAATGCTGGGACTCTGTGATCTAGCAGTAAAACTGTTAATCTGTTAGTCATGAGTTTGGTAACTATATTTAACACTGTAGTCATCCCTAGACAGAATCCCCCCCCCCCACATCTTAGATGGTGTATTGATGACAATGACTGTACTTACAGGCTTTTGTCAGTTACCACAACACCTCACCTAAAAGAGCCGTGTGTCGAGTGACAGAAGGAGATGAACCAACCAGTTTCAAAAAATATTTCTCAGACTGGAAAGATCGTTTGGTCAAAAAGTCACGTGTTGTTCATCATTACAATATTTCTAACATAGGTAATTACAAATTATTGAAAGCTTTGAAATGAATTTGAGATATGTAAAGATTTAAGCAAATTATAAATCATAGAAAATAGTATATTTGATGTTCTAGCTAAACAGTTTTATTATTTTTCCTTCTTTATCTATTTATGTAGTGTTTCCTTATTTCACTATTTGCTATGTATGTTTTCATTTTTTTAGAGAGATCACTCTTTTCAAAAAACAACAACCATTCTAATGGCAAAGTAACAGAAGTATCAATGAAAGATTATGATTTATTAGATGGGAATGGTGATCTACAGGTATTAAACAAACATACATAACGTACAATATCTTGCTGCAGAAAATCCTGCATAATAACTATATTAGATCTAATCTTACATATAAAAATTAAATTAACTGCTTAATTTTTTTAATCTTGGAGCTAATTTTACAAATTAAAAAATAGCTTAAACACCACTCCAGCCTCAAATATACTACGATATTGGTAAATATGCTGTAGCTCTAATTAATCTACAGCTTTAAATGTTTTTATTACAGATCTGGAAAGTAAATGACGAGTATTTGGTTTTGTTACCTATAGAACAACAGTGGGTCTTTGACAACTGGAGTTGTTACATCATACTTTACAGTGAGAGCAGGGGAGGTCGTGATATAAGCATTATCTTCTATTGGGTGGTATGTGTTTCTTGATTATTTCTATAACTTGTAGACCTTCTCACATTTTCTATCTATAGTTATTTTATTACTATTTAAAACCCTTATTCCATGATTATTTCAATGTTCTTTGACCCTGAACATTTCAATGTAGGCTCTAGATGAAGAAATTATTAAGATTTTTTTTTATAGATTAAGCTTACAATGTTTTCATACTATTTTATTTAGGGAGCAAAAACAAATAGAGAAGAAGAAGTACAAGCACAAAAATCAGCACTTGCAATGGACCAAGCCCTAGGACATAAAAATGTCATAGTATGTGATGTAGAAACATTTATTTTAGTATTTTGTTATCTTAGTAGGTTTAGTAGGTTAGTTTTAAACAATTTGTATTTTTTTTTAAATCTTAATTACCAATTTCCAATGGTAAATAATTTCTATTAAATATATTTTCTTAGGGATTTGACTTTTTAAAGTATAGTCAGTTTTCAAAATTATTCTTCATATAAGAATTCTTAGGAAAATTATCCACTGATAAAAAAACTTGATTATTTTTGGGTTTAAAACATTTTTTGTTTTTCAAAATATTCTAAGTATTACTTCAACAGTATAAATTTTTTTAAAATACTATTTTATTGTATTCTGGTCAATCCTATTGTCCATTACATTGATTAAAATACTTTGTTCCAAATTATGCCATTTACTCTTGTAGATTTTTGTAATAAACAAAGAAGTATTTTATAACAATTTTAAAAAGAAGACACATTAACTATATTCATTAGTGATATTCATAATCTGTTTTTTTTTAATTTCTTTTTTGAACGCCTCCACAAAATTTTCACTTGCATCTAATAATTAAATAATTTTCTTTTCAGGTTCGAATATTAGATGGAAAAGAAACCAGTCATTTTATGACAGCCTTACAAAACAACATAATTGTGGTAAGTGATCTTTTTTTTTAATTATGGAAGGTTTCAACGATGTTCGCATTTGGTGTTCTTTATGGTAGTAATAAACATGAATGTAAATATTCAACTGGCAACTAATAATACATAATCCCTTAAAATATAGTTGCTATAGAAACAGAGAAATCCTATTTTAACTGAACCATTAATCATCAGGTATAAGTGAAAGTTTTTTTAAACATTTGTTTATATCAACAAAATAATTAGACATAAACAATTATTATATCTCATTTAATTTGCCCATGATTGTTTTTCATTTCCAGTATGATGTAGATCAGCAGTTGAGGGAAAATGCCGCAAACTATTGCAGCAATAATGTAACCAAAATGTACTCTGTCAAAGAAGTCACAAAACACAGCACAAGAATTTCTCAGGTTTTTAAAAAATTCCCACTACTTTTTATTTTACTTGCTCTCTTTGTAAATTAACCATTTGACACCTTTGCAACAGTTTTTGAAATTGTGATTAGATGAGAAGTTTTTATTTTTTCTCACATTTATATACTTAAATTTTCACTATATCCTTAAATGGACTGAAGAGTTATAGATTTTATTCCAGTAATAGGAGGTAAAATAAAAAAAGAAATAACTAAATGTTTCTTTCAATGTAATTATTAAAGTACTGAAGTAGTTTTCTTATTTTTAAAACTGAAAATATATTTAATCTATTCTCTTAAGTATTTGACAATAAATTAATTCCTGTTACATATTGACAAAAAAGACAAATATTATATTGTTTAAAGAAAGAACTTTTACTTTTTTTTTTAATTCAAAGAGCAAATATATTCTTGTATTTAGGTGCCTCCAGTGTCCAGTTCCTTAAATACAAATGCAGCATTCATCATCACCTCACCAGAAGTCTCATTTCTTTGGTATGGCAAGGTATTGCAAGAAAATATGTTTCATAATGTTACTTAGAAAATCAATACAATTTTAATATATTGTGCGAGTCAATAGAAGTGAACATTTTGCAACACAATATGTGTAAACATACTTATTAACTTATTCAATGAATAATTGGTTATCAGGTATCAACCAGGGAGTGTTAACATCAAATTAGTTGAAAAACATAATTTTAATTGAATAATAATTTTGTGTTTTTAATACTTAAAAAGTGTGAATGAATATTTTTTTTTAATTCTCTGAAATAATTTTTGATGATTTTTTTTATGCTGGTGACTAAAATTTAGATTACAATTTCATTTGGCAAACTTTTTTTTTGTATTATCAACAGAATGCCAGTGCCTATGAAAGAGAATATTCAAAATCAATGCTTGCATATTTTTCTCCAGGGAAGTGAGTCATTTTTATCATAAAATTAATTCTCATTGATATTTACTATAGTTTTCAAAATTTACCAATAAGCAAAGAAATTTCAGTGCAAAAATGTCTATTCTACATAGGACGTATGACTATGACATTTTTTTGGAAGGAAAGGAGACTGCTAAGGTCTGGTCTGCTGTAGAGATTGATGAGCAGCCTTCAATGGATATGGAAAAACATGTAGGTAGATGCAACATTTACAGTAAAAAACATTAAAATAATGTTCGTTACTATCCATTTTTTGGGAGAGGCAGATCAATAAATTACTGGGGATAAGCTTATTTAATCATGCCCAAAAAGACACATGGAGCAGATAAAATAGAGTTAATCTGTTTCAATAACCTTGGCCTACAGGGTGATAATATGCCAAGCCACTTTAGTTTTCCTAATGTGTGTGGGGTACCTAGACATGAGCCCAACAGTCTTTAAAACAATAGTTCAACTATATATGATTTGTGGAGCTAAGACTTAAAGAAATCTGCTGGCCCAGCACTATCAACAACAAAGTGAACAAACGATGATTACTAGCTTGCCAAGACAAACCCTCTCCTGAAATCTCCAGAGCAAAATAACATTAGGAAGGCAAAGATAGATATAGATACATGATCTGCCATGTGGCACAAGAACTAACTGAGTTCAGTTAGAGAAACTAGCCCAGTATTTAATTGCCTGAAAGCTTTTTGTAGGCATCCTATGCTGCAATGGAATGGAAATGAAACTACTGCGATACAACTGAAGACCAAACAGGAAAACCAGATACCTATTTTTATTTTCTTGTTGGCAGCATTTTCATGTAGCACTATCATGTATACTCATTTCCAAGTGAAAAATCACCTTAATCCCACAATAGTTAGGTTTTTAAAAACATGCTACAATTGAAAAACAACAGATGTTAAACATAATGTTCATATATCTCGAAAGTAAAAATGTAGCAATTGTGGTTTATACCCTTTGGTCTTAAAATGCATTTATTTATTCAAGTAGTTTTATTATTTTAAATTATATTTACTTACAAAGTGCTTTATTTTTCCAGAGCTTGCCTAGCTGTCAACCTAAACTTGTTTTATGTAAGAAACACCTAGGAAAATGGAAATTTGACTACCTTGATAATTTCACTCAAGAAGTAAGAAATAAACTTATAAAATAAGTTATTTTTATTATTGAATTATTATAATACTATATTAATTTTTTTTGTTAAGTATCTATGTAAGAATTTAAATGCACAAAAGTTAACTAAACTGCCATAAACCAAAAGTATTGGTATGATTATGAGTACAAGTAACATAAAGTAAAATATAAATTGCTTTATTTCAACAGGATTTATGTGAAAATGTGCAATTTATTCTTGATTTGCAAAATGAAGTAAGTCATCCCTAATTAATAAACTATTAGAATTTTTATGGCTCAGTTTTTCTTAAATACCAACCAATATAAACTTAACCTTTTGCTTTAGGTCTTGTTATGGACAGGAATTTCAGTACCTGATAGAAACCATGAACTGCTTTCTGGAATTTTAAATGTAAGTAGTTAAATAGTAAACAGAAATTTCTTTTCTTTCTATCGTAAATTCAACTTTTCAAAATTATTCTCCCTGCTGTGACCTTTGTTTTGAAAACATCTCTTTGTATATTTTTTTCGGCCTGCTTCTTCTGTATATTCCATAATTTATAGGTAAACAGCTAAAGTAAATATGATACAAAAATACATTTTATTATTATATGTGATATATGCAAATTATAACATACAGTTTGGCAAACTTATCGAAAATTCTTTTGCATAAAATTAACAGTGTTGACCCCCTTTAGATTCCTAAATTTATTTATTTCGTGTTGTTTAAATTTGATGCTAGGAATTTGTAGACTCTGATCCGGCTGGAAGAAATATGTCTGACCTCCAGGTGTGGTATGTCAATCAAGGATATGAGCCACAAGTTTTCAAAAAACATTTTCAAATATGGGAAGAAACAAATTATGGGGTAAGGTTTTTTACAGGTTGTATTTAGTAAAATTGCTCTGTTTTTAACATTATTTTTTTACCAAATGACTTGTTATTTCCCTATCATAAAATCCACCTAACCATTTATGCTCTTTAATATTTTGAAATTGTTATTTTCATTTAGGGCGAATTGGCTTATGAAATAGCAAGAAAAAGGTTAAGGCAAGAGAATGCCCTCATTGATTGTGAGGTAGGCAATATTATAGTGCTTTGCATTTTTGTCTTTTTAAAACTAAAATTTTAGAAGGTTTAGAACAAATGTGATTAAATTAAAAGTATAGTTCCCCTTTCAAACATTTCAATTATTAACATATTTTGATACATTTATTAAGGTGAATAACAAAGAATTGGATCACTATGTCAAAATACCATACAAAAATCTGATTACTAAAGACAAGTTGCCAGATAGCATTGATAGAAATCATTTGGAGGTAATGATACAATTTATCAACATTTTTTTTGCCAAATTTACTTCAATATATTTTTAAAAAAAAATGATTTCTCTTAGTCTTTTTCTTCTGTGTTCTTAATTGTAGTGTTGGAAGAGATTCCCTCCAACACAATTAAGTATATGTGTCAACTTTTTATGCGCCATATTGGCTGTTGACTCTTATTTCAGCCTACTTTTCTTTTTGGATTATTTCTCTTTGAATTTAGCTCATTTTGAAAATATCAAATCCTGTAGAACTACATTTTCTCTAAAAAAAAAAAAAAACAAAAAAAAAAAACAACTGAAGTATCCTTATAATTAGCTAATGTTTAATAAAAATTATGTTTTTGCAAATCTTACCATTAATTTCTTTTTTTTCACCAGCTGTATTTATCAGATAAGGATTTCATGCAAATTCTGAACATGCCAAGAACAGAATTTTACAGGATGCCGGCCTGGAAGCAAAAACAAATATTAAAATCTGCCAAGTTGTTTGTTTCTGCTAGTAAAACTCAAGACAATTATTTAACTAGTCATAATGAAGTAAAGGCTGCATAGAAAACTATGAAACTTAAATGACAAAGCTATTAAATGTTAATTTAATGTTAATATTATTATATATTGATATATTATGTGTACAGTTGCCCATCTTATTAAAGATTTATATTTGATGGTATATTATGTATATTATTGTATTATTAAACAGTTGTACTTTTAAACTAAAGAGCTAGGACAAAATGGTGTTATCTTTGTTGCACAGCTTTAAACTTATTGAAAATAAATAAAATATTACTCTAGTAGTCTAAAATTATACACCTATTACTTTTACATACAAATACAAATTTCATTTATATATTGGGATTACTAAAGAAATAAAATTTAATGTCATGTTTAAGTTTAACATTTTCTTCCAACTACTTTTGATACAATGCATTCGGTTTTACATTATTGAGACTTGTAACACACATTAGCAATCTGTCATGAAACCTAAATAAATTTAATTTAAAATTGGGTTTGTGATTTTAAATATTTAAATGAGCACACAAATTACAAATGTTGCTAGCAGCATGTCATTATTTGGACATTGCTAGAGATGAAACAGTAGGAGAGGAGCTACAGGTTAGAATGCTTTGAGCATGAACGGGAAATTTTTAAAAATTGAAAGCAGCCATCCGTGACCACAGTTTACAATGAAAAGATCCAGCAGTACTTGTTATCTCCCCTTAGAACCACAGCTCACTAGACTGGTGTGGTCTGTTGCGCATGCCTGGAGGGGGTGGGTCGGCGTGCGTGCCTGCTGTTGGTGTCCCACATGGTCCCCACGTAGAGAATTATATATACGAGCCGACCCGCGGCATATGCCACTATTTAGTTGTTTTATTTTCTACTTTTCAGTAATTCATGATTTGTGAATTCGACAGTAGCAATGCTGTCACTGAAAATATTTCCTTTAAAACACTGAAACCCTCCTTTCCCCCAACCCCCCCCCCCCCCCTCAGTGAAAGCAGCCCCTCTTAGTTACCTCCCCTAAGGTTAAAATAGCTTCAAACTAAATTATCTGCCCCTAATAGCCGTCACTAAACCCGGCTCTACTATTGTAAACATTTAGCGTAAACCACAGCTCACCAGACCATGTGGGGGTGGTAGGGATATGCCTAGAGAGGGGCCTGCTAGGCGCGCTTACACCTTGGTCTTTTCTATGGTATCCAATAAGAGAATTATATATATAGATAGATTCTACATTAGATAGATTAGATAGATATCTATATATAGATAGATTCTACATCATAGTTAGGGAAAAGTTTATAACTAATTCATAATTCTAATAGGATATTGCAATGAACTACTTCAGAAAATGCTGACGCTGGTTAACATTCATCCAGATACCACGGACATATTTCAAACACTCATGTAAAAACTCCCTACACGGGTCTAGAAACTATTTTCTACTAAATTAGAGAGGTTAAGTAAACTCAAATGTTCAAATACGTGAATTGTGTAAATGTCATAGAGAGGGTTAGTTAACTTGAGTGAATATTCAAATACCGGTATGTAAATGTGTAGAATGTCTAAGAGATGTTTAGTTAACTTAAATATTCCTTCAGTGGCGTAGATCGTCTCAAGGGGGTGGGGGTTCCAATTTTTACCCGGGGTCAAACTTTCGATTTGCGAAGTAATGACATACAGCTTGTTATTATATATATATATATATATATATATATATATATATATATATATATATATATATATATATATATATATATATATATAATACACGTATATAGAACGTGTTAAATATTCGGCGCCTTTTTATGCTCATTTCGCTCCCCCTACAACGAAAACCTGGATACGCCTCTGCTCAGAATGGTTATATATTGAATATATATATATATATATATATATATATATATATATATATATATATATATATATATATATATACATATATATATATCTACATATTTAATTATAAACGTCAAAACAAACCAATAATTACTTTAGAATGTAATACAGTTGTTTAACATTATTCGTGTCTTCAAGTTTTATTTGTCTACAATCAGAATTAAATATATCGTCATCATTAATTCTAAAGTATTACAGCATAATGAAAGTTTTTAAAATCAGAGTTGGTATAAAAACACGCTTTAAAAATTATAGAAAAACATCCGGAATAATCGCTTACATTTAACTAAATTAGCAGTCTTTAAGTTCAGATCATACATCTTTTAATAAACTACTGCATTTTGTGTTCTTTAAAGATCATTTTTTAACATAGTGATCAGGTACAGGTAAGAAGGGCAGTAAGTCATGGAAGTTGTGTGAATGTTTGCCTACCTTTCAAACTAAAGCTCTTGTAGATTTTAAAATATTTTTCTACGCAAAAAATATCTGCTATAGTAGACCTGGTTTTATTTATTTTTATTTTACAAAACCACTTTCAAGATGCATGAAAAACATAATTTTTGAAAAAAAAATTCATTGTTTTTTGGTCGGAACTGGGCCCCTAAACGTCCTGGGCCCCCCCGCATTGCGGGGTCTGGCGGTATGGTAGTTCCGCCCCTGACTGACAGTAACAGTGTCTTTAAAAACGCATGATGGGAGGGAGTGTTTCTTCCAGACTTTTTACTCCGGGAGAGGCACTTGATATTTTCGGGGTGGGGGGGGGGGGTCAACATTTGGGGGGGGGGGGGGGGCGGTCACTAGTAAAAGTGTATGTTTACTATGTAAATTCCATCTAGTTCGGGGGGAGTGGGGCGGTAGACTTTCTTGGGGGGGGGGGGGCTCTGCCGCCCGAAGAGATCCCTGAAAGAAACTCTGGTGGGAAGGGAGGCACATCACGTGCTGAAATGTGCTGCCTTTAAATCACAGTCAAACAAATTAGAATAGAGTTCTATAACTTTAAATGTAGATGTTTTCTTTAATGGAAGATAACATTTAGTCAAATTAATGTTACAATTTTTTCTGTGCGTGTACTGAGCTACACATCTTTCTGCCCTTAATTATTTGAAGGGTTGCCGCCCCTAGTAATTCATGTTTTTAGATTACTAACAATAACAATATGGCGTCTAACAGGAGAACTTCGCGATCACGAAGTTCACCATCATTTTCTTCTAAAAGAAAAAAGCTAAACAGTGTAAATATTTGAATGGTGCATTTAAGTGCGGTAATCTATCGTTTTAGCGTAATCAATTCGGCTGCAGTAGAAATGTGCGGGAGAAGTAACTGATGAATATATTTGTTTAAAAAAGTATATTTATTTAAGTCAAATTTTACAAAATTAAACAGATAATTGATTTAAAATAACAATCAGTGACCAAAACAATTTAAAATACCATGAAACTAACTTTAAACGAGGTGTTTGAGATAAATATTTCTTGATAAAAACAGCGGCCATCTTTCCAAATAAAATTTAGAGTAGTTTCCCTTGATAAAAATGTCTATTCGTATGTATATACTATATTGTGTTGATTTTGTTGTTTAATATACATAGCTGTCAATTCTTAGGTCGTCCATATTCTTCATAAATGACGTTGGACTCAAAATATGGGACGGGGTAAAATATTTTTTTTTAAATGATGAAGGGTATATTCGTTTTGGATAGAAATTGTGATTAAGGGTTCGGGTATAGTAAAACTGCGATATGATATTAAATCATCATCTTGCTTTTAGTGATGATTGGGGGAAAGGGAATTCATCGGGAAAAGTATGACGTCATTTCTTGCTTTTAGTGATGATTGGGGGAAAGGGAATTCATCGGGAAAAGTATGACGTCATTTATGGGTGATCCATTTATGCCTAGTTGCTTATTTTGTTTCTAGACATTAGTCACAGGCTACACTTTTTCTGAATTAAGATTATTGTGTTTATGAAAATAGGTTTAAATTTTAATTAGTTACATTTGAATACCACATGGTTTTTTATTTTCTTTGCCTTCTGCTTTCATCAGTTTTTTTTTTTCGGTAGTCGATGTTTACCCCTCCCCACCATCCATTATTACAAAAACAAAAAAACACCCACTATATAGTGATATCTCCCTCAAGAAAAAAACGAGTTCAACCTATAGTTCGTAGGAGAATTAGAATCATCACTTATTCTTCTGTTCAAAAAAAAAGAAATACGTCATTTTTCTCAACCCCGCCGTTTCATCCCCCACTAAGCACAACGTCACCACTTTCGCGGCGCGCGTGACGTCATTTGTCATTAGGCTAATGTTAGAGGAAGAGATACTGCGTAATTAAAAAAAAAAAACAGGCACTATGGCGTTGAGACGTTAGCGACGTTTAGGCTGACGAATAGATCTAAATGACTTTAGTTCGGTAAATTATATTGGTGTTTAATTTATTACAGTGGCATGCTGTTCTCCCTCTACTATACAAATTCACGTGCTTTTAATTTCTGCAACCTGCTGCCCTGAGACGTTCGGCTCTAAAATGCCCGTGACACAGCGGCTTCCGTAAAGGCATTTAGGCTTCCGGTCCCACCTATAAACTTCGTCCGTCCATTTTAAGCTACACGCAAAACTTGTGATTTATATGTGGACATAGCGGCGCTAGAGATGGTGTCAACAGGGACACCTCCTAAGCTCAGCTCTTAAAGGTGCTCCGCACTTTATAAAAGACAAATTGATGTTCAGATATCGTCGGACGCGGGCTTTTTGCCGACGGCCGTATTCTTAATGCACCGTCTTAGAGGCTTTCCACTGCTTGCACTATATTAAACTCAGGCCTATAGTGAGCTCTGGCTTCACATTAGCTGCTGTCGTATTAAGAGTTGATCTTTTGTTATGCCTCATGTCGCGAAACTTACTGTTTTGTCCAATTTTACCTGCAAGCCAATAACTGTCCTGGACTCTTGTCGAATATCTTTGCCAGGAGCTATTTGGTTTGAGCCTTATTATCAGAAGTTAATTAATTTGGAATCAATATAGCGAGGCCTATTTTCGTCGGTAGGCATTTAGTGGCAGGCCCTTTTTGGCGGGGATGATGTGCTGAGGTTGTTTTACACCGCTTAGTACAACAGGCATGCAATAGTTATGAACAAATGTATGCATGAAAACGAACGCTTTATAGAAGTCTTCCATAATTGACGTCACGCATCCCCCCCCCCCCCCCCCGATCACCCCTTCATTACAGGTCATAAAATGCGGTCCTGCGTAAGTTGACGTCACATTAGCATAGCATATGTGACATCGTTTATGCACAACCCCATATCACTCATTTTGGTTTTTTGGTATCAACATTTTGACAACAAAGGTTATTCAAAATGTACATTGGAGGTTAGGACTTTCACATCTACCATAAATGACATCGTGCACTTAAGGGGTGGAGTAACTGGTTTTGAGACGACGTTTTACGTGGGAAGTGGGAGGGGTAAGAAACGTGAAACTTTATGTATTTCGCCTAATACAAAAATGCTGAACAAAAAATTCTTTTTCGTTAGAATTATGGCTTGACTTTTTAACAGGCAGGGCAAAAAGTTAATTTTCGACATTACGACTATTTCGTGACGGTGAAAATGGGGGTGGGGGGGGGGGGGAGAGAGTTAAGGTGAAGAGAGGTCAAAAAACGTGACGTCATTTTTATTAAATCTCTAATAAAAGGATTAAAAAACATGAAAATATGAAATGAAAATAGCAAACAAACAATAACAATTAACTCAAACTAATAGTTAAATAAACATTAGATCTAGATCTAGTAGTAGTAGCTGTACAAAAATCGGGATTTTCTTAATTTATAAAAAATTGCATCTCATAATAATAATTCTAGAACTGATGATGTTTATTGTCAGTCAATTAAATTGTTTAAAGAACAGAAATTTAAAAAAAAACGCATACTCTGTATTTAAAAACAAGACAATCGTATTTAACAGCAAACAGCAATACATGTCCATACAAATAGAAATTAAGGGGAAATGACTCAAAATAATACTTTCTTAAGATGGCCGCTGTTTTTGATAGCAAATTTAGTATTTGGAACATCGTTGTTAAACGTTAATTTCATGATATTTTTATTGATTTAACCTTAAATTGTGATTTAATATTCAATTATCTTTAGTATTTTAATACAATATCAAAAATATATTCATATTTGAGCCATATTCATTAGTTACTTTATCCCTACATTACTAGCACCGGCCGAATTGATTACGCTAAAACGATAGATTACCTTTAAGTGCATTAGTTTATTAATTAAGTAGGCACGCTACATTGTTTTTATAATGTATTACTCTGTTTTCCTAAAAGTCTGACCACCAGTTAGTTATGAATTAGAATCTTGAATCTAGCTCAGTAGTAGTACTATTAATGTACAAAAACGTAACCTCATTGTCAAGGCTTTAATAGAGCTATTCTATTAAGTATATTGTCATATGTTTGTGTCAAATATTATAGATAAACCTACAACCCCCCCTCAAAATTGCAGTTCAATTTTGTTTAAAACATCGATATTTTTCTAAAATCTTATCTGAACTCTGTCAAAATAGAGTATTTTAATCAATTGCTATTACAATTTATAAAACGCGAAATAACGTCTAAAATTCGTTTTTTAACATTGCTTTTTTATTAATATGCACCATCTGAACCCCCCCTCCCCCTCATCACACACCGTCATAAAATTACAGACCCCCCTGTCCCCAACGAGTGTGACGTCATTTATGGACGACCCCTTAGGGCTTAGGCCTATGGCTATTTTAAATTTAGGGGGGGGGCCTAGTTGTTTTATTTTCTACTTTTCAGTAATTCTTCATAATTTGTGAATTCATCACTACCAATGCTGCTACTGAAAATATTTTTTCTTTAAAACACTATCAGTAGCTCATGCCCTGTGATGACAGTTTACAGACAACAATTAAAAGATCAAGCATAACTTGTTATTACCTCCCCTTAGTTCCAAATCATTAAAAAAAAAAAATTATCTGCCCCTAATATCATTCACTAATTTGACCTGGCTCTATGATTGTAAACATTTGGCATGAACCACAGCTCACCCGACGTGTGGGGGTGGTAGCGTTATGGTCTGTTCAGCATGCCTGGAGAGCGAGGGAGGGGAACGTTCAGCGTGGGTATACATTGTGTCCCGCATGGTCCCTCCATGCAGAGAATGATATATATAGACCTAGTCCCTTGTACACAAATGCACATTGTCCTGAAATAAGATTATATCATAAAATATGTTTGTTAGTTTTGATAAGTATAAAACTGTTTGAAATTTGTTCTATCACTATGCAGAGTTCTGATTCATTCTCTTCATTTCCCTTCCATATCTATTACTTGCACTATTTATTGCACCCTGTTTTTTTTTTCTTGTTTTCTGGTCTCTTCTGTTTTTTTTCTCTTATAGATAGAACTACTTCAAGTTTTTTGCTCTTGATTCTGTTTTTGTCCTTCTAACAATTCCAAAAATTCTTTTTCAATGAAAGCTTATTATTATTTATTCCTTTGTTGAAAGTTTTCACCAAAAACTATACTGATGAGTGAAATAGATCTAGGTGGTTGAAATCCATATATGTAGCTTTTAAAGTTTTGTATTTTTAAAAATCAAGCTTTTTAGAGTGATCTAACATAGAATTTCAAGAACACATTAAAATTTGTTTTAATTAATTTCTTTTATTCTTTACGTTTCAGCCATTGGTGCCTAAATTGCTAGAACCAGAACAAGAGGATGGAGAAACTGTGACAGTAGCAGATGTTGATGATGGAGAAAATTTGACAGTAGCAGATGTGGATGATGGAGAAAATTTGCTAATAACAAATGTGGATGATGTAGAAAGTTTGACAGTAGCGGATGTGGACGATGGAGAAAATTTGACAATAGCAGATGTAGATGATGGAGAAAATTTGACAATAGCAGATGTGGATGAATCTGAAATAGCTGAAGAGATAGTTGTGACAGTTGATGTGACTACCTCCAATGAGGATGTCACACATACATCAGATAGTTTAAATGATTCCTTGGCAACTATACAGACAACTGTCACGGTCCCAGGTGGCCAGGTAGTAACTGAAGACACAACTGAGTCAGATAGACCCAGCTCCGCATTTGTTTTTAAAGATTCTAATTTTGTTGTAAGTACAAATTAATAAATCTTCCATTTAAACACTCTATTTTTGCCCAAATTAGACTCGATATTCAAATGTAATTGGGGAAGATAATAAAACATTGTGAATTATTTTTATTAGGATTTTAAAATTGGAATATAAGTTTATTGAATTAGTTTTATTAAATATATATATATTTCTAAATTTCTGCTGGTTTTCAATATAGCTTTTTTTTTCTCATTATTCTCAATCATAATCTTTTAGATTTTCTGGAGTGCAGTGTTAATTGAATGGATCTAGATCTCTACCTAAAACTATAGATTTAAAAAATCCATATTTAAAATATGATGTATACTAAGCATTTCTTTGGAGTGTTAGTTGTTTTCTAAGACGTGAAAATTACATTAACCTCAATGGACACAAAATAGAACATGGATTTTGTGGGTTTTTATTAAAGCTGGTGGATATTTTAGTTTTATGTTATACAAATACTTTTGTTAATGTAAAGCCTTACTACGTTTTTAAGGTCCTTGTTTTTATTTTCAGCATTCTAGTAAAGGCATTGCTGGAAATAAAAGGACAAGGGTGTGGAAAAATCTGAAGCAAATAGTTGCAGCAGAGAGGGCGCTGCAGTGGGGACCAGATGATGTCACTTGTGAGCTTTTGATTTACTTATGTAGACTTCAAAAAAATTAAAAATAAATAACCTACCTCTTATGAGGAGTTTTAAAATTAAATAGCATTATAATGTCTTTTTTGTTTTATTTTACTTAATAATTATAATTTTAACATTATAACTCTTAAATTTGTTGTATAGCGCAGTGTAAAAACCAAGTTATTACTTAATAATCTACTTTCCAGATGGTTCAATTGATGCGCCTCCATCTTTTCGACCTGCTAAAAAGTATTCAGACATTTCAGGGCTTGAGGTATGTTGTTTTTAGGGTCTAGTACATTACCTCCCACCCATCCTGTTCAATATCTCCCTTCCCTGTTAACAACCCTCTTACACAAATATCTATTACATTGACACCAACCAAACAAAAAACTTTGTTTTGAACATTTATCTTTGTGAACTACGCTTTTATCTTTCATATGAAATAGTAAACAATAAACTTAACCCGAATTTATTTTCTTCAGGCAAAATATACAGACCCACGCACAAAAATGCGGTATGCTAATTCAGACGAGTACAGGAGGGTCCATTTATTACCTAATGATATCATAACTGGATGTTTGCAACTTCGTAAAGCTAATACTCTAATGCCTTGAGTTATAATATGTTATGTTTTTATTAAAAAATACTTTATAAGGAAGTATCTGTTGTTTTTTTCTTAAATGTTTTACATTTTGTTGCAAAACATAACTTGTTGGCTGTAATAGCAATTGAATGCACAAAAAATGTGCCCTGTTCACCCTTTAATTTACGATGGATTTTTACCTGTATTGTGACCGCCCATCTTTGAAGAATGGATTATCATCTACACCCTACTTTAAATGATCTCCTTACCAGAATCTGTCTATGAAAGTTTCCCAAGACAAGTGTTGTTTTAAATAACATCAGCTTTAGTATAAGGATTCGGATAAGGTTGATCGACTTGGATTAGGTACAACGTTTTTGATAGGGTTAGCATTAACAATATTAAGTTGTTTGACTCAAAGCAATACAAACAATAGTTTACTAGTCTACCATTATTACGAAGATACCATTGACATGGTTTATACAGGTGTAAAACATCACACACCCCGTAGATTGTCATTTTTACTGTATTGTATAGGGCAGTATAAGTATAAGAAGACAAGAGACTTTGAGAGCCTTACATGATTTTGTGCATGTCTCTATTTGATTTGATATGTGGTGCAGGGCTGTATATGATGTAGAGCAGGGGTCTCCAAACTACGGGCCGCATCCGGCCCGCGAGGTACTCTCATCCGGCCCCTGGGATCTTTATGTCCACGGAAAAATCAACGTTTGTTGGAGGTGGCTGAGGAACTTTTACCAGAAAATTCAAAACAATTTGAAAATGTAGCTTTGGCTACAAATCCATTTGCCCGCAGTGTTTCAGACACTGGTGAAGATGGTAAATTTAATACGGTAACATGGGCTCAGAGACATGTTGAAAGATACAAACAAGGAATCGCAAGATTTACAATATTGCACAGTAGCAAGTTGTGAGAAAATTCAGAGCAGAGTATTTAAGTTAAGAAAGAAAATAGGCTACTTCCTGGAAAGTAAAAGCAAGCCACAGCCATTAATGTCTGATAAAGAGTGGGTATAGGAATTGGCCTATGCTGCAGACATAACTATCTATTTAAATTTTCTGAACCTAAAATCAAGAGAGGGAAATCTAGTTTCTTATCTATACACCCGCCTTCAGATCCAAACTTGTCATGTTTTTGGAACAAGCACAGGCCAACGACTTTACGCACTCTCAGCAGTGCAAGGTCTTCATGGATAAACTAACAGCTGAGTTCCCCACGTTATTTCCAAGCGAGATCATCAAAGACCTCCCGCTGCAGTTTCAGTAGCGGTTTTCTGACTTGGATTCAAAGGCAGAAGAAGTGAAACTGTTTCAAAATAGGCCTACATTTGAAGCAAATGTGCCCATTTGAACTACGGCTGGAGGTCATAGAATTGCAAGCAAACAACATCCTTAGAGACAAGTTCAAAGAAGGCCTGGTGGGTTTTTATAAGTTTTTGCTAAAGAAAGACTTTCCTACTATAAACTTTTGCATCAAAGTACCTTTCAAAGTTTGGAACAACATACCTGTGTGATTGAAATACGTGAAGAACAATATGAGAACAAACTTGGACCTCGAGTGTTTTGTCGGGCCCCGACAGTGTTTCTTTCAGTCTATTTTTAATCCAAGACGTGGAGGATGGGGGACACTTGAAAAATTGGTATATAATTCTATATAATTTATATTTAGTCGGGCTGAAAAGTTTGGAGACCCTTGTTGTAGAGGGTTGTAGCAGATTGCAGCAACAGAAAATAAATGTTGATCTTTTTTCTTCCCTTGAATAAATTTCGATTTTCTTTCATTGAATCAATCAATAAATCGTCCCTTAAGCTCTTTTGTGGACGTTTGCACCATAGCTGATTCTCCCGTAATTCTCTGCAATTCTTCTGGGCAGGTTTTCTTTCAGACCTTTTTCTCGGAGGGGAGGGGGGTGGGAAGGGAGGGACTTGAGACTTAGAAGACACAAATTCCGAGGAGAATGGGAAAAACGCTAATTAAGGTATATAGGGCCAACTTTCTACAAACTTTTTTTTTCTATTATGTATTGGCAGGTGTCATATTCAACGAGGATGTTTCGCCGGGAGATTTAGTTTCTACGGAAACCGTATTGACAGGTGCCCCTTTTTCGGGAGCCAAAATAACAGAAACCTATTTGTCGAGAGTCGTAATGACGGGAGCTGTTTTGTCGAGAGCCCAAAATGAAGGGAGCCTTATTGACGATCCCTTTTGTCGGGAGTCTAAATAAAATAACAGGGTCCAATTGTCCCTGGCCCTTTTGACGGAGTCAATTTGACTGGGCTATTTTGTCGGGGTAGCTTTGTGGGAGTCGTTTTGACGTGGCCGTTTTGACGCCGCACGCCATTTTTTACAAGCTTTTATTTAACTCACTTCCTCTGTCGACAGTCAGTCGTCAGTCTGTCTAGATCGAAACGCCCGAGCAAAATTGCAGACACTTCTAACTGACAGATACGGTTCGTAGTTGGTACGTGGATCAAGACATGAAGACAATGCATCGTGACATTCAATTTGACTTAATTGGTCGCCTAACTAATTTTTTATGAATTAATTAAAATTTTGACCGAATTAGTAGGCAGTTCTATCCACACGTGTCATACCGGCAAAATTGCGTCATCACGTTCAATAGGTGCGCAATGGTTTTTAGTCATATGTAACTCTATTGTAAATAAAAACATGTAAAGTACTAATTTTTTTTCAAAAAACCGTTTTAATAACCAGTGTTTCTTCCAGACTTCTTTCTCCGGGGGGGGGGGGGGGCACTTGAAATTTTCGGGGGGGGGGGGGCGGTAGACTTTCTTCGGGGGGGGGGGGGGGGGGCGGACACTGTTAAAATATATTTTTTATATAAATTATATAAATTTCATTTCGTTCGGGGGGGGGGGGGAGGGGGGAGGCGCGGTAGAATTTTTTCGGGGGGGGGGGGGGGGAGTGATAGTTAGATATTTGACTGTTTTACAGATGCCTGGAAGAAACTCTGTTAATAACAAGCTTTTATGTAATAAATTGTATTTAAATATTAAATACTATTTAAATAACTATAAAGAAAAGCGTGGGTCTCTTCCTAAATATTAGTAAAGGCAGAGGCGTAGCGAGGGGAGGGTGCGGGGGGGGGGGGGGTGCGGACCGCACCGGGTGACACCATTTAGGGGGGGGGGGGGTAACACCAAGGCAAAAAATAGTAAAATATATAGAGAAAAATTTGAGGGGGGGGGGGGTGCAAATCGAAAGTTTGAGGGGGTGCAAATCGAAAGTTCGAATGGGGGGGGGGGTGCATATCGAAAGTTTGAGGGTGGGGGTGCAAATCGAAAATTGAAAGTTTGTCCCCGGGAAGAGTCGCTACGCCTCTGAGGGGTGACACCATTAAGTGCCGCACCGGGTGACACTCACCCGACCTCGCTACGCCACTGAGTAAAGGTATCCAATAGGTACTAAAGTGACCCACGCTTTTCTTATTTATAGTTATTTAAATAGTAGTGTATAATTTATTTTCTCCTTTTTATTGCATTATTACATAAAAGTTTGTTATTAAAACGTTTTTATGACATTTTTTTCTTTTACAAATATGGGTAGGTTGCACCTCCACTCGTCTTTGTTCTGGGCAGTTTTCTCCCATTAATTAAATTTAAATGGAAACAATTGATCAATCTCCTCCCACCCTAAACTCATTTTATCTATTTTAGCTTTCAAAATGTGACGCTAAAGGTTATACCAATGTCACATTTCTTATTCTTTCCCCAGCCCATCTTTGAACGGGCTCATATAGACTAGGCCATAGGACAGTCGCAGCAGTATTTGTCGTTTATTTATAAACATGGTTTAACATGGCGTGGATGGAATTTTCAAGTATTTTACATTACGTTATTTAAACTAAATATATTTGTTTTAAAAATAAACAAAACATAGACAGAATTCGAATTTTATAAAATGTTTTGTTTATAGTTTAATTCCAAAGAGTATGAGCTTACTTATAAATAAAGTCGAAACTGCGAAGTTGTAAATCTACAAATAAGAACTCTTTTGACTAAAGAGCTATTTTCTATGCTGGTATCAAAACAAAAATAAAAAAAAGTCGGCAACACCTCATGGAAACTTGTAACCTTGGCTTCGATCATATTGCTTGCAGCTCTCAGAATGTCGTGCACGCGCCTTAATTTAGTTTGCAAACTCATCACGGACTGTCGTTTTCCACAACAAGTGACTAGATTAGGCATTTTGGTAAATTTTGCCTAATTATCTCAGAATGATAAAACACACATAATATTGAAGGCCATAAACTGCCATTTAATAAACCACTAAATTTATCACTGTAGGCCCAGTAGTTTTTTTTTTATGAATTTTTTAAGTTGTATGTTAAACAGCTTATATTTTATTGTAAAGTTGCAAAATATTTGGTGTCCTTCTTTGAGTTCATATAGCGTTGTTATTTTTTAACATGTAATGATAAAACTTTGCATATTGATACTAGAGAGTACAGGCAACAGGAATATGCAATTGAAATAAAGATCAGTAAAGGTAAAACCAAAAATAATTAAGACTAATTAAGGGTCATGGCGTTTTTATATAGAGAGCAACGTTAGTCTATTGTCAAACTGCACAACTCTGTTGTTAATAAAGATATATTGATAATACTTTGCATATTGGTGCTAGGGAGTACAGGCAACAGGAATATGCAAGTGAAATACAGCTTAATTAAAAGGAAAACAACTAATAATTAACTTAATAAAGCCCAATTAAGGAGTGCGGTGCCGTTCTACTATGATTGCCACAAGTCACTTTTCATACTGAATATCTATGTTGCTATTGATGATACAAAGATAAAACTTAGCACATAGATGCTTAAGGATGTTGGGAATAGAAATTTACAAGTCAAAAAAATGCTAGGAGAAAAAGACAATCACATATAATAAAGTCTAATTAATGGGGGTGGCACTGAAATCTTGTATCAATAATACCTGTGTATTATACTCATACTGGAATATGATATGGTTAGGATTATGTTGAAATATCTAAATATTAGTAGCATTAGTTATAGGCTACTTTTAATAAGTAGCCAAGGATGGTTAATCAATAGACAGCCTACAGAAACTAGATGAGATGTGTCGCAACTGAAGGATAGACAGCTGCCTTATTTGCTGATCTGAACCTACTGTTTAAAAAAAATTACTGTTGCTTAGTTTAAGTTATAAAATTAAGTCACATTGTTCAAAGTGTTACTGTTTCTGTTTTCTTTTTGACTTTTAAAAAAATGTATCTATCACTGTTGCTTTAGATCACATTATTAAAGTGAAGTGTTAATGTTTCTATTTTATCTTTGACTTCATTTATTTTACTTTCCATGCCTCTATAGATCTAGTAGTATATTTTAGCTATTATTAAATTTTAAAGATAATATACTATAATCTGAGAAATGACCAATTTAATCTTTGTAATTATTTTCTTAATCAGTTTTTCCTGAAACGGGGTAACTAAAGTTTAGACATCATCCATAAGTAATTTTACAACATAATTATATATTTAAGCTTGATGCAATAAATATTAGTTCTATTAGATTCTTATAAGCAATTACTCATTAAAATACATAGATCTAAATCTATTCTATAGGGGCCTAATATTTATAAGGGCCTATTTATTACTATTTAAAATTTTAATTAGGCCTATTATTATTACCCAATTGAAAATGACTAATATGGAAGATTATTAATGAATGGGACTATTAATTCCATTGCTTTAAATTTTATTTAATCCATAAAAAACATTCTATAAGCTAAAATCTTGCCAATTCAATGAATAGTGTTAAACAGTAATATCAAATGTGCGATTTTTTATATTTCATGCATATGGTCTATGGACCGTCATAAAAATTTTAACTCGGCCGTCATTATTAAAATTGCGTAGATCCCCTTCACTTCACGCAAGAAGCAATATCTGGTTATAAAGAGCTAAAAAGCCCCATAAAACCAACATTTCCACCCATCAAAATAGTTTGGCATTACTTATTTACTAGATCTAGTTTCCTGAACTTATCTCTTTTTTAAATGCCGAAATTTGGTTCTATCGATAATAGGTAACCTCGCGGCCCCTATCGCCCTGTTAAAAAATTGTGTCAGCGGGACCCCCCCAAGATTTACCAATGCTTTTTAAGCATGTTCCAATGAAAAGAACTCTATGAAACTGTTATTTTTGTTCTTGAGAATGGTTAGGATGCTCATTACAACTAATGTCTAGCTTATTATACTTTACTTTCTTGCTAAAATTAATACTAATTGAAAGAAGTCGGTTACTGCGTTTAATGAGACGTGCTCGCTAAGATACCTCGATAAAATTGGGATCGATATGTTAAAATGTAACTAATAGTTTTCCATACAAACATAGAATATAAAAACAGCCCACTTTGACGTATCGAATACATTAATTTATCGATTCTCTCATGATAACTAAGCACTTGGATGGAAAATGGCCGAAATTACAAAAGTTGGCTTGAAAAATTTCGGATGTGGCCAGATTAAACAAAATGGCGGACATCGAAATGCCTAGACTAGATCTAGACAGATTTGCATGACTTCATGCAATGCAAACTCTCCTCAAAGCGTGAGCTAATCTAGATTTTTCGCGCATACGACGACGACACACTTTTACTTGCGTGTAATCTTTCTGTGCAGTGACGTAGTTTGTTTACAACTTAAAATCTGTCGTTGGTCTGACTTAAGGCTAAACAGCTCTTCTAGATTTTCTTAAGTCATTAAAGTATTATACTGCGCTATTTCACTGGACTAATACAAAATTACTAATTAGTAGATCTAGATCTAGTTTGAATTATTGGATTTTTAAAATTAAATATTCTGTTATTTCAAATAGGCCCCCTACCCTACACTAGGTACTAGGATAAATTTTTAAAATTGGTTTTTTAGGGAAACAACTACTACAGTTAAAAGGAGCAGAAAATTACAATAACAGAACAGTTTTCCTTTTTGATGTAGCTCAAACGGTTAAATAGTTATGATTTTTTTTCGTATTAAAAAATGTGATTTTTTTAACATAGGATTTTTTCAATTTCTGTGATAGAGTTTTTTTAAGCGTTTACTAAAATTGTCCTAGCTTGTAAACCATATGGTCAAATTTGTTATAACTTTGCAATATCTTTATTTATTATATATGGAAGCATAATAAACAATAAGATTAGAAATTTATGGGCAGAGTAAAACAAAAACAGAAGTAGAACAGGGTACCCCCCCCTAATTTTTCATATACAGTGCATTCATACAATCTCAGTTAAAATTTTAACTATTCAGAAAATTAAGCTCAAACTTGCTGAGAATGATGAGCTATGGATGTGTCAGTTATTACAATCAAATTAATATTAATAAATGAAAAGATTTTTGTTTTAACTGCTACAAAGCTGATAAATTATACAATTTCGCAAAACCGAAGTCTTGTTGATGTGACATGCAACATAATGGCAAATTTGAGTTATTAAGCACTTAAGTCTCAAAATTTGTCTAGCTCAAGATAACTCTATTCTTAAACAGAAGTAATCAAAATATGTATTTAAATCTATCTGTTTAACAAAAAATAAGGGGTGGAACAGGGTACACCCCCTATTTTTAAATACTACATTTGTTCACACAATATCAGCTTATGTCCAAACTATTTGAATCTAAAGCTAAAAACTAACCAGAGTGAAGCTCTGAAATAAGTGTGTTTGATGGTTCTATCTAAATCAGGGGTTCCCAACCCCGTGCCCGCGGGCGCCATGGCGCCCGCCGAACGATTGGTATGTGCCCGCCTCTCACTATTCGACAGAGACAGAATTTTTTTCATAAACATTATTGAAAGGTTGAAGGGGATGGAAATCGAAAGTTTGAGGAGGGGGGGGGTGCAAAATCGAAAATTTGAGGGGGGGGGTGCAAATCGAAAATTTGAGGGGGGGTGCAAATCGAAAATTTGAGGGGGGGGGGGGTGCAAATCGAAAGTATGAGGGGGGTGCAATCGAAAGTTTGAGGGGGGTGCAAATCGAAAGTTTTGTCCCTGGGTGACGGGAAGGGTCGCTACGCCTCTGGAAGGAGTTTGCCGATTTAAAATAGGTGGTGCCCGCCACCCTACCAATATTTTAGAATGTGCTCTAGAGTAAAAAAAGGTTGGGAACCCCTGATCTAAATAGTTGACAAATAGGTAAAATAAGGTAAAACGCTGAGTCATCGACGCACCTGACATTGAAAAACTGAACTAATATATGTAAAAAAAAATGATGGCAAATTAGATCTATTAGAAATGTAAGGTCTTTTATTTGTATAAACGTAATTAACATGTTAGTCTACTTATAAATATAGTTTAATTAAAAAAGATGTGTTTCTGTCTATTCATTAGTATTTTACATTTCAGAAGAAGTTCAACATTGGACTGGTTGGTTTTAAAAAGATATAGAACTAGTTCATATCACTAAACTTTCAATGTACTGCTTCAAAATTTAAGTTATTTAAAAAAATATTACTTAATTTATCTAAATAAAAGATGAACACATTAATTGTAATAGTTTTAATTCCTCTTTACAGTGTTCCCTCATTAGGCCATATAACTGCTTATCATATCGTAGAGATGTGCTGGTTTTTTGAAGTGTAGGTTCTATCTGGAAAAGTAAACAGTACATTATTTGCTTTCACATCAAAATAAATAAAATGGTTTTTCTGAAGACACTAAATATTGAATGTTTATTGCTAATACCGCACCAGACCTTCCCCTCCCCCCCCCCCCCTCTTCTCCACTACCTTCAATATCAAAACAGCGTTTGCCACTATCGCCGGCGGCAAAACATCATTCGCCACTATCGCCGGCGTCAAAAAATCGTTCGCCACTATCGCCGGCGGAAAAACATCGTTCACCACTATCGCCGGCGGCAAAACATCGTTCGCCAATATCGCCGGCGGAAAAACATGGTTCGCCACTATCGCCGGCGTCAAAACATGGTTCGCCACTATCGCCGGCGTCAAAACATCGTTCGTCACTATCGCCGGCGTCAAAACATGGTTCGCCACTATCGCCGGCGGCAAAACATCGTTCGCCACTATTGCCGGCGGCAAAACATCGTTCGCCACTATCGCCGGCGTCAAAAAATCTTTCGCCACTATCGCCGGCGTCAAAACATGGTTCGCCACTATCGCCGGCGGCAAAACATCGTTCGCCACTATTGCCGGCGGCAAAACATCATTCGCCACTATCGCCGGCGTCAAAAAATCGTTCGCCACTATCGCCGGCGGCAAAACATCGTTCGCCACTATCGCCGGCGTCAAAACATCGCTCGCCGCCATTTTTTTTCTATTACCTCCCTTGCCACTTTCGCTTTCAAATTGTAAACAAACGTATTTTTATAAAGGTAACAAAAGTGCGCAGCATATAACTTTTGTGCGCTATGTCCAAACAACTTGATTTTTTGAAACAATAGAGAAAAGTGGTGTAGAATTCAAATAATGCAATAAATTTTCTCCTTTTTATAAAAATAAACAGTAGGGAGTAAATTAAACTTACCTTATTTTCACTGAAATACTCCATCTTGAATAATCCATGAAGAAAATTGAAAAAACAATAAAAACGCAAAATGTCCATTTTTTTATGAAAAATCGATAATCGCACGAAAATTGATCGGGCGATAACACCGAGCGATAAAAATTACGAAACTATAGCACTCGCGTCGCCGCAAATTCTCGGCGTCTGGGTAACGGGGACGAAAAACTCGCCGCGCGGGTTAAAACGAGATGTAATCCTAGTACCTACCCTACACTATTAATTTCCTTACCCCTTGCCTTAAGCCTAGGCTTTTTGATGAGAATTACAGAATGATTTTTTTATTAAAAATGTATTAATAATAGCTAGAATACTAGTAAACTAAGCTAATTTAGCATATTTTAACTTTCTGTGCAAAGTCATTATTACTGAAAAAAATTCCAAAGTCAGGTCAGCCTGTGGCACCCTCCACTGAACTTGAAAGAAGGAAAAAAAACTTGACCCGTGACCTTCATTAAAACAGAATTTACTTATGTTTCTTTTTAACTATTAGTAAACATGTGCTTAATATTACCCAATAAGTAATAAAAATTTGACAATTAATTTTAATTACTGTTGTAAAGTGAGATAAACAGATTAATAAACACGTGTTTTCTTGAGGGGGTGTGACCCGGGTGTGGCACATCGCATGTAACTTTTTATTTCTGTGTCTTATGACTATTTGTTCACAATCAGCATGCTATGCTTTTAAAATTGATAAAGGGTAAGTATACCAAGCTACAAAACCTAAAATCTAACTAATAATTCATACTTTCAGTTTAAAAAATAATAAAAACGATCATCAATGAAGAAAGCGTAAACATTCTATTTTTAGGTGTGACATAAAAAAACAGTCATAAATCTAGCCAAATGATTGGATTCTTGCGCAGCACACATTTTCCCGCGCCTCGTTTTCACCAAACAAGAATATAATAAAATGGCATTATTGAGGGGTGATCACTTACACCCTCAAATGTATTGTTTCCACCCTAATTTCATTAAACAATTCAATTTTTATTTGATAGTAAAGATGTTATAAAAATTGTAAAAAATAAAAAAGTTATTGTCGAGCGCACCTGCTTTAGTTAATTCGACTTGAAACGCAAGCTAAATAAGCGTGACTTTCTCTCGACGGCCTCGTTAAATACAAACAAAGAAATTAGGCCAAAAGTAGATCTGACAATTCTTAAACAACAGACTTAAATAGAAACGGATAGTTCCGATGTCTAAAATTAACGATGGCTTCGTAATCATTAGTTTTATCCCTCTACCCATTAGTGAAAGCAAAACTGGTCGCCATTTTTGGTAAGCGCATGAGCCGTGAGATGGCTTCAAAACAACAAACCCGGAAGCTGTGAATTTGAACGGCCTACTTAAGCCTTAAGTAAGAGAACATTTGACACCACATTTAAATATCTAGCTTACTCAGTGGCCGAGAAAAGAGAGAATTTTAAAATTATCCTACAATGGAAAATGAAAGCCAAAAACCATGTTCTTGCCCTCCAGCTGGCATCACAGGACGTTGTGAACTTGTGTACACAAGTTTTTAAATGCTGCTGTGGTAATTGTGTCAACATAGGTTACTCGCCGGAAAAAAAACAACAAAAAATAACTGGTTGATAATAAAACTAGATGTAGTTATTTATTAAATTGGTAAAGAAAATATAGGCCTACATTACAAATTCTACTCTACATGTTATTCATACCATTTTTGTTGGCCATGAATTGAATTTCATAGATTTTAAAAACTGAATATTTCAGTTTCAAAATCATCTTGGGTATTAAATTTAATACTTATAACCTAAAATACTTTAAACCAATCCTGAGAGGAAAATAAGTACTTTAGAGTTGGTTTTGGAGGGTTTTAGTAGTGAATAAGAGATAGGGCTAGACATCATGAAATAGTTACTCTAAAAAGTATTAATGAATCAGAATGACACTATTGATATTGTAGTATTATAAAGGAGATGTTGTGGAAAATGGAGTCAAGTTTGTAATGAAAATTGTCTTTACAGAAGTTTCATTAACAGTGCAGAATGACAGATATGTTTCTTTGATTTTTTTAATTAGCTTAATGTGTTTAATTACTTACTTAGGCCTAATTTGTATGTTTTCACCCAGAGGTTAAAGCTTGGGACACAAATGAACTAAGCTTCATATTATTAAAAAACACTTGAAATTCTTAGTAATAATGAATTTTTTGCCAGTTAGTATTGCCCAAAGTGTATCTTAAAATAGTAGAGTATAGATATTATGATTTTAAGTTAACAATTTCACTGTAGATACTGTTGTTAATTCATCACTATTTGAGCTCTTCCACTGCAATTTTTAACTATTGTTTCAATACCAATTTAATTAAGCAACAAGAAAAATAATTCTATCTATTCACATTTTCTCAGAATTCACTGCCTAACTGATAGACTGACTATAATGTATAGAGCAAAATATTCTTTGACATTATCTGTTTTATTACTGCAGCTACCATTTGTATGTATAAAATATCCAATGATGTGTTAATCAAAGATGTGAAGCTTCAATGCAAAACAGCTGTTGTAATGAGTTATTGCTAACCATTTATTGGATGGATTAGAATTTTATTATTAGACACACTTGCCATGCAAAGGGTCATTATACATTCTTTAAACCCCCACCCACTATTTTCTGTTAACTATTTTCTGTTGTTTATGGAGATATTTTTAAAAATTTACTAACAGGACAAGCTGTATGGAAACATTCTAAAGCAAAATGGAAGTGGAACCACCAGCACACTTTTACCCAAGAAAAAGACTGACCCATGCCATCTCAGTCGCCATTTTCACACTACTGATGCAGTTTTGCTTCCCAACAGCAAATTTTTAAACTTGAAGTAATTTTTAGTTTCATATTTTGCTATAATTTACTGATATTTTTTTCTGTTACCCTATTGTACCGATAATATGCTAGTATTTTGTATTTGTGGTTAGATAAGAGTCTTTGTTATGCACACCTTTACTAAATATTTTCTTCTTAATCCAACAGACCTACTGAAATATCAGAAGCAGAATATGAGGCATTAGCAGAAGAAACTCTGGATTCGCTGACAGAGTTCTTTGAAGATTTGCCAGAGACTGAAGCATGTGATGAGGATTATGACTGTGCTTTTGGGGTAAGATATCTTGAGACATATATTTTATCTCCTTTTTTTTTTTCATGCCATAAATTATGTTAGTACCCAGCCAGCATTTATTTTTAACCCATTGATAGGTGAACATAACATTTATTGATAGCTAAATTAACAGGGGATGGTGGGATGGGTTAAAAATTTAAAATTATTTCTAAAATGCACTATGCCTTAGAGTAAGTATTTTTGTTTCTAAATTTTACAAACCCAATTCTTACTGAATGTGATATGAATTAAAAGTCTTGAACAAAATGAAAATTGTGTGGATTTAGTTAGTGTTTTTAAAAAATTTTATATTTTGGTTTCGGGGTTGGTAAAATTTGGGAGATGGAATTTCAGGATTCATTTAAAAATTATATAGGCACCTCTTTACATGATGTTGTGACATTTTAATTACATTTTTGAATAGAATGGTGTATTGACCCTTCACCTTGGCAGTGCTGAGGGCACATATGTCCTGAACAAACAGACACCAAACAAACAAATTTGGCTGTCCTCTCCTCTAAGGTATGGTAGGGATAGGTTACTTTTAACAAGTATTGATTTATTCATTAAGTCAGGCTTGTTTGCCTTTTCATTATTGGCTATTAAATATTTGTAATACATTCATATTTTTATTCTTTAGTTGAAAGTTGGCATGCTTTCAGAGTATCTCGAATAAGGCTATTTTTATTTATTTCCTTTTCTATTAGCTGCAATGGTGTACTGATATGCATGCTAGAGCAATTACATATTTATGTAGGTAGTTGTAAAATTTGTTAGGTGATAAGGTTAAAATGTTTTCTGACATATAGGTTTGAAATATGTACTGCATTTAGTCATGCTATGTGTTTTTTTTTTTTCATTATTCTTAGATATTTAGATGATTGAGATATAGTTTACTAGGTATGATTAATTTTTTAATTATGAACTGCTTTAATGATAAACTATGAAGTAAAAAAAATCCTGTCTATTTTTGTTTGTGTGGAGCAGTGGTCATTACAATTCTTTATTTCATTAATGTTTGTTTCTGTAGTGGACCAAAGCGCTATGACTATTATCAGGGCCAGTGGGTCTACCTCAGGGATGGCACTGGCCTACACAAGTTGTTGGAAGATGAGATATCAGAGATCACAGGGCTGAAAATTGATTTGAAAAGATGCAAGTTTTACACATGGGGCATTGCCGAAAGACAGTCCAGCACAAACTAGCTAATTTGTTTTTTAGGTTACTTCCCCTGAATGCTTGATTGTGTCTATTTGTATTTGAGATGATCAAATTATATTGAATGGAATGTTTTTTTACTGGTTGTGTGTGGTTTGTTGTGCTTGCCATATTTCTTTCTTTTTCAAAGACGAGTTTTTGATCTATGCAAGGATTTTTAAAGATTCAATGTTTGTTTAAAAGACTGTATGATAGATCATTGTAAAGAGATTTGCTTTTGTTGTGTGCATTTTATCCTGTCTGATGAAATGTATGATTCAATATACTGTAATCCTTCCAAGTTTTTATTCCATCAATTACAATTTAGTTAAAAAAATGTCTTTTTCTATTAAATTAGCTGTTTGGGGAATTGTTTACTGTAATCCTGCCATGTAGTTATCATCGAAATATAAACCTGCTTTTTGAAACAGTGATGTGAGCATGCTATGCAAAGGTCCACACATGAAAAATCTGATGTGGCTGGTTCTGTGTTAACTTTTCCTTTAACCTGTTTGATGCTTACTGTTACATATAGATGTGTATGTCACACTTTACTTAAAGCATGCTTGGCTGATTGCTAGTGTTAAGAAAGTTTTAACTATAAATATGCTAATTAAATCACAAAGAATTATTTGAGTTGTGTGTTGGTAGTTGCAGTTAATGCTGCATTATTTTTTAAAATATATTTTTGTGCGTGTTGGTAGTTGACTTAGCAATTTACAAATTTTATTATATTCAAATTTAGTTGTGTATAGTGTATGTATTTATAGTTGCTTTAGAAAGTTGCAAATAATTTATAACTATTTAAATTTTTTGGTTTGTGTTTTGTTAGTTTGAGCTAATCTTGGTATATTTACATTTGTTTCCTTTGTGTGAGTTGTAGTTGCTTTAGCTGCATTTTGTACAGTATTTTAAAAATATTATTTATTATGTGCTGTTCATGTTGGTGTTGTTGCCAGATGAACCCTACAAGGCCAGTTGTTTGATTACATTTTATGTCTCATGTATGTACATGCTAGAGCAGTATAAGGGTGGTTATTTTTAGCTACATTACCTCAATTTAAAAAAAAAACAAAAAAAATGCCATCATTCAAAGGTTATAGGTTTTTTAGTATAAATTAATTTAAGCTGAGATTTCTTTTTAAAAATTTTATTTTCAGTATATTAAATATAATTGTATTATCAGAATGGGGTATATTGTTTTGTAATACAGGTAATGGACTTGGCATTTAAAAGGTTTTTCATTTGTCTAGTATAATATTTTGTATTTAATAAATGTCATTACCCCAACATTTCTTTTTCCTACTAAATACAATACCACTGTATAACCATAGCATAACTCACTCCCCTTCACTGATGATCCATAAATCACTCTGCTCTACTGACAAAAATATTTGACTCTTCCCCATGCACTGTCTGTACTGCTCATAACTATCCCCACTCCGCATTCCCGAATAACTCCCTGACCTTGACCACTCTTATCTCAACCACTGACCACCCATAATTCACATTGACTGCTCATGACTCACTCCACCCACTGACAACCACTGCTCCCTCCCACTGACTACCTTACCCCCTCTCTCTTACTGACCACCCTTCCACTGATCATCCATCCATGACTCACTACCCCTCCTAGTCATCTAGTACACAGATTGTAAATATAGCTGTCTATGCTCAATAGTTGTACCGTGTGTATTTTTCTAAAACCAAAAATCATTCCTCAAGGCGCTCCATATTATAATAACTTTGGTTGATTAATATTCTATATAAATTTTTGTTTAGGAATGTAATAAAAAATTGACTTTTATGCAAAATTAAATACTCAAAACAAAATATTTGTGTGTAGGGTAAGATAAAAGTCTTCACAATTCAGACACTACTTTTACAATTTGTATTAGCAAAATATCATTGAATGTAATTTTAACACTTTATTCTTTAAAGATACTTAAACCATCATTATTGAAGTAAATAGTTTACCTTAATGTCAAATAATGCATTTTCTTACATGTTTTCTCTTCTATGTAATCACAAACTGTAATTCACTAACCATCCATTAGATCTAATTATCTGGAGTTTTTTTTCTTTACAAAATTTGCAGATTGCTTATACATATTTATTCTCTAAGTTGTATTTGAAAAATAATGACCATTTTCAATAGCAACAACAATTATATCTCAGGAATAATTTTATTATTTATCATTCAAACCAACATCACATTTTTCTGTTGAAAATAGCCTGAATTAGAGTGAGCAACTTAGTATAATCTTAGGTGTAAATAGATAATACTGGTTAGCTTAGTTTACTTGGTTTAGTTATGAAATTGGGATTTTTGCTCATACGTTAGTTGATTTAACACTATTCCATCCCAGTATTTAATGCCAAAACCATAGTTCATGTTTTATTAATCTATTTTTGTAATGTAGGTTCCTATTTTTAGTAGATTTTATGTGGCTTCAACAATGTTATTATTGCATCTTGTTAACTGTTGCATTTTTTATATGTATTTTTGTGGTTTGTTCATTTAATGAAATGACTCTAGGAATTATAAAAACTTTGCTAGGAGATTTGTTCTATGGTTTTGGGGTTTGAAAACTAGTTGGCCAGAGTTTTCTCTCAGAAATTGTCAATCAAATTTGGTTTATTGTTGATGCACAACTCTTTACTTAGATGTGTGGAGGATATTGCTGTTACTCATTATAATCATGTTGTGTCTGTCAGATAGGATTCTATTTGTTAGGTAATCTTTTGTGTCTATCTGGAAGCATTCTGTTTTTACTGATACCGATCTGCTCTCTGGTTGCATTCTGTTAGTCCATAGCATTTTGTATTGTGGCTTGCTTTTTGAAGATTTGTAGCATTCCATCACCACCAAGTACAAAGTACACCCTCCCTGTTTGCTAGCAGACTCATTGCATTTGAACAGTATTAGAGAATTGAAAAAAACATTCTCTTTGTTTAAATATACTTTTACAATCTGCAAAATCAAAATCTTACCAAATAGTTTTTCTTTGCGAATTAAAATACACTTTTCAAGTTCATTTGTCACAAAAAAAAAATCTGTAAATAAAATGTTTAGCTTCATCAGTGCCTGAGATTTATATTTTCAATTATTATCAATGTAATTTGACTGCAAGATGTAATGCCCAGTCGTTTGTTCCATATTTCTAATTTTGATTACATAAAACTGTTTTTTTCTGATTTTTCATAATGTGTACTGGCTTTATAAGAAACTACTGTTTGCTCTTTAAAATTTCCTGCAACATATTTGTGTTCTGGATTTTGTGGTATCTATATATAGATCTTATTATTGCTTTACTGAACTCTTTGTTAACGCCTGCTATGACATCTCTGTGTGCTTAAAACAGTCCATAATTTCTACCTTCTACTATTGATTAGCCCCAGCAGACATGAGTACTGTAGCAGCTGTTCCTGGTTAGATCATATAACATGTACATCTGTAACCAACCTTCTGTCTGTTTGGTGTCTGGTTAATTTTATTCATGTCTCTACATTGTGTGGGCTCTTTATTCTATTATTGATCAGCAAGAGGTTATTCTTGTCTTAGGTGGTCTGTCACCACCAAATTTCTGCAGCAAGCCTTGACTAGGTTTTTGGGCCTGTTTTTATTTTGAATGGGTAGTTGTGTTTAAAATATTGTATAGGTACTGTGTGGTTCAGGTGTTGTATAGATAAAGTACATTGTTTTATGGTTGTTATTACACGATAATGTAAACTATAGTTTTACCGGGTTAGGGGTTTTAACAATTATTTTCATTCATCTCTTTTTGAGAGGATGGTTGAATCAAAATGCATAAATATTTGCAGTAAGGGAGAGAAGTGAAAGTTAGATATTTGACTATTTTACACGAGTTATTTCCCTGGATAAAAACTCTCTTTAATGTAGTTCAATGGCAAAAAAATGCATGAGCAAGCTGGTATAATAATTTTCGATGTCTCACTTGTTGATGCAACAATTCATTAGGGATATGCAGGTGACCATGAGTCATGCCATCTGTTTTTTCCCCCCATCTGAAGAGCTCTATGAAACTCATTGGAAACAGCTGTTCTTCCAACACAAAGCAATGAATATCCAGGACACGTTGTGTTAGGTTTTTTAACTAGCTCTTCCTGTAGCTTTTTGTTTGAACACAAATAAACTTAACTTACAAGTTTGTTTCTGTTGATTTGAATCCAGTGTTTCTTATCTTTAGTATTTCTACATTTTTTTCTTGTTTTTCTTATCTGCCATGTAAATCAAATTTTTATTTAAAAAAAAAAAGCACAATGAAAATGGTCCACCTGCCTCATGTTATTTGTAAATTTTAATTTTTTTTCTCTTTAAAAAAAAAAGGTGTGCATTGTTTTTTTATTATGCCAAATTGTTTCAAAATTATTCTTTCAATTTTAAAAAGTATGCAGTGTAACTTGTCATTAATTTTTTTTTAACTAAATGAATAATTAGTGTTAATTGACTTATATTTATGATATAATGATTAAGAGTTTGAGGTATATTTTGTCTAATTTTATTTTAAAATGGGAGAAATTTTGATTACTTTTCTTAAATGTTAGCTTTAAGTGTTGCGCCATATTTCCTTTCAGTTTATGGGACTGGTCTATCTAAACTAGTTGGAAAAGGTTTTAAAACTGCAGATATTATTTTACATTTTGTTTCTCTTTAACTGTTCTTTGCATGGCCTCTGGTGTTGTTTTATGTATACAATCACAACAAACATGGACCAGTCTGACAGTGAACTTTGACCCTTATTTCCATACCTGACTGATTGGGCTTTATCTGATGTCATAAGTTAGCTTTGGTGGGCAAACAACTTAGCTTTATATGGACAGTAATAATCCTTATTGTCTCTGTTGGCTGGTCAATACTAGACCTCACTGTTAAGTTTGGTTAACCTACAGCTTTGCTTCATTAAGAAAATAGACCATATTTCAGCTGACCAACTGTTGATCTCACTGTTAGCTTTATTTGGTCAACAAAGAACATTGTTAGAATCAGTTGGTCAACAAAGACTTGAGAACCAGTTGGTCAACAGCTGTCCATGAGTAGAGCTTACAGACTGGACTGTAACATGGGACCACACTGACCTGTTCTCCATTGGTCACTGGCAATTGTTAAACACATGAGTAGCATGTCTTGGTTGATTCCACATCGACTAGATGTAAAGAATCGATTGATTCGACCTCTACCATCGATTGATTCGACCTCTACTAGATGTAAACAATCGATTGATTCGAACTCTACTAGATGTAAACAATCGATTGATTCTATCTTGACTTTTTGTAAACAATCATCTACAAATTGTGACTAAACTTTGGCTACTTTGAATGTTGACTTGAGCTAGTCATTTTTCCTCCTGTTCACATTGGATTATTATAATTTTATATGAACATTTTGAATTAAACTTTCTTGAAAACGATTTACACAGTGAAGCATGCTCAAGCCAACATACTCAGCAATTTGTTTTTTTTTCTTTTCCTCAAAGATGCTGTTCTGGTCTCAGTTTTGTACTGACGTTGTTAACAATAAGCTTTACAATATGTCAGGATTTGAATAAAATGTTGGAATTGAGATAATGTTGTTGTGTGGTCTATTCTTTAAAAGTTGTTTGTTCTTTTATTACTTAATATTTATCTTGACGTCAAACAAGATCGTATGACCAACATGCCAGGTACTTAAAAGAGCCTGGGCAGGCTCAGCTACGACTGTACACAACATGTTTTAAAAGTTAATATGTATTGGGTCGTTAGTCAATACTAGCTTTTAAAAAACCTTTTGGGATGTATAGAAAGAACCCCACCAGTTTCATATAAGCATTGGCCGAAACCTCCCTAATATTTCTATCGTTCGCACTGACATCTGATTGTGAATCATTTGAGTCGGATGAATGTCTTGACAAACAGATGCGGTCTATAAACTGGCTTCAGAACAGGCCACTCAGAGAAAATGTGCTGGCTTGTGTGCACTTACTGAGTTGGAGAGATTGCAGGCGGCTTTAATGTTGGTCTTGTTTTATAATCCCCCAATATAGAAATATTAGTGTCTCTACACTTTAAAAATTTAGATGATCAATGTTTTGGTTTTCGAAGCAAGTATTTTCTTGCAAAAAATAGGCCCAACATTGAAAATTACAATAATATTAAGCACATCTGTTTTGTTGTAATGTCTTGAATGAAGTTAAACATTCTGGTAACTTTCACAAAAACTGATAACTGAATGTCTGGGTGGTAGAGTTGTATGGGCATTAAAATGTTTCTCATAATATAATTATAATTTAGCTTTTAATGTAGGAAAAAACAGAACAAAAATAATTAAACGATAAATCATAAGGTTTTATAAAGCCGACAGCAAAAGGACAAGAAACATTCTCAGAGGTTTATAGAGCACTTTTATTCAATCTGAAAACAAATTATAAGCTTTAGAAAAATAAAAAGAAATAATTTCTAAAGAACTTCATGAATTATCCATTATTTTAGTAAAATCTATTAAAAAAACAACTCGACACTATTTCTTTTAAAACCAAGATATTACCAGAATCTTCGTTAAAAGCACGTTATCGCCTCAAAATGTTAAAACCAAGATATCGTCCCAATCTTCGTACACGTGTCGATCATTTGAGCCACTTGTCCCAACCATCGAGCAGCTTGTCGAACATTTTCTCGATCCCCTCCTTGACTTTCTCCACCTTCTCATGGACCTCCTCGGCCAGCTTGTCCCGGCTCTTTAGGCCACAGACACACTTCAACTCCCCGTCATCCGCGCCGCTGTCGGTATCCGTGCTGTTGTCGCTATCCGCGCCGCTGTCGGTATCCGGGCTGTTGTCGGTATCCGTGCTGTTGTCGCTATCCGCATCACTATCACTGTCGGTGTCCGTGTCGTCGTCGGTATCTACGTCGTTCGGAGCGTCCCGCTTGCTGAATTCTGAGACGAAGCTGGACGACGCCGACGATTTGGAGAGCGTCATGACGTCATTGTCCTTGCAGCAGTATTTAACGCCATTGACGTCTGTGACGGAGTTGGAGTCTGTGTCACTCCCACACTCGTCCCCACTCAGACACTTGTAGCCTAGGAAAAGTGGTGGTGGGGGGGGGGGGTTGGCTTTAAATACCTATCTACCAAACTATATAACCCATATATATATATATATATATATATATATATATATATATATATATATATATAATAGGCACTTCATAATTTTCTTTTCGTTATCCTTTCGGTAACACGCTTATAAATGTATAAGTGCGTATATCAAAGATAGTTATTATAAGTCGAATCGAATGGAAAGAAAAGAATCGCATAGCTAAAATTTAGCGCACTGAATTTGGTTAATAACAATAACATCAACAAGTATTCATCAAGTTGTATGAACTTCATGAAGTCATCACGTGATGTGATTTATCACTGTTGCGATCTCTAACCCAGTAACAGGATGATTACAACACAGTATGGTATTGAACTACTGTTTAACGCGATGTGAGCGCTATCAGCGTTCATTCTACTGATAGCCAGGCTTATATGACTTCAAATATCTACCTTAAACTGAAACGTCTTAAAATACCTTTTTTATCGTCGCAGTGTCCGATGCAGAAGAAACTGACCAACACTAAGACCAATACTTGAAGTGTCGCCATGTCATAAATGTTGCCCTTGCTGTATCCAGTTAATCTTTGTAGAAGCGATCGTCTTTAAATTTCAAGACACATAAGAATGTTTGCCTAGCCGTATCCAATAGTTCTATATAAATGCGATCGTCTATTAAATATTCAGGTGACCCCATCCTTGACCGTGCGTCTGTTTGTAAAGCACGTGCGCTGTGTGGGACTAGTCACTGGCTAAAAATAGATTCTGTTCTCGCACCTTCTGACAGTGGCGTCACAAAACGGGCGGTGTCAGCTGACAATTCTCCCCCATTGCTGATCTGGTCTTAAGTCTAACATACTGTTATCGCTGGCTAGAAGTCAACTCTTACATCCAGTTGACATCTAGAGGCAACTGAAAACTTTGCTGTATGTTATGTAGGACCTTATACATAGACCTATACCAGTATATCATATGCCCCACCCCTCAGCTTGGGCTACTCTGTTTTCAAAACATAACACGTATGGGGCAGTGGGTTTTATCGTTTCGTTTATCAAAACACGTATGGGACAGTGGGTTTTATCGTTTCGTTTATCAAGACACTGTGTTACATGGGGGTAGGGATGACACAGAACAGCGTTGCTTATGGTTGAAATAAAATAAGATACATCTAGCCTTCATATTTTTATCTATCGCAATGTGTAAGTCCTTCCATGCTGCTCCTAATAACAAAAACAGCAACACGTTTTTTCCTTCAAGAATCGAATACAAAAAGAAGTTTTAGTTGTATTGTTCGTATCTTCTGAATGTGCGTAAAATAAAGTTAGCCTAGTTATCATTTAGTTTAGATACAAAGTGAACGTTTATTACGTCATTCGATCTGCACACCCAAGCATACAATGTTAATACAGCTTTCTACAACACACAGCTAACTTGCCAGATGACGCCCCTGCTTTCGAGAATATTCGTACATGACTTTATCATTGAAAAAAGTAATGCGATATTTTTTTTAGTGTTCAACAGTTAGAGCAACAGGTGTAACCAATAGAACAATGCTACGCTTATTTTGATGTTAACTTTAGCCTTGGTCGAGGCCGCTCTTTAACATGGGAATTGTTCGTGTAAACTTCGAGTATTTATCCCAGTAAATAAGTTTCTCACAAGCTGTATGTGTTAGATGAGGAGAACTAGACCTTTCAACCAACCAGTAGATTGGTGCTTGTATACACATGATGAAAATGTACGAGTTTTTAACAAACAGTGTGAAAAATATTCTCCTCTATGGTTCTGATTCGTGGAGAGGGGCATAAACTAATAACAACAAACTTCAGACTTTCATAAACGGATGCCTCCGCCGCAGATTGAACATACGGTGGCCTGAAATTTTACCGGTGGAGAAAAACTAGGCAAGATCCTATTGGCAAAGAAATACAAAAGCGGTAATGTTAATAGATTGGACAAACCTTGAGTAAACCAACTAGCAACACCACAGACAGGTACTAGATTGGAATTGGAGGAAAGTAGATAGGCCAAAACAAACTTGGAACAGGTCAACTGTCAGTGAAGTATAAACAGCAGGAAAGTCGTGGACCCAACTTGGAGGAATCGCCCAAAACCGAATACGATGAAGAGGTGTGGCTGCGACCGTATGCTACTCAAAGCGTCCACAGGAATTATGACAATGATGATGATGACGTGATAGATAAGGAGAATTAGACTTTGAATGGCTGTCAATGTATTGGTTTATGCATCCCCCCTCCTCCCATAAAATTTTAAATTGCAAAAGCCAAATTAATCAACCTATGTTGACCAAAGCTGTTATGTTATTGATTGGTATGATATTATCGATATGGCACGTTTTGACAGCCCGTAAACTGTTTGAGAATGTCATCATGGGTCGTCACACGGTTCGGGGGGGGGGAGGATAAGGGAGTGTGTGGACTTGGGGACGTGTGTCGAGGGGCGGGGGGGGGGGGGGGGGGGTGAGTGGGGTAAAAGAGAGAGATAGTAAAGTAGCATTTTAAACAAACACAGAGTATGGTTATTTGGGGTGAGGGAAGGGGGGGGGAGAGGTGTCATAACATGTGAAAGTAACGAGTTAAAGGGGGAAAAAAACCTTGTCTGTTAAAGCCATGCTAAGACTTTCTAAAAATGGATTTTAGATTTACAACAATAACATTTCCATTTAAATATAAAATGATCTAGATGTAGCCTAGTCTAGCAGTTGATTACATTGTGACTTTGGTATAGCACCTTGAGTTTTTTGAAGATGTGCAACATGGAGGAGGAGGTGGGGGGAGTGAAGGTTAAGAAAGTGTGACGAAACACTTTTCTTGTTAAAAAATAAAGTTAGACTTTTGGCCGTTAATGCGCTTTTTTAAACGGCCGCGTTTGTTTTGTTTTTTTGGTAATTGAAATTGATTAGTATAAATAATGAATGTCGACCGAGCTCAGTTAATATTTTAGAAATAAATTGAGGTAAAAAAGCTTGAGTCATTTTGTATAATTGTTATGTGTTTGAATTTTATCTTTGTTTGTATATTCATTTTTAGATCCATTAAGTTGTGAAGATTTTAGTGTTGGTTTTATATTATTAATAAAGATAGATAAAATATTACTAAGGATCATCTAATGATTTTTCTAATAAATATTCTGTCTTAGGATATAATTATCGTAACAACACTTTTGACAACTGATGTGGGTAAATGTTTGTCTAACGGCGCTGAAAATAAATTAAAAAACAAAACTAACTTCGTACAAAATGTCGAAACGAAACAAAAATTACCTCCAAACAAAAGGTGTAGGTTCACTATTATATAGCTGTACAGCAGACATCGGTTTAAATAAAATAATGCTTCTGATATTAAGGAACATTTTTCTGTAAAAATATGTTAGATCACCTGTGGGGTGGGGGTGGACGGGGACGTGGACGGAACATCAACAGCCTAGCATTCTTCGTATTTTTTTCTCACCTATTGAAACAACACATCACTAACCCAACGTTCGTGTTTCGATAACTTATTTCAGACATTTTCCTCCGGGGGTGGGGATGAAGGGGGAGGGGGGGGGGGGGAAGAGATGAGCACTTGAAAGTTGCGGAGTGGAGGTTGGGAGTGTACTTAAAATCCCCGGGGCGAACACTGGTTAAAATATAGATCTAGGGCCTATATTTTCCTTGATAAATTAAACACGTTTCTCATTAACTTGACAATTCGACTTTTAAAATCTTAATTTTCATTTCATTATTTTTATAATTCACGAGTGAAAGAGCGGGGAAATAACACGCACATTCTCCTATATAAAAACTGTTTTACACGGGTTAATGTTCTTACTTAATCGTTATTTATTTTGTTTTAAAATTTGTGTATTTTATAATTTTTAAGGATCTGAAACGTGCGAATTAAAACTAGTGCGTTAATTAAAGCGAGAAGCCCTCAATTAATGAGTGACCACTCCTCTAACCTGGACCCAGACATTTCTGACTTGCTTTTAAGCACGTCTACCGCCCCCCCCCCCCTAGAATAAAATATGATTTATATAGAAAAAATATACTTTAACTAGCGTATCCCCGGAAAATTTAGTATTTTACATCCCCCCCCCCTAAAAAAATATTAAAGTGCCCCTCACCCCCGAAGAAAAAATTCAGAAAGAAACACGGGTCTCCTGTGTATAGTTTTTGGTAACATGCATCTCATTTTGTCGTGCTCGTCATGTAACTGTCCCACTTTGTTCACGCTGGCGTTGGGGAGTGTATCAGATTTAATTAACTCAATTTATTTTCTTTTTTACCCATGAAAGTTCTCTATGAACTGATTAACCTGAACCAATGTACGATCATTATTCGCTTCATTACATATTGCTAATAATTTCTTATCTACGCTGTTACAAGCCCACATATGTTCAGACTATTGCAGGTTCTCATCTAAAAATAAACCAACTTTTTTATGAGGCCACACTGACCATTTCACAAGGGAAATAATCTCTTGATGATTTAAACGACCTAGGCCTACAACATTGTTAAGTGAACTTGGTTGCGTCTAATTTAGTTATTTTAAAGATCATAGTTTCTTCCAGGAATCTTTTCGGGTGGGGGGGGGGGGGGGGGGGTGGAGTGGCTCGTCTTCGTCCCCCGAGAAAATTTCAGGTGCCCCCCCCCCCCCCCCCGGAGAAAAAAGTCTGGAAGAAACACTGAGATGTGTGATTAGTTCATTATCGTTTTTTTAAATGAGATACTTTCTCGTGTATTATCTAGGGCTACAGCATATTAAACTGGTACACAGCGGCTTAGCAGATTGATCTATTTCATCTTATTCTTTGGTTTGTTGGATTCAAGTAACGTCACCTCCTTTGTTTAAAAGAGTTGTATCTTAGTAAGTAAGTCTAGTCAAAACCCATTGAAAAACTATCCGAATTTAACAAAGCATTGCAGCTGTCGTTTCAATTAATTTCCACTCGATTTTTAGTGAGAATTGATTTAATTTACGCTTTCAAAAATCAATATTTGTAAAGAAAAATCAATTTGATGAATTGTGATGACTCCTTAAAGTAAGCTACCGATAAATTAAAAAAAAAAACTTCAAAAGGAATATTTTTATGATTGGGAAAAACCATAGCGATAACACATGATATTGTCCTGTGTGCGTGCGTGTGTGTGTGTGTGAGAGAGAGTGTGTGTTCGTGTGTAGGTTCGTTTTTGTTTTGAAAATATTGCCAATGAATGCTTGTTTAAATAATTGGATTTACTAAGTGATGAATAGATGTAAGACTTTCCTAATGGAGAGAAATAGCGTTTGATTTTACTTGTAACTGCTGAGTGACGTAGACAAGTGAGGACAACATAGACACCATCTTGGATATGTGACGTCAAACAGCGGTCGCTTCATATCCAATTTTGTATTTGTAGAAATCTTGGGTGGTAGAAGTTACATCACTGTGCTGCGGTGTATTGCTATGTAAGCAGTGGCGTAGCCAGGATCGTCTCATGGGGGGGGGGGGTCAAATTTTTTCGATCATTTTATATATATATATATATATATATATATATATATATATATATATATATATATATATATATATATATATATATAAGTATATATATATATATACTTATATATAAAGTGTCGAATTCACAAATTATGAATTACTGAAAAGTAGAAAATAAAACAACTAAATAGCGGCGTATGCCGTCAAACAGCGGTCGCTTCATATCCAATTTTGTTTTTGTAGAAATCTTGGGTGGTAGAAGTTACATCACTGTGCTGCGGTGTATTGCTATGTAAGCAGTGGCGTAGCCAGGATCGTCTCATGAGGGGGGGGGGTCAAATTTTTTCGATCATTTTATATATATATATATATATATATATATATATATATATATATATATATATATATAAGTATATATATATACTTATATATAAAGTGTCGAATTCACAAATTATGAATTACTGAAAAGTAGAAAATAAAACAACTAAATAGCGGCGTATGCTTACGGCGCGGGTCAGCTCGTTTTAAATAATAGCCTACATGTACCTAAAACATTGGTCTTACAGTTCAGATCACACATTTTTTAACCAACTCAGAGTGAACATAGCGACAGTTTTTAGATGACGGTTCTAAACATACATACACAATTATATTTATATACTGATTGAGAAATAGATTTAAGAAACAGTGGTATTATGACAGTAAAATTCCTTTACAGAGGGGTCCATGGGGGGGGGGGGTTGTAGCCCCCTAACCCCCTGCCTACGCCACTGTATGTAAGGGTAGTCAATATAACTTGAATAATGTAAGGGTAGTCAATATAACTTGAATAATGTAAGGGTAGTCAAGATAACTTAAATAATGTAAGGGTAGTCAATATAACTTAAATAATGTAAGGGTAGTCAAGATAACTTGAATAATGTAAGGGTAGTCAATATAACTTGAATAATGTAAGGGTAGTCAATATAACTTGAATAATGTAAGGCTAGTCAAGATAACTTAAATAATGTAAGGGTAGTCAAGATAACTTGAATAATGTAAGGGTAGTCAATATAACTTAAATAATGTAAGGGTAGCCAATATAACTTAAATAATGTAAGGGTAGTCAATATAACTTGAATAATGTAAGGGTAGTCAATATAACTTGAATAATGTAAGGGTAGTCAATATAACTTGAATAATGTAAGGGTAGTCAATATAACTTGAATAATGTAAGGGTAGTCAATATAACTTGAACAATGTAAGGCTAGTCAAGATAACTTAAATAATGTAAGGGTAGTCAATATAACTTAAATAATGTAAGGGTAGTCAATATAACTTAAATAATGTAAGGGTAGTCAATATAACTTGAATAATGTAAGGGTAGTCAATATAACTTGAATAATGTAAGGGTAGTCAATATAACTTGAATAATGTAAGGGTAGTCAATATAACTTGAATAATGTAAGGCTAGTCAAGATAACTTAAATAATGTAAAGGTAGTCAAGATAACTTGAATATTGTTAGGGTAGTCAATATAACTTAAATAATGTAAGGGTAGTCAATATAACTTGAATAATGTAAGGGTAGTCAATATAACTTGAATAATGTAAGGCTAGTCAAGATAACTTAAATAATGTAAAGGTAGTCAAGATAACTTGAATATTGTTAGGGTAGTCAATATAACTTGAATAATGTAAGGGTAGTCAATATAACTTGAATAATGTAAGGGTAGTCAATATAACTTGAACAATGTAAGGCTAGTCAAGATAACTTAAATAATGTAAGGGTAGTCAATATAACTTAAATAATGTAAGGGTAGTCAATATAACTTAAATAATGTAAGGGTAGTCAATATAACTTGAATAATGTAAGGGTAGTCAATATAACTTGAATAATGTAAGGGTAGTCAATATAACTTGAATAATGTAAGGGTAGTCAATATAACTTGAATAATGTAAGGCTAGTCAAGATAACTTAAATAATGTAAAGGTAGTCAAGATAACTTGAATATTGTTAGGGTAGTCAATATAACTTAAATAATGTAAGGGTAGTCAATATAACTTGAATAATGTAAGGGTAGTCAATATAACTTAAATAATGTAAGGGTAGTCAATATAACTTGAATAATGTAAAGGTAGTCAAGATAACTTGAATAATGTTAGGGTAGTCAATATAACTTGAATAATGTAAGGGTAGTCAATATAACTTGAATAATGTAAGGGTAGTCAACTATGGCATGAACTAAAGTGGCTCGCCCAGGACAGGGTGGAATGGCGGAGATTTGTTGTTGCCCTATACTCCACAGGGAGTGATGAGGATTAAGTAAGTAAGTAAGTAAGTCAATATAACTTGAATAATGTAAGGGTAGTCAATATAACTTGAATAATGTTAGGGTAGTCAATATAACTTGAATAATGTAAGGGTAGTCAATATAACTTGAATAATGTAAGGGTAGTCAATATAACTTGAATAATGTAAGGGTAGTCAATATAACTTGAATAATGTTAGGGTAGTCAATATAACTTGAATAATGTAAGGGTAGTCAAGATAACTTGAATAATGTAAGGGTAGTCAATATAACTTGAATAATGTAAGGGTAGTCAATATAACTTGAATAATGTTAGGGTAGTCAATATAACTTGAATAATGTTAGGGTAGTCAATATAACTTGAATAATGTAAGGGTAGTCAATATAACTTAAATAATGTTAGGGTAGTCAATATAACTTGAATAAAGACAAGAAAAGGGGAGACTAGTTTTGATAAGAAAGAAAGTTGAATAGATACAAGTAGAAGCTATACTAGAGCAGAAAAAAACTCATTTCCCAATGTAGAGGCAGGTAACATATACAGTCCTGTACCACATCATATACAGTCATGTACCACATCATATACAGTCATGTACCACATCATATACAGTCATGTACCACATCATATACAGTCATGTACCACATCATATACAGTCATGTACCGCATCATATACAAACAAGTCTCACTTTCTTTGTAATTGTGTGAATAGACTCAATTTGATTCATTTTCTTTATTGCAATAATTCTGACTAAATTAGATATATATATATTTATTTATTATTGATTTAATACATTAGGAAAATAAACTAATAAAAAGGAATTATTAATAATTATACATCAATTTTAAAATCCTAAGAACAATACCACTGTGGAAAAACAAGTGGAGTTTTATATAACCGCCCCGACAATTTGTTTTTAATCGTCACTGTTTGGGAAATATTTTCCCACCATCTCTTTAATGTTGGCATCGAGTTCGCCACGAGCCAACTTTGCGCATGTGCAATCAAAACTCTCAGCACGTTTGAGGTTTGCCGAGAAAGTGAAGTCATCTATTTGTCCTGAGGCGGATATGACGTCATCCCCCTTGCAACAGTACACGACGTTGTTTCGCGTGATCGTTCTGCTGCTGGCATTGGCGCTGACAGTACACCTGTTCCCGCTGAAACACTTGTATTCTGATGGATCAAACAGACGAAAACATTTTAAAATTCCGTTTTCACTATCTGAGGTTGTTTACATGTTAGACATTTCGTCCTTCAAGTAAGAAAAACTGTATCCAATATCTTAAACATATTTGCAAATATTGACATAATTATATTGTTTAATTTATGATCTAAGGATATCTGAGAAATAAACGTCTAAATGTTCACTATATAATGCAATGTTACAACTTGCCAATGAAAATATAATTAATTATGTTTAGCCTATAAACTGAATCAATGACAACAAATGGCTTTTGATAATTGAAAGATTTTTTTGACCTGTACATATCGTTGAATTATGAATTTTAAAAGATATACCGTTAAATACTGAATTGGTGCAAGATAGAGATAGAATGTATAGCGAAAAGGAACCACAAAAACGGTTATAACATTATAAAAGATGATAGTGTTATATAGGAACCACAAAAACGTTAAAACATTATAAAAAAGATAGTGATATATAGGAATCACAAAAACGGTTATAACATTATAAAAAGAAGTTAGTGATGTATATGAACCACAAAACGGTTATAACATTATACAAAAGATAGTGATATATATGGGAACTACAAAAACGTTATAACATTATAAAACAAGATAGTGATATATAGGAACCACAAAAACGGTTATAACATTATACAAAAGATATATTTCATATTCCACTATTGTAAACGACGAGGATAGACATTTTTAAAATACCTTTTTTACTGTCGCATTGGCTCAGGCATATACAACTGACCAACACCAGGACAAATATTTCAAGCTTGACCATCGTGGACTGAAGACTTTCTCCTGGATCAAACTTCGGCAAATTTCAGTAATGACTTTCTTCCAGACCGTTGGTTCACTTTTTAATAAGACCTCACTCTTTCTAGAACATTCTTTTATGCCAAAGCCCAGTCGAGGGGTATGACGTATTCGAAGACAATGGCAGGAGCAGATGTTACCTAGGAAGAAAGAAACTTCGTGGATCGATGGGGCTACTGAAAGATGTAAGTGGCGATCTGAGAATTGTTTCCTTACACTTTTTTGATTTGATTCGAGATTACTTGCCTAACAATGGCTGTTTGACTGACAGATGTCTACACAGGGGTTTGGTTAACAAATTATTTTCAGCAAAACTACACACGTGCCCACGATAGTCAGTAAATTACACACATTCATTTAAAGTAATGAAATCGATTACAACCATTCATTTAAAATAATAAAATCGATTTCCTACACTAATAAAATTGATTTCATACTTTCATGAAGATTAGACATGTTTATCTATACTAACGAACCGACTACACATATTCACTTAAACAGAATCGATTATAATAATTTACATAAACTAACAAAATCGATTGTGCAATCGATGTTAACTAATGAATAGGTTACACACAGCCATTTAAACTAACAAAATAAGTCACACACATTTAAACTAAAAAACAGATTTCACACATTTATCTAAACTATCGAACTGATTACAACTTTTATCTAAACTAACGAACCAATTACACATTTATCTAAACTAACGAACCAATTACACATTTACTAACGAACCAATTACACATTTATCTATTCTAAACTAACGAACCAATTACACATTTATCTATTCTAAACTAACGAACTGATTACACATTTATCTATTCTAAATTAACGAACCAATTAATAGGTTAATGGGGGTCAGACACCTTCTACTCACTTGTTTTAATGGGGGGGGGGGGTCAGACACCTTCTACTCACCTGTTTTAATGGGGGGAGGGTGGTGGTTAGACACCTTCTACTACCCTGTTTTAATGGGGCGGGGGGGGGGGGGGTCAGACACCTTCTACTCACTTGTTTTAATGGGGGGGGGGGTCAGACACCTTCTACTCACTTGTTTTAATGGGGGGGGGGTCAGACACCTTCTACTCACTTGTTTTAATGGGGGGGTCAGTCACCTTCTACTCACTTGTTTTAATGGGGGGGGGGGGGGGGGTCAGACACCTTCTACTCACTTGTTTTAATGGGGGGAGGGGGGGGGTCAGACACCTTCTACTCACTTGTTTTAATGGGGGGGGGGGGTCAGACACCTTCTACTCCCCTGTTTTATTGGGGGCAAACACCTTCTACTCCCCTGTTTTATTGGGGGTCAGACACCTTCTATTCACCTGTTTTATTGGGGGTCAAACACCTTCTACTCGCATGTTTTATTGGGGGTCAGACACCTTCTATTCACTTGTTTTAATGGGGGGGGGGTCAGACACCTTCTACTCACTTGTTTTAATGGGGGGGTCAGACACCTTCTACTCACCTGTTTTAATGGGGGGGGGGGTGGAGTCAGACACCTTCTACTCCCCTGTTTTATTGGGGGTCAGACACCTTCTATTCACCTGTTTTATTGGGGGTCAGACACCTTCTATTCACCTGTTTTATTGGGGGTCAAACACCTTCTACTCGCCTGTTTTATTGGGGGTCAGACACCTTCTATTCACCTGTTTTATTGGGGGTCAAACACCTTCTACTCGCCTGTTTTATTGGGGGTCAGACACCTTCTATTCACCTGTTTTATTGGGGGTCAAACACCTTCTACTCGCCTGTTTTAATAGGGGTCAGACACCTTCTACTCACCCCATAACACACCAACTGTCTCGCGTCAGGTTACAGCTAGAGTAAAAAGGGCCGCTCGTATTGTGATTATTACTCTCAGTTAAAATTGGTCAATACAATAAAACTACAATTACATTTTCTTTTTTTAAATTACCGTTGAAAGTGTTGAACTTATTTTTTCTGTAAACTAAATCAACTAGTTCTTGAAAATTGTCATATTACGGCCAGGAACTTATCATACATATTTTTTGCCACCGACAATATCTTCCGTGTGTGTGTGTGTGTGTGTGTGTGTGTGTGATGTGTGAAGGGGGCGTGTTATGTAATACAAAGGACTTTCAAAAGGCCGACATGAACAAATGGCTGACAGTTCATTAGACCAGCTATCTGTGGCGGCTATTCTAAAACTATTCACCACTTTCTAAACATGTTCTTTCCTGAGTTCCTAGCTTTAAAGATTGTTTAGATGTGAAATATCTTATCTGATTTAATTTTCTTATCTCTTGTAGCCCACACATAAAGCAGATCTACTCTAATTTTAATAAGCAAATACAAAAAAATGTAATCGATACTTTCTCTGTTTAAAAAAACATTTAACATTGGCTCATCATTTTACATCTTTTAGTTTTATTTCTTTCCTGAAGTTAAACACGCACGCACGCACGCACGCACGCACACATACACACACACACAACGACACCCACACACACACACACGCACTTATACACACACATATGCGCTAAGATCTCAACTTTGATTCCCTATGGTTATATTATCTATATTTTAAAAATGGCACCAACCCTTGCCAGGCCACAGCCCACAACCCATGTAGGAAAATTACCTCACAACAAGATGACACCACTGGTCGAACATGACAACACACCTGTCTGTGCTGTCCCACTCCATGTCCCTACATGTAACAGGTGGGCTGGGCAGATGACAGTTCGCTAATGAGACACTGTCTGTTTCAGCCCTTTTTTCTCTTAGTTTATTAGCCACTTGGTTCATCCCTGGCAACAAAATAATTTGTTTGTAAACATTTGGCCCGGCTCTAGCTTCTAATTAGGACATTGGGTGAAGGTCATCTCCAGTCACTAATCACAGCTCAGGGCTTGGAAAACTAATCAGTTGCTTTAGAGGGGAAAAAAAACGTAGAGCCATTTAGTGAATGCCAGAGGTAGCTATGATCAGTGGTAGATAACATCAGGTGGAAAGCGATCTGTTTTGTTGTCTCAACATGGCCTGGATTACATTGGCAGCGATCGTCTCTTTGTTCTCGCTCGTGGCGAGCTTGAACTCAACTGAAAGTATGTAGGTTTTAATTCACTGGCAGTTTGTAGGTTTTAATTCACTGGCAGTTTGTAGGTTTTAATTCACTGGCAGTTTGTAGGTTTTAATTCACTGACAGTATGTAAGTTTTTAATTCACTGGCAGTTTGTAGGTTTTAATTCACTGGCAGTTTGTAGGTTTTAATTCACTGACAGGTTGTAGGTTTTAATTCACTGACAGTATGTAAGTTTTTAATTCACTGGCAGTTTGTAGGTTTTAATTCACTGGCAGTTTGTAGGTTTTAAGTCACTGACAGTTTGTAGGTTTTAATTCACTGACAGTTTGTAGACTTTAATTCACTGGCAGTTTGTAGGTTTTAATTCACTGACAGTTTGTAGGTTTTAATTCACTGACAGTTTGTAGGTTTTAATTCACTGACAGTTTGTAGTTTATAGGTTTTAATTCACTGACAGTTTTTAGTGCGTAGGTTTTAACTCATTGACAGTATGTTGGTTTTAATTCACTGACAGTTTGTAGTTTATAGGTTTTAATTCACTGACTGTTTGTTGTTTAATTTTGTTTATAGGTTTTAATTCACTAACAGTATGTAGGTTTTAATTCACTGACAGTTACTAGTTTTTAGGTTTTAATTCACTGACAGTTTGTGGTACCTCGTTTTTAACTAGTTTGTAGTTCCTAGTTTTTAATTAACTTACAGTTTGAAGTTCCTAGTTTTTGAATTATTTGAAAGTTTGTAGTACATAGTTTTTAACTGACTGACAGTTTGCAACTCATAGTTTTTACTATACTAATTGACATTTTGTAGTTCATATTTTAATTAACTGACTGTTTTCACTTCATAGTTTTTAATTAACTGACAGTTTGCACTTCATAGTTTTTAATTAACTGACAGTTTACGCTTCATAGTTTTTAATTAACTGATAGTTTGCAGTTCATAGTTTTTAATTCAACTGAGAATCTATTTGATTGTTCATAACTAAGCAGTGTACTAACCTTATGCGACCTAGCCAGTAGAAAAAAAATGTGAGCAGCATTACTAAATTATTTTTATAGGCCCAACTCACATTAAAACATCAATAAAATATTTTTAAGAATCTAGAAAAAAATTGTTTTCTGTTCAAAATTAATAACCAGTAGGACTCTCTACGAACAATTTTTAAACTCTTGGTTTCAACTCATTTACATGGTTTAAATTTTGTAAAGACTGGCTTAAACAGTTTAAGGGGATAACAAAACAGAGAATTAGTCATCACGCCACTAAACCGTTTAAAAAGACAAACACCTCACCCCTACCCCATTTGAAAAGACAAGCACCTCACCCCTAACCTATTTGAAAAGACAAACACCTCACCCCTAACCTATTTGAAAAGTCAAACACCTCACCCCTAACCTATTTGAAAAGACAAACACCTCACCCCTAACCTATTTGAAAAGACAAACACCTCACCCCTAACCTATTTGAAAAGTCAAACACCTCACCCCTACCCCATTTGAAAAGACAAACACCTCACCCCTACCCTATTTGAAAAGACTAGCATATTCTCGCCTCACCAATCTTCAAACAGGATTAAAAAAAACGCACCCGCAACACCATAATAGGAAAAGACAAGTCTCAGACTAGATATGCTAATTAAAGTTTTTACACATTTATCTGTTTTCAATTTGATAAATTTGACATTTTTTCTAAATCACCAAGCTTACACATGCCTAGACACAGAACAGTGCAAGACAGAAACGAATCCGTCTTTCAGCATCATCAACGGCGTGGTCCTGTGCTGCAGGAGTGGCGACAGCATCAGCATCGGCTCCTTGAGTTTCAGCGACGGCAGCGCCATCGGTAGACGCAGCCTGTCGTGCGTGTGTCGGGTAGTGGACAAGGCTCTGTCTGCCCAGCTGCTCCAAGTGGGGGCTAACGTCACCAGTTACGTGGGGGAGGTCATGACCTCGGTCGGTGATATGCTCAAGAACTTGGAAACTCAATTGGGTCATTTGTTCAACTAAGTCATGGCTCGTTGTGACATGAAATTTTGAGATTGAAATAAAATTTTGTCTCATTTTTCGTACAACTGCTATGCTATACATAAATTTAAAAAAATAAAACAAACGCATATAAAGTTGTTAACTGACATTGTTTATTTATGATAAAAATGTTTATTTTGGTGTACAAAAGTATTAAACTGTTCTTTTAACCCTAAAGTGTTTTGACTTTTTAAACGATAAGCGGATATTTCGACTTGTATTGGTCCCTCCATTCCTTCATTTTGTATTGGTCACACTATTTCTACACTTTCTATATATATTCCACCACTGTGATTTCACTCCATTCCTCCACCATTCATCCACTGTTGTCTCACCATCCCTCCACAGTTGTCTCATCATTCATCCACTTTGTCTCATAATTCATCCACTTTTCCTCACCATTTATCCAATGTTGTCTCACCATTCATCCCCTTTGTCTCACCATTTATCCACTGTTGTCTCACCATTTATCCACAGTTGTCTCACCTTCCTCCACTTTGTGTTGTCTCACCATTCATCCACTTTGTCTCACCATTTATCCACTGTTGTCTCACCATTTATCCACTGTTGTCTCACCTTCCTCCACTTTGTGTTGTCTCACCATTCATCCACTTTGTCTCACCATTTATCCACTGTTGTCTCACCTTCCTCCACTTTGTGTTGTCTCACCATTCATCCACTTTGTCTCACCATTTATCCACTGTTGTCTCACCATCCATCCACTTTGTCTCACCGTTTATTCACTATTGTCTCACCATTCTTCCACCGTTGCCTCACCATTCCACCACTGTTGTCTCACCATTCCTCCATTTTGTCTCACCATTCCTCCATTTTGTCTCACCATTCCTCCACTTTGTGTTGTTTTACCACTTTTCCACTATTATCTATCTCACCATTCCCCCACTGTTGTCTCACCATTCTTCCACCATTTTTGTCTCACCATTCCTCCAATATTGTCTCACCTTTCCTGTACGACTGTCTGACCATCCCGTCAATGTGATTTCCCCATCCTTTCACATTTGTCTAACCATTCTCCCACCTCATTACACCATAACTACACTTCTTACTGGCCATAGCATTCCTCCAAACAATACTGTAAGGATGTGCTAAAAACAAAGGTTTTAAAACTAGCTTAGCCGAGATACACTTGTTTTGGCCAGGCTACATGGTTCTAGATTTGGTCAGCTACATGAGACTATAATCTCAGAGAAAATCACGCCTTAAAAAAATCAAGCCTTTATGCAGTGGCGTAGCTAGGATTTTTGAGCCCCTATGCAAAAAGTGTTAGTGGGCCCCTCAGAGGCTTAGCGACCCTTCCCGGCGACCGGAGACGAACTTTCGATTTGCACCCCCCCCTCAGACTTTCGATTTGCACCCCCCCCCCCCTCAAACTTTCAAAAAAGGGCCCCTATTTGCCTTGGGCCCCTATGCCTTGCTTACGCTTGCTTTACGGTAGCTACGCCACTGCCTTTATGGTACTGAACATAGTTGGAGAATGTAGCAATACCGAAAGATAGTTGTGTTTAGACAAAATTGAAAATTCCTCTCGTTAACTTACTGCTATTGTGGTACGGTTTACCTTGGTAGCAGAGTTTGTTTTATAAGACGTCCCAACACTCAAAGTATGTAAGTGCCATAAAGCTACAATGTAACATTCTCCAAATCCTTACGAAATATAGCAACAGCTGCTGTCAGAAAGTTGTAAGCGATCACGTAGACAAGTTATATTGTGAGATTTACCATTGATAACGATGAAATTGCTGATGTCATTGATACACAAATTGTCGATACTTAATAAATTAAGCAGTTTCATTTTAATTAGTGTTTAATAAAACAGTATGCCGCTGTGTGTGTGTGGGGGGGGGGGAGAATTTATCAAACACAATAGAAGAAAATACAATTTGCAGTACGGGAGGTAAGAGATAATTAAAAGATTTGATGTATAAAATTTAATTAGACATTTTTAATGCAGTTATGTCCCTTTAAATACTGGGTGAATTGTTTAATTGATGCAATGCATTGGCGCTCGACTGGAACCAATTTTGGAGTTTTAAAGGTAGGGAGTTGCAAATGTAATTTATGTTCTTATTTATGATATGGTAAAAGCTTTTGTGTAAAACTGTAGGATTGATTTTTATTGTTAGAAAGCTGACTAGAACTTGCTCCACAGAAAAGATTTTTGTAATATTTTTCTGTGTTATTCTTATTATTGTATTACTATTATTAGTAATTTAGTACTTTTAGTTTAAATTTAAATTTTATCGTTTGTTATTTTAATTTTATTATTATTTGTTATTATTATTATTATTATTATTATTATTATTATTATTATTATTATCATTAATATTACCATTATCATCATCATTAATATTATTACTTAAATTATTATTATTATTATCATCATCATCAACAGTAAAGCAAGATGTGGCATTTTTTAATGGTCGTTTTGTGCTCTCAGTGCATTGCTGGTTTCTATCTAGGTACGTTTTTAAACACTACACAAGGTATGCACGTATTTATAGGCCGGACTTTTATTTCTTTTATCTCACTCCTGTCGCGTCAAACATCCACTGAGGACATGTCCTAGAAAAAACATCTTCTGACGTCCTAGACAAAACAGCCCCTGATGTCCTAGACAAAACAGCCCCTGATGTCCTAGACAAAACAGCCCCTGATGTCCTAGACAAAACAGCCCCTGATGTCCTAGATAAAACAGCCCCTGATGTCCTAGACAAAACAGCCCCTGATGTCATAGACAAAACAGCCCCTGATGTCCTAGACAAAACAGCTCCTGACGTCCTAGACAAAACAGCCCCTGATGTCCTAGACAAAACAGCCCCTGATGTCCTCGACAAAACAGCCCCTGATGTCCTAGACAAAACAGCCCCTGATGTCCTAGACAAAACAGCCCCTGATGTCCTAGACAAAACAGTTCCTGACGTCCTAGACAAAACAGCTCCTGACGTGCTAGACAAAACAGCCCCTGATGTCCTAGACAAAACAGCCCCTGATGTCCTAGACAAAACAGTTCCTGACGTCCTAGACAAAACAGCTCCTGACGTGCTAGACAAAACAGCCCCTGATGTCCTAGACAAAACAGCCCCTGATGTCCTAGACAAAACAGCTCCTGACGTCCTAGACAAAACAGCCCCTGATGTCCTAGACAAAACAGCCCCTGATGTCCTAGACAAAACAGCTGCTGACGTCCTAGACAAAACAGCTGCTGACGTCCTAGACAAAACAGCTCCTGACGTCCTAGACAAAACAGCTCCTGACGTCATAGACAAAACAGCTCCTGACGTCATAGACAAAACAGCTCCTGCTACACGTCCTAGACAAAACAGCCCCTGATGTCCTAGACAAAACAGCTCCTGCTACACGTCCTAGACAAAACAGCCCCTGATGTCCTAGACAAAACAGCTGCTGACGTCCTAGACAAAACAGCTGCTGACGTCCTAGACAAAACAGCTCCTGACATCCTAGACAAAACAGCTCCTGACGTCCTAGACAAAACAGCTCCTGCTACACGTCCTAGACAAAACAGCTCCTTCTACACGTCCTAGACAAAACAGCTCCTGACGTCCTAGACAAAACAGCCCCTGATGTCCTAGACAAAACAGCCCCTGATGTCCTAGACAAAACAGCTGCTGACGTCCTAGACAAAACAGCTGCTGACGTCCTAGACAAAACAGCTCCTGACGTCCTAGACAAAACAGCTCCTGACGTCCTAGACAAAACAGCTCCTGACGTCCTAGACAAAACAGCTCCTGACGTCCTAGACAAAACAGCTCCTGACGTCATAGACAAAACAGCTCCTGCTACACGTCCCAGACAAAACAGCTCCTGACGTCCTAGACAAAACAGCTCCTGACGTCATAGACAAAACAGCTCCTGACGTCCTAGACAAAACAGCTCCTGACGTCCCAGACAAAACAGCTCCTGCTACACGTCCTAGACAAAAGAGATCCTGACGTCCTAGACAAAACAGCCCCTGATGTCCTAGACAAAACAGCTCCTGACGTCCTAGGCAAAACAGCTCCCGGCAACAACGTTCGATTGAGTTTTATATTATTCTTAAAAGAAAAACTTTAAGACTAAATTATATCTATATAATTATATCTAAATTATGTCTATTTTATAAGCTTTAAAAAAATGATAACTTTAACAAACATGGTGTTTTTAAATGTCTAGATGTTAATAGTTGTTAATATTTGGTGATGTATTTGTTATTACATACCTAGGTTAATAAATTACAAAATTATATAATTAAAATGGATTGTTAAGGAATTATATTTCAACATAACGATGTAATAATGATATTTTGAGCATCATTTGTAAAAAAAAAATATTGAAAAATTTAGTTTGCACATATTTTGTTGACCAACAACTCTTATTTCTTGTCTTGCAACAGATTTGTTCCCAAGAGGAATAAAAAATGATGGCAGACAGGGCGATAACTTGGAAACTTTGGAGGACAAAGGAAAAAATCCTGGTATATAATTTACTGGATGCTATATAACTTTAATAGTGTCCGTTTTCTTCTTAAATTGTATAAACAACAATACAAGGCATTTTCTCATTATATTAGATCTAAAATGTAGGTTAAGTCTAGTGCAATATAAAGGGATTGGTTTAACTTGATTTTAGAATTATTTTTTAATGTGTTTAAAATATAACTATCCTTGATCGTCTTTTAACGAAAATTGAGTAATAATATGTTTTTACATTTTACGGACGTAATAGATTCAATGGTATTAAAACAATATTTACTCGGTTACGGTACTTGCCTTTTGAGGCAATTAGATTTTCGTAATTTGATGTTTGCATGAATTTTAATAACACAAAAAAAATAAGATATAATATTTATTAATAATAATAAGGTATAAAAATTCTCCAACAGAAACTACTATTGGGATATTTCCTACAGATATACCAACCCAACAACCAGATGCAAGAGATTATCTTAACTTCACTAGAAAGCTAACTGATAGTACAGATTATCCTACTGATTTCACTACCCTACCTGATACCAAGGATTATCCTACTGATTTCACTACCCAACTAACTGATACCACAGATTATCCTACTGATTTCACTACCCAACCTGATACCACAGATTATCCTACTGATTTCACTACCCAACTAACTGATACCACAGATTATCCTACTGA